AGCGGCCTTCTCCAGCCTCTCCTTTGTGCAAACACCGCGAATGATAGACTCCATCAGATTGATAGCGTATGCGTAATAGCTCATCCGCGAGACAGTCCCTGGATTGGCGTAGAGGACCTCGGACTGTGCCCTGACCCTCGGAACATAATGATTGAAGTAGTTCGGCAACACCATGGATCCCTGCTCATGACGTTAGCATGATACGGTAAGAACTCCTCCGATAATCAAGACTTACTTTACCGGCTTGCATGAGCTCTATCTCTGCTTGCCTGGCGCTCCAGATACTGCCATCGTTGATGCGCTTCTGAATACGCTTCAACTTTGCACTTAGACCATCGGCGTGAGGGAAGTCTTGGTTGAGTTTGCTCCGGATTCCTTTGAAACTTGCAGACAGTGCGCCATTCAATGGAGCCCGATTGGTGTCGTATTGCCAATGCTGAGCCCAAAGCAGCGAGGTCAAGACTTCGCCCGACTCGGGTTGCCCGCTGGACAGAACAGCATAGTCCAACTCTATAATCTAGGGTCAGCAGTTGTCAAACAGCCAGAGGACCAGTGTACACATACCATCGAGGAAGAACATTGCCACCTCCAATAATTTATCCTGTCCAGGTTCAGGTTGATATGTCGACGGACCAGAGTCCCGTTCTTTGCCTTTTTTGCTCGACGACCGAGAAACTTTCCCCCTATATTTTCTTGATGAGACACCATCCAGCTCCCCGGCAGATAGGTCCAAGGGCTGCCAGATCGCTGATGCCACTCGAAGATAGTCTGATTGCTCCCACTCGGGAAGCACATTGCTGTACAAAGATGTTTGAGCGAATAGCTCCCTGGAGCGGTCCCGAGCACCATCTTCGTGAACGACGAGCGAGATCGAGTAGACGAGATGAACGAAACAAAGGGTATCAATGCTGGAAGCTGGATGCCTGCCCTCAGACATGCTCTTCAACGTAACGAGGGCCCTGTCTGCTACTTGTTGCGGCGAGAGATCTTTCAGCTGTGCTACGAGAGCACTATATGAGACATGCTGCAGCTTTTCCAGAGAGGAGCTGATGTGAGTCTTGAGGGTATCCCACGCCGATCCGACGAGCGAGTTGGCGTCGACGACATGTTCAAACGATGCTTCTTCCGAACGCTTGTTGAGCGCACGATCATCGACTGTTTGCTGAGCAAGAACATCGGCGGCTTCGGATAAGGGGCTAACGGCTGCCGATATCTCCAATGACGATGCCGGCTGGTCGAAATCAACGGCTGGAAGTGTCATAGGAAAAGGTTGTAGTAGAATATCGTCTGCCGGAAGCTCCGAAATGAAGTTGTATGGCTCCACGCTATTGTTTGAGTATCGACTCGCATTAGAACATCCCCTAGAGAGATATCCGCCTGAGCCGCCGTCAGAGGTCGGTGATGTGATATTTGTCTCGGCAGTTGTCCATGCGCCACTATAGGCAGACGCAGGTGAAATAAGGTAGCTAGCATTTGTATCAGTGCTCGCATTTGATCTAAGTGAATTGCTCGGTGAAAGATTCTTGTTTCTTGTCGTGGGCTGCAGTTGTTTGCGGGGGTGGCTAAAAACGTCAGTATTGAGGGCCAACAACGGCCGGTCGGCTTTGCCCATTGTGTTCTCGTCGATGTCCAAATTATTCTCCGCGAACCAAGGATCGGGCAGAATCGAATTTGGGTGCTGGAGATTTGGCGGAACCATGCCTGTGGGTACATGAGGTTGAGCCACCACAGTATTGTGATTGGCATTCGAGAGAACGGGCCAGGGAACCTCAACCGAGTCAATCTCCAAGATCTCCGACGACGAAGAAAGCTCAACTTGGTGTGGTTGGATGTGCAAGGAGTCGTCGTAACTCGGAGGTGGTGCAATGGCGACTTCGGATACGTTGGTCAGGCGGAAGTCGGGAATACTCTTATTATTTCTTGACTTTTGTCCCAGGGATGAGAAGAAATTTTTAGCCACGCTCATGATCTTGCGTCTCTTTCCAGGATGGCCGAGGCATCGTTTGCAATTTCCATCGGTAAACTTCTCAGCCTTGCTACATTCATAGCACCAATACTCGCCGGTGCTGAGCTGAGGGCATTCGTAGAGATGCTCCAGCATAGCAGCGTGGTCCGGGAATCTCTTGCGACAGCGAAGCATTGGACATTCGAGGCGGTCAGTGGCCGTCATCTTTTGAGACTTGTTACGCTGGACAGCGGCCCATACTATGAACCTGTGCAGAGCGCATTGGTCTGGTTTTACTGTGCGAGTGCTGCGATTCTTATCTCAGCCCGAGATCTACGAGGCTACAAAGGAAGCAAATCTTGAGCGGATAGACTTACACGCATGATGGCGAGGTGGGCGAGTCAATGGATGAGCGGGCCGAAGAGGTTGAAGTCGAATTCGTGGAGCAAGAGTCCCGTCGTGAGCGGCCGAAACTGAGGCGGGACGAGGTGAGAGCTCGTAGGGCTGAAGGTGACGGGCTCTGATTCAGCGAACGGCGGTCATCCCCGAAGGGCGACAGCGAAGTCTTGGACTCCATAGTGCGCCCAAGGTGCTCCCAAGGACGGACAGGTGGAAATGAAAGGCCAAAATTGCAAGGAAAGCAACGGTCAGAGACGGGTCGAGGCTGATCTGCCACCCATTTTGGTTTTATTTGTCCATAGGATGAGGTGGATGAAGCCTGCAAGATTGTATCAAGGTTGGTCGGTGTCGTAGACTCGTAGGACTCTCAGGACTTGGTAGCATCCCTAGGACTTGAGCTGCGGGTCGGGACTGGCTGAAAAAGGTGGTCTCCTCCCGGGTCACCGGCAGATGCTGTGCGTGCTGCCTGGGAGGGAGCGAACTTTGGTCAGACTGGCCCGCCAAAGAGCGTCAGACGGGAGAGGGGGAAGAGACATTCAGTGCGGGTCGGGTACCATCCAATGCCATACCGCGTACGGACACTCTGTAGAGTGGACGGCATGGTGAGGTAAGCAGGCAGGGTGGCAGGCCTCCGAGGCTCCAAGGTGAGAGGACGAGAGGGTCGCGGGGCGGAGTGAGATTTTGGCTGCGCATGTTAGCGAATGACCTTACTTTGTATGATCGTGCCAACCTGGGCCTTTGAAGGTTCAATTTCGAGTCAACACGGGAGATCCCATTGTTCCTGTAACAAACAGATTTCGAATCAACAAATCGTTTTGGTCTCCTGGTCGTGAAAACGGATAGGCCCGGTTTGGCTTCTTCTTCCTCTGTTCCTAGGTAGTAGTCTCATAGGACTGCCGCTCTTCAGCACTTGCGACAGAAAATGAGGTAGACGGCATAAGCCTCCGTCTCAGTCTGGTACTATCTCGTTGATGGCTTGCCTGCGTAGAGGCAGCAAGGCACACAGCCGATGATTGGTAGGCAAGCCGCGGTTGGTGCAGGAAACGCAGTCTTGAAGCGTACGGAGAAGAATGCCTTGCTATCCGCCTCGGGGTGCACTTGCACAGACGATTGGTCAGAGAACCGATGGTGATGGTAGCATTGGCGGAATGCAGCACGCTGAGGCTTTCGGAGCCTCCAAAACCCGCGCCCATACGAGGCAGGTCGAAAGTCCTGGGCTACCCGTCGTCGGGAGATGACATTGTAGGCTGTGCCGCAGTGGCTTTGCACATTGAGCTGTGCTGCTGAACATGGAGTTCAGCCACTTGAGGAATGGAATGCCGGCGCAACCAATCCTCCGCAGAATTGCAGGAGAGGTGAAGCAAGCAACTGTGTTGTACTCATCCCAGTGAGGTCGCGACGAGAGTAAGGTCCTCAGTGTCGGTTGACCGTATTGTCTAGTCGTTTGCGCCGCACACAAGGGATGACGATCTGACTTTGCGGTAAGGAAGTTGTTGTCCCTGCAGACTCCTATAAGTGTCGGAAGGAGATTGAGTTCGCGGGAACGATGGGATCAAGTAGAAGCTGAACTCTCTGAAGATTATCTGGTTTTACTTAGCTCTTTGTCCTGAGTCTTTTTTCTTGAAGTTTTTTTCTCAGGGTTTTTTTTTTGTGCAAACACCCGACGGCAGGAACGGGGCCGAGTGAGTGGCATGGCAATGAAGGAAGGAAAGCAGCCATGCGCCCCTTGGAGGGGAGGAGCTACCCATGTGTTGGGTTCCGACTGAAGACTGCAGGAGCATCAACGGCAGGTACGCAGGGAAGGAGCTCTCAACATATCAAACTCATGGGACGGCATTCCGACGACGTGATGCTTCACTCTTTTGCCGGAAACCATCATGCTGGCAGTCGTCCCAAGTCTTCTGTCATCCGTCGTTCAATGTATCCCTTCCCTGGGCCACACAACTGGGGTTTGCCTGCTGCTAAACCACACCTCGCAGGCCACAACCCTGGCATAGCTAGTACGGATGCTTCGTAAGTTCGTTCAGTCATTCAGCCTTCAGCCCCAAGTTCACGATCACCACGGCGGACACATTGTGCACATTACTCCTCTTCCGGGATATACCGGAGGTCTGGAAAGCTAGCTATTAGCTGCATTCAAGGCATCGCTCATTCTCATAGACTCTGACCTAGTCGACGACCGGAAAGTCTCTACACAGTAGAATCTCTGCTAGCGACATTCAGTGGTCTAGACCGCGGAACATCACCCTACAACTTGATCTCACCGCTCGCTGAACTCCAATCGCTGATGCGTTACTGGACAGTCTTGATGCATCTTGTTTCCTCCCATCACCATCATAGACAATCATGGTCATGCGATCTACGCCTGCAGTACAGCCTAGCAAAATGCGCTATCCCCCAAAGTCCCCAAGGCCCCAGGCCGTCGGATATCACTGTCTTGGTTAAAGACCATGTGGAAATCCCGGATTGAGCCCGCCGCTTCGGTAATTATCTGCAAGAGAGCAACTCCCGGCCGGCTTCGCCGACTCAATCCGTCGCCCGCCCCAATTCGACGACTTCATGTCGACATCAGGCGGCGTCATGAGCTCCGCAGCGAATGGTGACATGGGGGCGGGGGGCGCGTTTCGAAGATCTGTTAGGGGAAAGCGGGCCCCATTCGGACGACCTTGTATGAGGTAGATGCTGTAACCTTTCTTCAAGGAAGCATCTTATTCTTGGCACTTCACGACACGAACCTGCACGGCGACGCCCCGTTTGGCCCAGACTCCAGACTCCAGATTCTTGTCAGCCAAAAGAGCATGCTTCGGGGAGAGGGCGATCGTCAAAGGGGGCACAGCATACATGCTGCAAAGCTACTTAACCGCTGTTTCAAATATCGGGCATGTGGGCGGATCGCCGGTGGCACGACATCCCTCGACCGTTCCTTTGAACCGCATAGCTAAGGATTCGTGTTGCAGGCTGACACGGTCCAATCAGACTCCCAAAGAGCGACAAAGAGAAGATGTGGACTTAGACATGCATCAACAGAGAGCCGTTGAATCGTCGAGATTCGAGCGTTCGAGATGTTCTCCCCCCGGACGAGGAAAGTTCTAAACCAACCATCACGTATAGCGGCTACGGCGGGCCCAATTTGATGCACCAGGTGCTGTCGACTCGTCGGTCCGTTCTGCTAGCACTTGCATATCGTGTCATATTCGCATTGCTTTGAGCGAACTTCTCGGGGCAAATAAGAGCACAACTTGAGGCGGGCCAAAACAGTTGGCATGGCTAGCTGCCTTTGAGTTGTCCATCAGGGGGTGACCCAGATGCGGGGATTTTGTTTTAGTCGATTCCAGCTTGCAGGCGTCGGTTACAGAATCGTCCTCGACGGGGGCCAGCATCGACTGGAGTACGTCAGCAGTTGCAGACATATTCTCAGGTCAGCTCCGCCAGAACCATGCTCGCCCCCATGTGGCAACATGTGCATTCGTCTATACGGATACCTGTCTGTAAGTAAATGTTCACGGCGTCGTACAGGATGAGGATGGCAGGCGTAAGGTAAGGTCACTCCTCATGCGTACTTTTTGCGAGATGCTTGACTACCGCTCCTTTAGTCAGCAAGTATTGGCTCGGGCACTGACCAATAGCTTGTCTGCATCGCGACTAATACACATTCTTGCTCAACCGTTACACACCGTGCCATGCGAAGTCAACAGTCGTACAGGCTGAATGATAAATTCTCTCCTGGTATGCTTGGCGCAAGAAAGGGAGCAACATGCTACCGGCAGACTATCAACCACCAGCCGGTCGTTGCCTCGACAGCTGATAGTGAAGTCTTCAGTGTGCTTTCGATCTGTTCGGGCCGAGACCACCATGGGCAATACCCAAATGCCAAATGAAGCAATTACCTACCTGACCGCGGGCCGTCCGTCTGTTCTAACCTCCGAGATTTTGTTTGCGGCTGATAGCCTTGGATTCCAACGTTCAGAGGTCGACGACGTGCCTTTTTCATATTATACAACGCCTCTGTCTCAGCCTCCCCTCTTCCGTCGCAAAGGCACATAGCTGGCGTTTGGAGCTTTGAGTCTGGTTTGGCTGCCCGTATGAAATTGGAAAATGCGTCGAAAGAAGAGATAGATCTTTGATTGTAATCATATGGAAGTGATTTCGTCAGTGGCAGCTCCAGGAATCGGCTCGTTCTTGTGGGCTGGCGCATGGTTAGGTACTCGTCTTCGCTTCCCTTCCTTCTGTGCTACTTCACTCCTGAAGTTGAGGAATGTGAACCGTATGGATCTCTCATCCCCCGCCCCTTGTTGGGCCATGAGCTTCATTTCCCACATTCCAGACTGACGACCAAGTGTTTAACATTCACCAGACTTTCCAGCGGATGGCCATGGCCATGCTGACAAGACCTGCAGTATCTTATATACGGAAACCTCCCCGGCCGTTTGGATACACTGACCACTGATTAGTGCCCGATTTTCCCACAACTCTCGTTTAGTCACTCGTTCAATACCAAGCTAGTCGGTGCTTTTATTGCCCTTGTCCATTCTTTCACTCGCCAAGTCATCGCACTTCGCAGGGGTCATTCTTGGGTACCTTACAATCACTATCACAATGGTTTGCCTCAAGCAAGTCGCGGCACTAGCCGCCGCATCCTACGCAGCAGGGGCCTACGCCAGCGCCATCCCCGACCTCGTCGGCGGCGACGGGTCCCCTCAGCCCTCGATCCCCGCCCTTCGTGAGCGAAGCAACGGCATCAGCAAGCGACAGACGGCCGGCGGCTTCATCAACACGGCCGCCAACCCCATTACCAGCGACTGCGGCGTGGCGGCGGAGTTTAGCCTGAACACGCTCGGCCAGCTCGTCGTCGGCGATTCGGTCATCTCCGTGAACCCGGGGACGCCCTTCATCCCCCTCCGGCCCATCAGCCCGCCAGGAAGCATCACCGTCACCTTTGCTCTCCGGAACGGCGCGCTGACCTGGTCGAACCCGGCTTTCTTTGGCGGCCAGGCTGGGTTCTGCCAGGATGCGGCGGGCCAGGTGTATGCTACCTTTGCTGACCCGACCGTGGCGTACCCAGCGAACTGCGCTCCCGTTCAACTCGGTCCCGTTGTTGGTATGTTTCCACCTTTCTGCTCATTTTTTGTCCCGTACGGATGGGAGCTGTGATCAAGACGCATGTTCACTAACACCTAAAAAAAAGCATCCACTTGTGGAAACACCGGCGGCACCACCACGGCGTCTGGCAGCGTTACTACTGTCGGCAGCACCATCGTCAGCACCGGCCCGGGCGGCAGCCTGACCACCACTGTCAGCAGCTTCACCACGACCGCCGCCCCGCCGTTCACGGTGCCGACGACGTCGGCCGTGGCCAACGGCACGCTCACGCTCCCGCCCGGCCTGTACACCGTAGCCGGCTTCGCGAACCCGGCAGGCGCCGTCTGCTCCATCGTCTCCGAGTCTTGGATCATTGGGCAGACGACGTTGCTTTCCCCGCTTGCTACCGGCTCGGTCTAGTACGGGTTCCTTGTTTAGGGCAGTTTTCAGTAATGCATTAGGGGGTTTAGAAGGCTGAGGTACCTCGAGGGATACAGTCTGTGGGGTACGGAGTACGGATACTTGTGTGTGTGATGTTTTAGCAGGGGAAATTTTGAGGTAACATTTAAACACATTAATAGAAAGGTTATCCAAAAAAGTCAACAACATTAATACTTGGCTAGCCAAGTTGAGAATGATGCGGCAACACGGCCTTGGATTGATTGTCCCCCGGAGAATTCAACCTTATCACCTCGAATTTTTGTCTCATTGGCCTCGCGAAGATGATCCGGCACGTCATTATGCAGGGCGGTGCTATTCTTCTTATCTTGCCTCGTTTGATGCCGCGCTGTCACGGGCTTGCTCGCATCTTTCCTTACTTCTGCAGCGTTGCATTTTCTCACGAGATAAGGCAATAGTTTGATCAGCCCGTGAACGGCCAGTCAGTCCGCCTTCGGCGGGGAGGCCTTCGGCGGCGGACGGACTTTAGATATTGAACGTTGGCGGGCGATCTTGGCGAACAGACAGCAAATACGAATAACCAGGTAAGGATAAGGTAGAGAGAAAAAGCAAGAAAAGGGCAGCAAACTGGTGGTGCGGATTAGCCGTGATTCGCGCCGGCAAGGATGTTGCTGGTGGTGGATGCTTGTGAAGCTCAATCTGGGGGAGAAGAGGGGGGGAGGTCAATTTGGAGGGGTGAGACTTTCTTGGGTGAATGTCACCTACTCCGTACACGACGTACATTGTAAGAGATGCCCATAGTGGTGCTTTACATCCTGGATCAGCCAGTGTCGATGTTAATTGTTTGGTTGAAACTGAGTTCCCTCTTGATATTGCTCTGGAGAACTCGAGTCATCGTGTTAATCAAAAGTAGAAACTCTCACCCCGCTGTGATCCCCGTTACACACGTCATTTGTTTTATTGACGGCAAGAGCAAACCGAGGAGGAAAGCGTACCGCGTAAGCTGAAATGTGAAGGTATGGATACTGAATCAGCGACGTGCGTGAATCCCGAGGAAGCTGCAGACCACGAGAACTTGCCATTGCAAGAAAGATACCTTACGGAGTACGGGCCACGGCATCAGGAAAGATCGAGCAACTACCTTCCCTAGTGCAATAGAACTGAGCTGATTGATCTGCCCGCAATCAAACCTTCTTTTCGAGTGCTGCAACTTGAGCTGCAACTTGCCTCACTCGCATCATTGTCCACGTCGAGCCGGGTCGACAGATTTTCCTCTTCTTCGGCCGGACCAGCCGCTCGCTGGCTTCTCTCTGAGGTCTGCTGCCGGCCTACCGGGCGAATTCGCTATCAGTTCCAAGACATCCAATCCCATCCCACTCATCCCACCACTACCCTCAAAATGGCGTTGGTCCATGCCATCCACACCCTAAAAGAAAGAGGTCCCAACACCCAACCACCACAAACCCAGCCAGTCAGTCGTGCCAGTTCCAACACCACCAAGTTGTGCAACCAGCACACCTTCAGCCTGTTCCCGGGGACTTCAGGGTGACGCCAGAGACACAGCATCTTGCAGAATCGACAATCAGCAACCTCAAGGTCTGAAGCAATGTCACCACCACCCCGTCTGCCAAGGTCCGCCCGCCGCGCCTAACCCCGAGAAACTCTGATATCGAAAAAATGTCGGAAGGGCAGATGTGGAAGAGTGTGAGGGGACGAGTATGAGAGAGATACCTATGCGACCTCACCTAACCTAACCTACCTCCTCTCACTTCTCACTTCTCTCTATTCGTAAAGAAGGACACGAAAGATATGTACGCAATCCATGGCCTGTGCATCGCCAATAGCTCCCTCTCGATCGCTTGCCGGCAAAGAGCTGCGACGAATGACGACTCTTCGAAACCGATGGCATCAAAGACCATCGCATCTAGACAGACGCCAAAAAAACAATAGACGATGGTTCGGAGAAAGAATCTGGGCCCAGGCCGTCGATTGGAGACCGGGGGGACCAGGGGACGGCTGCTCTACGCTACGCTACTACATACTACCAGGTGGATTGGGGGGGGGGAGCCTGGGAGTAGGCTAGGGGACAAGTCACATCCATGATGCATTGGGTCACGTCGCGTTGGATCGGATCCTGACACTCGACTCACTGACAAGGACCCCTCCACCAGGCTGGGCACCCCACCACCCCCTTTGGTCTGGGCAAGGTCACAGTTCTGTCAGTCTCTCACTGTTCAGTCGTTGCTCCCCCCACCACCCACTCTCCGGCCGAGCCAAGAACCCCGGTCGTTGGTCCCAGACGCTGGCAGCACGCTCGCCGCCTTGTTTGGGCTTGACAAGCCATGGCGGCGGTCCCGCCAGACATGATTGGCGTGCCCACGGTTCCGCCTTATCGAGCCTGTGAGAAGCTCCGGAGACACGGTGACACGGGTGACACGCGCACACGGCGGCGAGGGGGGACCCTTATCAGAAATATGCAAGACGGCGGGTGTGGATTTGCGGCTTGCCCTGCTTCTTGCAGTAGCTGTTGCTGCTCGATGCAATCCTTCCCACCGCCCAGCCCTTCCCATCACCATCCCAGCTTCTTCTGGTCCCAGCAACCCAGCAGCACGCCGCAGCACGCGCGACACTGGCGCTGGCGCGAGAAGCACGTCGACCGGGGGTTGTTTGTCAGTGTGTGTCTGTGAGAGAGATAGAGGGAGAGAGGGTGAGGAAGAATGAGACGGATAGACGGAGAGACATGGAGGAAGAGACATGGAGGAAGAGAGAGAGAGTGTGTGTGTGTGTGTGCGTCTCCATGTATCTCTTGCAAATGCATCCAACCACTGGCGTCACCGCGGAAAGAGATAGACAGGAGAGAGGAGCCAAGAGAAGGCAGAAACAACCAACCAGTGGTGCCATCCGACCCGATGATACGGATATTAGGGTTGATATGGCGGTAACATGCGGTATACCTCACCTTTAGCTCACCCACATGCATCAAGCCACCAACAAGAAAAAGACCGGCGCAGCAAGAAAGAAGATACATGACACTTCCAGGTTGGGTTGGGGGTGTGAGGTTTCCAGAGTGACGGTCATGGCCTCCTGGTCAAGAATCATAAAAGACAGAGGGAGAAAAGAGTTGCAATACCTATGACCAGCAAGCAGCCCCGGTTCGAGCTGAAGGAAAACAGACCCAAAGTAGCTTGGCTGTGCCGTACGTCTAACGTCTAGCGGCGGAGGTACTTCGTTTCGAAGCTTGGTTTGAAGGAGGTTCCCATTCGCACGCGCACACGACGACAATCTTTCTCTTTTTTCTCTTCTCCCATGCCCATCCCGATTCCCCATCCATCCCATCCCATGCTCCATGCTCGTTGCTCATTGATCAGTGCTCGCAGCTCTCTCTCATCCATCCCCGGGCCTGTCCAGTCCTGTCCAGCCCACGCCTACCGATCCTACTTAACCAAAGTCCACCCACTCTTCAAAATTTTCCTTTTTTCTGCAGATTTTTAAAGGTCCCAAGCCTTTTTCATTTTCATTTCCCACTTATTAGTCTTCCCATCTTGCTGGACGAAGGAACGGGGGTCAAGTAACAAAAGTAACAAATACTACAAGACCCTTCTTACTCTCTATTTAATCCTTTTTCCGAGCTTTGTTTCTATCCCTCTTCCCCCTGGCTTCTTTCTTCATCAAGCCCCCTTCACCAGCCACTTTGGGACGGGATCCCCGACGACGGGTGCGCGGGCGATTCATCTTACAGATACCTGTCTGTGTGCAAGTCCAACGGCCGACTCAAAATCAACAGACACAGTCCAAGACCCAGGCACCACAGACCTTGACCAGACCAACCTAACCGGCGATAAACCACCATACTACTAATACCCAAGGGCATAACGCAACGGCCACCACCAACTCTGTTCCCTGGACATTCCAGCCACCCCCAACGCCAAAGACACGAACGAACGACGTATTTGGGGCCTTCTTTGGACGACGACCTGGCCAACCCCGGAGGATATATAGACGATAGACGGAACCCATCGATCCATGTTGCAGCCCTTCCTTCCGTGACAGGGTACTCTCACTTCTTTCCATTCTACGACCTCACGAGACCACCATCCATCTTGAGCTTCGCGGCGGCGCTTATCATCGTCTGTCGCCAGCTGCCGCCACTAAGAATTCAACCAGCCCCAACTCTCCAATTTCCAACCACCCCCGAGCCGGCGTCTTTTATTCCCTGTTACCGGCGGTTCTCCCTAGTCTTGACGGCAAACCCGCCCCCGACAAGTCAAGACGTATCCGTACAATTGCCCGCCTAATAAGCGACTTATTTCTCCTTCCAGGACCGGACAGGACAGCAACCAAACTGGGTCATCAAGTCGAATAGACCAACGGGCCAATAAGATGGATTCACCACACCACATGGGCATTCGCGAGCTCAATGTGAGCAACTGGCACTCTCACAATGCCCTTACCGATACCTTCAATCATGCGGTCCCCGCCATCAAGACAAGCGCAGGTAAGAGCTAACACAATTTTTTCCTCTCCTCATTTGGTTTCTCGTTACGTCTTCCCTGCCTTTCTGCCCTGCGGCTCTTTTAAATCATTTCTTCTTGGCCACCTTTTCTTCAACGGTTACTTTTCCTCTCATCTTGGCATTCTCTCGTTCAATCTCACTTCGTGTTGTGTGTGTCTCCTTCTCACAACTCACTCATACGCCTACATCAAAACCCCAACATCGTCATCAAGTTCATCCCATCCCATCTTCCAACGCTCCGGCAGGATCGTTTGGGGATCTGGCTTTTTTTCTCAGAACGTGCAGCAAAAGCGCCGAAAGTTTCGGCCACGTTCACGGCTATCGGCCTCTCGGTGCTCTAGAACCAATCCAGAAGAGGACGTGGAACACGAAAATCTCATCTAAACTATTGACAAGCTTTTCATCCTGTCTGTCACAACCTCGCAACCCACTACACCTGACCACATCTCACCCTTTTCTTTTCCCTTGGCTTCCATCAATGCTGCAACTTGGATCCGGGCATCACGAGGAAAGTAAACTGACCAGTTTGACCAGCCTTCTTCACATTTCTCCGCGCCAACTTGGTCCTGAACCCATCCGCCATGTCGTCCAACACCAACACGCCCGTTCTCCAGCCTACGGTGGCTTCCAACACCCATCGCCCGGCAGCCCCATCTCCGCTGGCAACCTCTCAGACCCTCGACCCCTTTGACGACATCCCTCCCCTGTCGCTCGAAATCCTCTCCACCCGCGAAGACAAGGCCGAAGCGCTTCACCTCGTGGCAGACTCCATCGCCCAGCAACGCCAACAGGCCGCCTACTCACTCGTCTTCCATCCCGTGCCGCTCGCAGGTCTCACAGCGACCCTCGGCGTCGCCTACCAGTACTCCTACGCCCGCCAAGGCGACATCGGCCTAGCCTTCACCCTCTTCAGCGGCGTCATCATGACCTACCTCCTCGCCATCCGCTGGGCGACGAGCGGCTACCTCCCCCTCGCCGAGCAAATGTCGTGGTCCTTCATCCGGCCCCACCCAGACGCCTCCGCCGACGAGGAGGACCTGGTCCTCGGTACCCGCTTCGGCAACGAGCTCGTCGGCGCCTTAGTGCTCCACCTCGAGCCTGCGAGCCCAGCCGTCGCCTCCACCTTTAGCAGCCGGCGCCGCAACAAGGCCTCGAGCTTCCGCGGCGGAAAGGGCATCATCCGCGCCTGGACAACGAAGCTCCGCTACCGCAGCAAGGGCGTCGGCACCGACATGCTCGACGAGGCCGTCCGCATCACGCGCGAGCGGTGCGGAAAGGACGCCGAGGTCGGCTTCGCGCTCGAGCACGCCAATAGCCGCATGGTCATGCCCGAGTTCTTCAACGGCGTGTTTAGGAAGCGCGAGCGCTGGGCCGCCAAGACGCTCGATGGCGTGCTGGCTGAGCGGGAGCTCACCAAGAAGAAGAGGTGAAGACCGTCGTCGTCTCACTTCTCCATCATCTACAAAAAACAAACAGACATTTGTTCTATCTCGTATTGCTACTACCCATTTATTCGCAACCTTTCGTGTGTGCGTATGTGCGTTTTTCTGTTGCTCCCTCTTTTCGGACAACTGGGCGGGGACGATCGATGGAAATTGGTTACAAATATACCCTAGAGCTGTGGAAAGAGTACCGACGGGTTATTGTTTCCCAAGGGAAACCTTCCTACAGCATCTTTCATTTTTGGTTGTCTTACTTTTCAAACGATACCCCTCGTTATATCAAACGGCTTTTGGTTTTATACTGGCGCCTCGGGCGGTGATTATACAATGTTTTTGTTGTATAGAGAAGAAGGAAATCAGGAGTCTTCGTGGTACCCCCTTGAGTTAAGGGCGTGGAAATGCGGACACAATGCAACAGACCACTAGAAGTGCAGCTTGAGAAGAGGGAAGGGGGGAAGGCCCTTACGCATCATCCGTCCCCTTCCTTCATGCTGCCTAATATAAACCCTTCGTTTGGCAACGTATCTATCCGTTCACACTTTCTTGGACTATGGCGTACAAATCGTGATTCGAAACCCTCCCGCTTTGTGGACAAGTATAGATGAGACTTACCACATATTCATGAGAGGATACTTGGCTGCCTTGCTAAGACATAATGTCTAGAGAATGAGTTCTGCTGGGTAGGCTCAACCGCGACGTTCAGTTTCACCCAGTTTCACCCATTCACTTGAAAACCGATTTCACTAATGATCCAATGTCAATCCATGACTAAAACACCCCAATTAGAGAAGGCCTAGACTGTCTGGACGTGGCCTATATCATTCACGACTAATCGCCTCACCACGCTTTATCCCATGTCCGCCGCGAGACTCCTGTGTGGTTTACTATAAGATTTCACTTTTTTTTGCTGCCAAGTATGCTACTGAGTGACTTTGTTTGATAATGTGCCCAGAATCGAGAACTGACAATGTACGGAATTTCCATGCCTTCCTCACCCCTGAGGCTCGAATATCCAGAGAGGAGTCTCCAAATCTCCTTTCTTTCAGTCTTTCTGTCGCGATGACATGCCTCATTCTTCCTCCCCGTCGTTTCAGGCGGTTGATGGGTCCTCACATCCCCACACGAGATCCTCCTAGCCATTGAGGATTCTCGTTTGCAAAGGCCCATAGCCCAACATCGGGATCCAGGTGACGAAAAAGACACACACATATTCCTATTCCGTTGTTCTTTATCGTCCATACTCGCTTCAACCGTAAACGCCAGAGGTGCCTGTACCTCATAAGACAAGTAAAAGAGGACCAGAAAGAGTGATAAGCTCCAACGAATGGCTATGGCGATGACACGCTTTTCTGACTGGTGGTGGAGATGGTTTTGGCGTCTTTGACCAACAGCTTGCCTCTCTAAACCTGAAGAGACGCAAGAAGGGGTAAACGGGTAGAACACTCTCAGTCGTGGATGCCTGCTGCCTTGGCCTTGCGCGACTTCGGGTCGACAAAGGTATCGGGGTCGAAGCCATAGATCGGCTTACCCTTGCGGGCCAGAGCATGTAAGACCTAGGAGGAGGGAATGTCAGATACCAATCTCCATAGAACAAATTGAACCCACTGCTGGCATCTGATGGGAGGCGATGATTCAGAGGAAGGTCAGGCCAGGTGATGAGACTCACATCGGTAACTTGAACAGTCTTCATTTTACGATGCTCCACATACGTCACGCAGTCTGTCAGGACCTATTCGTACCTAATTAGCTTTTGTTGAAGATGAGAATTAGGTGTGTATGAGAGAGTGGACTTACAGACTCGAGCCAGGTCTTCATAGCCGAACGGACGTCATCGTAGACCATGGCGGAAATCCGCTTGACGCCGCCACGACGAGCTAGACGACTACATGAGAATATGCGGTTAGCTTCAGATTCACTTCTAAAAGGAAGGAAGGAGGTAGTGTGTGTCGTCGTGGTAGAGACACCGGAGTAGGTGAGGTGGGTGAAGCAGGTGATGATGCTCGTGATGAACACCGAATGAGATTCGGTGAAGGAGGAAAACGCCAAACGCAAGTTCCCCTCATCGCCCTCACTCATCTCAGTAAACTTGAGTAATTTCACCCTCATCCAGATGGACCAAGAAATCTCGATTGAAGAAAATCTCTCACAATCAAGAAAGAAAAAAAAAACATACCGAATAGCAGGCCTAGCTAAAGAAGTGATCAAAGTCAGTTCCTCATATCTAAATCGTATAAGCCACCAAGCAGGTTCGGTTAAACATACTAATACCCCGGATACAATCCCTCATAGGCTTCCTATTCTCCTCGTTAGTAGCCGAGTCCCACCTGCCGTACGGGAAAGAAAAAAACTGGAAAGAGAAATCACTTACCGATGTCTCTTCGCACCGGTGCCCGCGTTCCGCAGCACAGTCTTGCCCTTTCCACCTTGGTTCGCCTTGGATGCGGTACCACGCTTACCGCGGGCGGAGCTGGACGCCGAGGACGCCCACGGGCCACCTCGGATCGCGACCGCGGGCGGCATGGTGAAGTGAGTGATGATGTGGGGGTTGTAGACTGCCAAACGAAGAGGTTTGTTGGGAATTTTCTTTTGTGACGGTTTGGGATCGTGAATCGCATACGGGGAGTTGAAGGTGAGGATCGTGGGGTGGGTGCACGCGCCGCTTGGGGGGCTGTTGTTGGGGAGTTGGCGGGGAGTTGGCAATGGTTCAAGGCAGCCTTAGGGGGCCTTTGGGGTGCCCAGAGACAATAGAAGCACTGGATGCAGGGTAGTGGAGGTACCTAAGGTAGGTAGGGAGACAGGTGCGGCAGGGACGCTTCTGCCTTGCCTTATCGGTCACGTCTCGAGTCTTATCGATCCAACTTGGCCCGTGCTGAGCTGCCCTGTGCAGAAACACCGTATTCACGCAACCCACGCACTGTCAAAGCTCATCGCTCGCAATGCAGGTGCAGGGAACTTGCCGGCGAATGTTTGTCATATGTCTTGTTTCAAGAGATAAACTCTGAAGTCTGGGTCGGGGTCTATGTGATGCCCCAGCTTTTGGGTAGCTGAAAGCTATGCTGCCTGCGGGACAGGTCAAGCGTGAAGCCGTGGCGAAGCACACGATTTTCCGTCACCAGAAACTTACACCGTATATTCAGAATATTGAAAGTGTGTATTTGTATTAGAACAGCTTTATAGAACAAGTATGCGTACCCAATTCAAAGAGTGACCAGAGCCCCCATCTGAACGCCTAACCAGACCGGCAACAACTACCCAAGAATTTCATCGCCGTCGTTTCATTGTCCATACGTCTATTCGGAGATGAAGGTGGCCTCGCTGAAGCAAAGACCCTCTTCGGAGATTTCTTGGTCTCCAATCTTGAGCTTCAAGGTGAGCTTCTTCTCTGTGGGGCAGTACTGTGATCGTTGTCAGCCTGGTTCTTTGGGCCACTGATGACTCGGTACGGAAGCTAACCTGGTAGATGTATGGCTTGGTGCCGGCCGTGCCAGCTACTATCTTCTTGACGAAGCCGGGGACCTCAGCCAATACGTCAACTCTGTCCAGCCTCTCGCCCAGAGGGCCCTCAATGATACCCTCCACGGCCTTGCCATCCTTGTCCGTGCCGGACCAAGTAAACTTGATCTCCTCGGGCTCGGGCCACTCGTTGACGGAATCGTTCTTCGCCTTGGTGTGCTTGGCTGTCTGGGTGACGCCGCCATAAATCATCTCGCCGTCCTTGGCGATACCGCCGACGCTGACGGTGGTCGAGCCGTACGAGGGAGGGGTGGTGTACTCCATCATGACGGCCGAGTAGTTGGGTCCCTGGAAGTCGACAAAGTTCCACTTGGCCGCCGCGTGGTGAGGCTTCATGCCCTGCAACGCGTACACGTAAAAGGCCCGGCCCTTGAAGTCGACGGCGCCGTCCTTGGTGGTAATGGTGCCCTCGGTGATGCAGCGCGGCCAGAAGGCGTGGCGCATGGTGCCCCACGGCTTCGACATATCGGTGCCGAACAGCGTCTTGCCCGTCTTGCCGGCGTGGAAGCCGGGCGACATGCGGGTGACCTTGAGGTTGACAATGGCGTTCTCCGAGTTCATGCTCTTGATCGTGTAGTAGGTGCCGTCCTCGGACAGCTCGACGGCGCAGTCATCGGCGTAAAAGGACATCCGGTCCTCGCTCACCTCGTAGTGGCTGAGCTGTGTGGTCTCCCAGAGCGTCGGCTTGGACTTGTTGGGGTAGAAGATCTTGGCGTTGAACTGGCATGTTGTGCGGATGCCACTATTAGAACATGGGGTTAGCATCGAGAGACAGATGCGAAAGGCACGGAAGCTATCCCATACCCAACGTTGCTGTAGATGATTTGGGCCAGCCCAAGGTGTCCGTTGTCGCCCATCAGGTAGAAGCTCTGCGTCTCAACAGAGGTCGAGTCGGCCGCAATCCATTTCAAGTCCTCCTTGGTGGTCTCCGTGTGGGTGGTCGTCTTGGCCTCTTCGGCGACAGATCTGATAGCTGTCGGGCCGTAGATGGGCTCTTGGGTACCTGCCACATCGGCGAGCCTGGCAGAATCAAAAGGTTAGCCTTGGCTGACGCAACATGGAGGAACGGCAAACACTAATTACTTTTGTTGCGCCCACTTGAACATATTGACGGCAGGACGCGTGAGCGGGTGACGACGGATGAAAACTGGAGGGGTATAAGGGGTGGTCGTCGATGGCGGTAAAATGCGGCAGGTCTATACACAGGTAACAAGAGGAACAAGCTTCTTGGTGGTGTTCTTAAGAGGAAAACCGAGTTGAGAAGGAAGTTGAGTTGACCGCCCCAAACAAGAACCAGCGGAGGGGCCGAGGGGTCATCCCACGACCCAATGACGGTGAAACTGTGGCTAATGCGGCCAGGGTGGATCCTGCGCTCCCCCGAGCATCCCGGTCGCTTGGACCTTTGGCGCGTGGCTGGTGCTTCAAGGCTCCTAAATTTTCCACCTCCGAAAAGGTGTAGCACCAGGTCCGATTGATTGAAGCTTGATTGTCTGTCGCGCGGCGCAATATACCTGCCCATCACCACCCACCCCGTCACTCCCCTTTTCCCAACGAGCAGACTCGTCTGTATATCCGCCACCATGTCCAAGAGAGGAGCGACAATTGCAGACCAGGTCGTGAAGCTCATCGTGGGCGCCGGTCAGGCCAGCCCGAGTCCCCCAGTTGGTCCTGCGCTGGGTAGCAAGGGTGTCAAGTCGATGGATTTTTGCAAGGTGAGACTTGCCCTTGGGACTCTGATGAAGCAACACATGCCACTCTCTGCCCAACATCTGTGCTTTTAAGGGGGTGGTTATGCCATGGTTGAGATCAATGCTAACGTGTCTTTGCTCATTCGATAGGAGTTCAATGCAAGAACAGCACACATCATCACCGGCACGCCGATGCCTTGTCGAGTCACTGTCCGAGGCGACCGATCATTCCACTTTGACATCCGCACACCTCACACATCTTGGCTTCTCCTTAACGCCGCCGAGGTGCCGGTCGGCAAGAAGGGCAAGCGGAAGGGCGCAACAAACCCCGGAAAGGAGACGGTCGGAACCGTCAGCTTGAAGCACGTCTACGAGATCGCCAAGATTAAGCAGACGGAAATGCGTCTATCAGGTCTCAGCCTCGAGGCCATCTGCCGCTCCGTCATCTACCAGTGCAAGTCCATTGGTATCAACGTCGTGCCATAGAGCACGTGTCCTGCAACAGTCTATTTTCAACCACGTATAAAAAACGGAGTCAGGCGCGGAAAGAAAGCATCCACTTGTATACCATCTCAAACGAGGAAGAGCGTGACCATGTACAGTTATTGGAGGATCGAGGCGAGGCGAGGAGAGGTTAGAATAGCAGACAGGAGGTACTGTACGATGAGAATCTCAGCCGCCAAGCAAAGGCAGAGCACGGCGACAAAAAAACGTTCATACACTAGCGCCGCGTGGTCGGAACATGGCACGCCTGAAGGGATGCTTCATGCGCCCCAGAAGTCCCAACTGAGCAGTGACGTTGAATATATGTCTCGTTTTGAGGCGAAGTCCGTTCTCGCGCTTCTACTTGCGCACGATAGTGCGAGTACGACAACCGTCCGTGGGAGACCGAAACGACTAGCTGTCTGGCCGTTGTCCAAAAATTCGGAATGGAAGAATCGATATAGAACCAAAGGATTATAACAAAATGTCAATTGTTGAACGCCTGCTTGAGCAAAACGCAGGGCGGATTGGATCATGGCTTGCCAGAACTCTGTTTGTCGAATTGAGATGGTGTGAGGGGAAAGCTTCATTGTGCCGTGCTGAAGCACAGGATTGGGGGATAAATGACAAGGTCCTTCCAAAGTCAGATGTGCGATCAGCGGTCTGGAACTGACCTGCAAGCGGCAAAGCCAGCACATCAGTGGGGAAGAGATGGCTCAAAGTCTCCCGAAGCTTCACAATCGAGATCGACAAAACTGTTGAGATTGGAACCTTACACGTCTTCCTCCTCATGGTTGGTGCAGCGTGTCGTAGACAGTTCCTTCCCTGGTTATGATACAAAACTTCCTCTAAGCAGCCTGCGCAAGAAGGTACTTGCTGTGCAGTATTGGGTAACGGGCCCCGGTGGCAGATGCAAGCTCCATCGGTGGAGGCTCGCTGGTTGCGACGAAATGCAGGCCCAGATCTAGACAATGCCAGGGCCATGCCGATGGAGATTTTCCCACCTGGTGCCCCTGAAAGATGGTCCTCTTTTGCAGCGTGCCTGGATAGAGGGTTCCATCAGCAGCAGCCTGTCATCTGCAAGAACGCCTCCAAGCCTCGTCAGTGTGGGACCGATTTGAAGCCGGTGATGTGACGGAACAGTGGCCGTTTTCATGCTGCAGGTGCAACACATCAGCAACCACGCCACCGTGCTGGGGCAGCTGGGCTCGTCGGTCTGGGACCGGAGATGCGGCGGTGTTCGTAGGGCGGAAGGGCGGGACGAAGGCAGGCCAGTCAAGGTACGTCTCGGCATGTGCTCTGAAAATGTGTCTCGGGCTAGTGGGCAGCTGGGGAAGATGGGGAGCAAAGCTCCGTCTATTCCTGTTCATCACTCCATCGTAACCCCCCTCTTGACTCCTGCTTGCCGGAAGCTGACAGAGAGCTGGACTTCGCGGCTCGTGTAAGCCGGTTCATGACGGGGTTTTCTTTTGGTGGGCCGTCGGGTGTGCGTTCAACCTTCCCAGACGTAATGGGTAATCTGTTGTTCGTTTGTTGAAGCCCGAAGGAGGGCGACGACGACTTGGGATTGGTGTACTTTTGTTTCCTGGCGGGCTTGACTCGTTCGTCCCGGCCTAGATAAGAGGTGCATTGTCGAATAATCTGGCGCGCATTGGCGTTCGTTGACTTTGTGGACGGGTATGCCCTGATTACCGTCGGCGGAATGAATAGCCTGAACCAAAAGAAAATATTTTCAAGAGGCGCGACAAATTGAGAGAGTCATCGGCCTTGTGGAGATCGGGCCGCGGCCGAAGCAGGCAAAAACCATCAACATCCATGGATGAGTCTTCGTTGGTGTGCTGCGAGGTTCGTAAAAACGGTTAAAATGTTACCAACAGGTACCGCCGAGCCGCCGAATGATAACGCCTCACAGATGTCGCATGTGTCACGGATGCGAAGCCGAGAAACCACCCCTTGGCGCAAATTGGGGGCACTTCGAAGACGGGCGGTCTGAGGTGAAGGCACTCTCTGGAGGGATCTTGGAAAAAGCCGATGACCGACGGACCACGAAAGGGCAAGTCCAGGAAATTAGAACCGGCTGGTCATGAGGTAGAAAAAAAAAAATAGAATATTCCGATCACCACAGGGACAGGCAGGAGCTGGCGAGCTGCCATGCGCGCAGGGCAGGCAAGGGCCTTCTCTCCTTGAGCCGGGTTCCTGATGCAGATACGCGCAATGCATCCATGATTTTGGGGGTACTGCCAAGTATTTCTCCCGTTCCCAAGCCGTCTCCAAGGCTCCAAGCCGTAAAAAAAAAGCCTCCAGTCTCCAGCCCAGGGCGCCCCTTCCCTTTTCTCGGCTCCCTTTCGGCGGCCCTGGTGCTCCAGTGCCATGTCACCGTGTCTTATCCAGCCCACCGCTTCCCCGATAAGGAATGGAGAACGATCCAGTTGACCATTCAGATTGCATCCTTTTCAAGCTCACTCACTTAGCACAAGTATCGTGTACTTGCTGACCCTCCCACCTTTCCAATGTATACTCCCTACAATACCTTCCCATATGACAGTACCTGGCTCGGCGCGGGTTACGGGAGGTCAGACGGACCCGTGAACAGCGCACTCGAGATTCCGCGATACGTATCTGCACCGGGTTCGGACTCTCACTCTGATATTTTCCCCTCGGGCCCCGGTGTCTACATACCGCCAATGTAGTCTCAGGCGACTTAGGTCGTTCTTCGCCTGTTCATCCGAGTCTTGAGCCAGATCCATACAGAATAAGACGTGAGATGAGAACCTAGAGCTTGCGACAATGTTGTTGAATAATGTCAAATCACAGGGTAGGGAGAGATCCTCCGGCATGGACCTTCAAATTTTTGTAACGTCTACTCCGTACCCATGCCGTATGCATTTCACCAGTACCTTCCCATCAGATACGTAGTGATTAGGTACTTCCATTGACTCTTAGTCTTAGTGCATCTCAAAGTGCCCCACCATCCGCAATTGGCATCCACACCTCACTCATCCACCTAGTCCTGGGTATCCGTACTTTTCTCTTTCCCAAGCCCGGCCCTTCGTGTTGTCGTCGTTTGGTCCTGGTTTTCTTCCCTCTCGCTCCTCTTCCCCGCCATCCGTTGTCATCATCGTCCTCTTTCGACTCCAGAGAAGCTGCAGACGACAAACAGTCACTGCCTGCAGCTCCAGCCAAGCCCATGGCTACCCCGTCTCCCGCCCGCGATCCTCAGAAAGAGGACGTTAAAGTCCCAGGTACAAACGCCATATCCTTCCGTCTGTTCCGGCGCGCGCAACCCCGCCCTCGGTTCGTCTGTTGCGCATGTCACAGTCAAACAAACACTCACTCGCCCAATGTCCCACGTTCACGCTCACCCTCACACATACGCTCATGCCCCAAGCCTGCATCTTATCCTCAACGCAGATCCCGTCTTGTGCTGACCACTGTGCGCAATGCCTAGAAATCACCCACAATCCTCCAGATAACCCAAATATCCACAAAGACGACAAGATGCCCCCTCAAGATGCTCCCGCTGTCCGCTTCGCTTCTTCCGTCGAAGAGATAACGCCAACCGTCACCACGACATCACCCACCGAGACTCTTTCTCCCACCGACGCCGCGACCGGAGACGGCGAAGAATCCTTGGCCGAAGTCACGCCCGATCAGATTAGAGCTCTCTCCAAGTCCCTCCAAGGTGCACCGTTGCAGCAGCGCCGGATGAACGTCTTTGGCTTCGAGCCATACTCACTACCTGCATCACGCGTAAGTAGTCTGTTCCGTCATAACTCTTCAGTTTATGCGTGGTCTCGGAGCTTCTTGACGTTGCTTCCTGTTGGCTTGGGCGTCCGCCCTGATACCTTGTGTTTCAAAGTCTCATACCTACCCCTCCACCCAACCAACACTGCCTCGACGTTCAGACTCGTCTTCCCCAAACATCTCACATCGTCTTCGCTATAATCATCTGAGGCTTCTTGTCGATGGAGCTCCTCGTCGGAACCTCCAATGATCAGTCTCATGCTCGTCCCACTTACCCCCCCAACCTGTCATGACAACACCACTCGGCCATTGCATCGCACGCACCAGCCTGCACAGCTTGCTTCTTACTAACCACCGGCACCTATAGGTCGGTTCACGAGAGGAAGAATCTGACAACAGTCGACTGCCAACCCCGAACTCCAGCGGACCGAAATCGCCGCGGTTTGGTCCGGCGCATCCGATGCAGTCACCTCCCCTGACCCCGGCGGGGACCGATCCCTCAGACCCGACAGCCAGGAAGAGCAGAGATCAAAATGACGATCGCAAGTCATCCACGAGCGACCCCCATGTCATCACCCCGCAGGCCTCGTCCTCTCAGGACTCACCACCATCATCGACCAGGAAAGAGTTGCCCGTCCGAGGCAAGTCCACGGAGGAGGTACCTCAGCGATCAGCTTCGGCAGAAGACCAACCACACGACACGAGGTCGCATAGGAGAGGAATGTTCTCTGTTGGTCCTGGAGGATCAGTGCCGGTTTCACGAGAATCTAGTCCGTCTCGGGCCTCATTGTACTACTCCAAGCCGATGACGCCAGGCGGAGATGCCAACGACCCTTATGCGGCTCACAAACGTCAACCACCGGCTCCCGCCCCTCAGCGGGGCCAGATCGATTCAAGATTCGTCTTTTCGCGCCGGAAGAACAAGCACGGGTCCTCGCCATCTGGTTCTACTTCAAGTCTAGGCCGAGCAAGCGACAAACGACACTCCGGGCTCTTGGGTATGAAGGGACATGGCGATGAGCTGCAGGTTCCTCACGATGACTCGGCTAGCATCACGAGCAGACAAGGCTCCTTTGCCGACTTGAAGAGGTTTTTCAAGGTCGGCGGACATCACAAGATGAAGAGGGAAGCTTCCCCATCATCGGTTCGCTCGGGCACCAAGACACCCCCTACTAGAGGGTCGCAACACGTTCCGTTTGGAGACGACCACGGACTTACTTCGAAATATGGAAAGCTCGGCAGAGTCCTCGGATCGGGTGCTGGAGGATCCGTTCGTTTGATGAAGCGCAGTGATGATGGTGTCGTTTTCGCTGTAAAGGAATTCCGACCGAGACACTCTTACGAAACCGAGAAAGAGTACGTCAAGAAGCTGACGGCTGAATTTTGTGTTGGGTCAACTTTACACCACGGCAATGTTATCGAAACACTGGATATCCTGCAGGAGAAGGGCAAGTGGTACGAGGTCATGGAGTACGCTCCGTTTGACCTTTTCGCATGTGTTATGACTGGCAAGATGACACGAGAGGAGGTCGGCTGCTGCTTCCTGCAGATCCTCAATGGTGTGACATATCTGCACAGCATGGGACTTGCTCATCGGGATTTGAAGCTTGACAACGTCGTGGTCAGTGAGCATGGGATTATGAAAATCATCGACTTTGGTAGTGCCCACGTTTACAAGTATCCTTTCGAGAGCGACATTGTCCTCGCTTCAGGTGAGTCTTCCATTCAAATTGGCTTCGACGTATTGGCTAATTGATTATAGGCATCGTGGGCTCCGATCCTTACCTGGCTCCTGAAGTTTACGACGAACGAAAATATGATCCCCAAGCGGTCGATATTTGGTCATTAGCAATCATCTTTTGCTGTATGACATTACGCAGATTTCCGTGGAAGGTCCCTCGCATGACGGACAACTCGTTCAAGCTTTTCGCCGCCGAGCCAACAGCAGGACATGACCCCAAAAAGCTGATTATGCCGTCAAAGTCTGCGAACGACCTCTCCAACACTCCTCAGAGAGACATTTTCGAGGACGGCAAGCATCATACTCACAAGCACGAGCCGAAAGAAAGCCAGAAGGAGAACCAGAAGGAAGCTCCCAAAGACGGCGAGGGGAGTGTAGCACAGGGAAGCTCGACACAGATTTCGGCCAAGTCTGACGGCCAGCAACCAGCAGACAAGAAAGAGGTCATAAGAGGTCCCTGGAGGATCTTGCGCCTGCTCCCTCGCGAGAGCCGTCACATCATTGGCCGCATGCTGGAGATCAAGGTGAAGGATCGTGCGACGATGCAAGAAATTCTCGATGAGCCTTGGGTTGCCAACACAGTCATATGCCAACAACCCGAGCCGGGCCGCGTTGTACACGCAGAGGATCACATTCACACTCTTGAGCCACCACAGCCCCCGAAGTAGGAGTCACTGCACGGGCGCGGTCACCACAAATTGCATGTCCGAAAGGCGTTTAACCGGTTGTAGACGGGGTTTTGGAATGGGTAGGGTGTGGACGACATTTGGAATGACATGAGCCCCTCGTGGTTGGGGAAACAGCGATGATATTGGAGCTTGGGTGGTATCGGAGTCCGTCTTGAGGTTTTGTAGAAGATGCTGCGGCTCCGCTCACGGCCTTGGATCAAGCGATTGAATTAGATAGGTAGATAATACTATTCAGAAAATACTCAATACGTCGACCTAGGTAGCCAATCGTGATCGAGTGATATCAAGAGATATAGGATCCAAGGCAAGTCGAGGTAGGGGAGTAACTCATCTTCATCCATGGATGGTCTGTGTCCATACGTTAAATGCGATATGGTCGATTGGTAAGTACATCCGTCTTCCTCGGCATTTGCAGCCAATCGGACGATATCCAGGGGTATGTGACGGTGGGGCTTCCGGGAAATCCTTTGGCCGATCGGTCCAAAAAATTGTTGACATTCTGGAAGCTCTTGGAATAGCTTCAAGGCTTAAAGTTCGTCCCCCCATATCGACTTCACACTTCACCGATCGTCATCCGCCCAATCCCTCCAACAGACCAAAGTTGCCGCTCTCGCTGTTAATTCCATCACAACAGTCACAATGGTACGTTGGCATCCTCAATATCACGCCGCAGTCTCGGCGGCAGCCTTCCCCTTAGATCGGCCGCAAGACGGGCATCCCCCATGTTGTCCCCCTGGCATTGTCTGTCGCCATTGACAGCAATGTCACATCTCACGAAGCCATTTTGCTGACCAGACGCATTGCAGTCTGCCTCCTTCCGCTCCATCCGCGCCCTTGCGCCCCTCCTCGACCGCGTCCTCGTCCAGCGCGTCAAGGCCGAGACCAAGACCGCCAGCGGCATCTTCCTTCCCGAGTCCTCCGTCAAGGAGCTCAACGAGGCCAAGGTCCTCGCCGTCGGCCCCGGTGCCCTCGACAGAGACGGCAAGCGGTTACCCATGGGCGTCGCCTCTGGTGACCGCGTCCTGATCCCCCAGGTACGTTTTCGATCCCTGACGGCAACATCGACTGCGGCGCCAGTCATCGATCCTCCCCGCTTCTCTGCTTCCCTGCTTCTGCGACCTAGCCTATGAGGGGCGGTGACAGTTGGGAATATGCAGTGCCTAGCACCTCGTTATTTGATATCTCCTTCACCGCATTATGTCGGCGGAAGTGGAAATAGAGTGATGGGATGATGGGGGCGGGTGAAGACAGGATGGGCGATTAGGTTGAACAAGCACAACATATGGATCCGGTGGGCTGACAAGATGTGATGCAGTTCGGCGGCTCCCCCGTCAAGGTCGGTGAGGAGGAGTACCACCTCTTCCGTGACAGCGAGTAAGTCTACAACACCCCTTTTACCACACAAACCCTTTCAGCTAGCAAGCGGTTCGATGCGTGTTACCAAAAGAAAGATAAGGTCACTAACGTGATTCCCTTCACCTAGGATCCTCGCCAAGATCAACGAGTCATAAACAGAGAGAAATCTGCCAGAAACGACTCAAACCAAAAAAAAAGGTGTAAAAGATACCCACGAGGTCTTTGGCGTGTGTACAATACCGTGTATCAAAAGAAACTCCAAATATGAGAGCGAAGTAAGGGAGGGTGCATGACTCCCCGCCCAGTATTCAATTTACCTGGAATATTCAACCAATGAACGCTGGAAAACTGCATTATGGAGGGGAGTGACAGGTTCGGCCTTTTGCATAGAGACTTTTTGGGGGTGTGGTGTAATAGTAGATGTGATTTAGCTTCCGCGAAGGAGGAGTCGGGGAACTGCTTAGGAGACGGAGTGGAGGGACTACGAGTTGAGTAAGAGGAGTGACACAAATCGTGTCCCTCTCTTTCTTGCTCCTGCTCTTGTCATAGGCTGGAAACGCTTCTCCCTGGGCGGATTATGATTCATCAAGAAACCTCTCCTCTCTGCCACCCAGTTTCTCGCCCTGATGCCCCAAGTCGTCCGGTGTGATGTTCTCGTAGCAAGCTATGGTTGGCCGGTGTGGTTGCGCTTAGTATAGTCGTGGCACCTGACAACTGACCTCGACGCATGACTGCTGCGAGGAGTTCCTATGAGCAAATCATAGACAACATACTACAGAGACGGGTGTATTTCAGGACGCGGCTAAGTGGGGATCTTCATTCATTGAGAATACCTGGTGAATAGTACGACACCATCTCAACCACGTCTTGCAGAGTTTAGACAATGCTCTACTCCTTTCAGACAGAGCCAACCGTCTAAAACATGCCAGTTTATCACGACTAAGAAGCTGACGCGGGCATGGTGTGCTTCTTTACTGAACGCACCCGGTCAAGCTTCATGGATTAAGCATGCGGTGGTACCCAGCAAGGGAAACTGGATCGTATCAATCATCGTCGGCTGAGGCAACCCGATTAGAGACAATCCAGAAACCCCAGACAAAGTTGACAGATTGGGGGATAAGAAGCAAAGTTTTGGCTTGGGATGGTTTTCGAGCCCATCAGGAGAGTAGCAGTAAACAACAAACGGCCACGACATGACGTACGTCATCTAGACTCGCTACGTCGACGGGCAGTGTGCTTGTTCCCTTTTCGCCAAGACGGGAACAATCGTTTTGCGCAAGCAGCCGCAGCCGCAGCGCAGCACATCCCTCATTCTCAGGTGCTCTCTCGGATGCGCACATACGAGGCACACGTGCACACCGAAACAAGGTGTCTGACTTTCGACAACTAGTGCTGCAACAGCCTAACGAAACTGGAAAGTTTCAAGGTCCCAGATTCGATCAATGTCTGAGATGTTTTGTCTTGGCATGTTGGACAGTAGTTCAGGACATGGTGCGGACGTAGCGGCAAGGCATCAGACAAGACAGACATACGGTAATCCGCAAGGGGAGAGCGAGTTAGGTATGTCTTGCTGCTAGACCAGCGAGTGTGGGCGGTGCAAGACAAACAAGCTATTCTTTCGGGACGGGCGAGTGGGCGGGAGAGGCGAACTTAATCATCAGTGGATACAGAGAGAGGCTGCCGCAGCGCTTGATATTGGAATTGCAATCAAGATTTCATCTGGGGACGCCGCGCGCACTCTCGGGCTGCGGTGTGGGCTGTGGATATGCGATTGAGGCTCGGCCTGTGCCCGAGTCATTTTCTATCATGGTGATTCCTGTCTCACCAGTGACCAACTCTGGTATGTACACTTCTCGCTGCCCATTGTTCTTTTGCCCCTGGTCACACTTTGGGCGGTGCTGGAATGCTCGTTGATGAAAAAACGTGTCTGACCCGCCGTCCTCAGTGGAGGAGGGAGGGAGGGAGAACAATAGGATTGTCTTCTTCGGACGCGGCTTCTTCCCCAGGTGATGAATGGGCAAGCACGGCCCTGGGACACTCTGAACATAATCAACAGAAAATGGATACTGTATACATAATAGGTAAAAACTCGTGCAGAGGGCCACTGCCAACAAGCTGAGTCTCGACCGTTATAGGTATGGATTGATGACTAGGAACAAGGCAGTAATTGCGCGCGATAAACAGAGCAAAAAAAGAGTGTGAGCACAAGCAGAGGCCCAGAGGGAGGATCCGGTAAGCGGGATAAACATAATTAAACACCTTTGATCAAATCAAGAAAGAAGCGAGATGGATGAAGAGGAGTCGCTCCGAGATTGTGCATTGTCCACATGGAAAGTGGGATTCTTACGGGTTTATGGGTTCATAACTCACGGGCCACCACGGTCCATGGTCATGGACATGGTCATGGTCCGCGGGAGAGGGAATGAGAGATTGAGGTTGAGAGTAGGGTGAATGAGAGTGAGCAGTGAGGTTCTATGCGAGTGAATATGAGATCCGACGGGTGTCCCGGGCAGACGGTGGATTTCGGCTACATTCTGGCGGGCAGAGAGACCAGTGAACCACGAGTCGGGAAATCTAGACACCGGACCGCCCCTTTTTCCTCCCTCTCTCTCCGTGTCTCTGTCTCTGCGAGTCTGTGATGTCGTCCCACGGGCCACCAGGGAAAGTCCACAGCTTGGTAGGGATCCATGGATCATGGATTGAAGAAGGGAGACTGGGAGAGAGATACCGCGGAAACTGTGGAGAACAAGGTTGGGCTGCGAGATTTTCGAGGATCTTGTCAGCGATGAATGGGAGCCAGTCGTTTGCTGGTCCTCTTTTCGTTCTGATTCAGGGGTTGGGGGACATATGGGGGCACATTCAAGGGGGCCGGCCCCAAAAGTCAGCAAGCAACCTAACGCTGCTGAGAATTGAGAATGCACGTTTGACGCAGTAAGGCGGCTGGGCGGCTGGCGGCTGCGTGTGTGATGTTTGGCTATATTCAGCTGCCAATCGGGAAACGAAAAAGGGACGACGGTTAGTTCGGATTTAGATTTTTGGAATTCGGATGCGGCTGGAGGGAAAGGGAGGGGGAAAGACGAGACGAACGTCCCCCCCCCCCCCTCTTCCCTCTCGCGTGGTTCGTGTGGAATGTCCCAGAGTTCATTGGCAAAAACGAAACAGCGGCTCGGGACAGGTTATGGAGTAACCTGACAGGTTTGACTGGCACGCTGGTGGGATCTGGAGTGGGCTTCTTGGCAGGGCGTGACGCCTGGTCACCAACTGGTCCGCGACGAAGAAACAAGACTTTTTTTTGTGGTTTTTTTTTTTCTCTCGCTGTAATGTAACCTGGGGAAATGATTACTGGAGTAAAATCGAAAGAATTCATCACAACTCATAGTTCAGAAAAAGAATGGGCTAGAACTTGGCTGGACTCTTGGAGTTTCTGGATCTTGGTACACTGGAGAAAATGGATCGAGGCGTTGGAAGTGGGAAAGGCTCAAGAGGTGATACCTGGTGCCGGGACATGCGTGGCTCTGGGTCCCTCGGCCCAATTATGTGTTTAGTACGTTACGACTTTGCAGTTCAAGCTTACCTGGTAGCTTAGTTAATTGCTGTTAAGGTGCGTTTCCCAAGTTTCAAAACAGTTTGCCTAAACGTTTTAACCTTACTGTGCTCGGTGTCATTCCAGGCCTTATTCGTATGGATTAGCTAACGCACCTCAGCAGACATGTACTCTATGAGTATGCACTTCAACGGGAGGCAAGTTAGGAGTTGATTGACTTGTCTCGCCTCAATCACGGTTCGTCTCATTTTTTGGTACTTTTTCGGACCAAGATCTCAAGTGACAGATTGTTTCTTCTTTCCCCCTTCTGTGTTAAGACAAACACTTTCCAACCCCCTTCTTCAAATTGTTCCCGCTACCCCTTGCGCCAATCAGTCAACGAGACGATCAATCGACGCAGCCAAGCGAAACTTCTCGGGCGATAGACATTAGACAGACGGGCAGCTAGCCGGCCCCAGCCCAACCCAGCCTGCCTTCTTCGCCTTTTCGAGACAAAGTGTCGTTGGTGTCATGGTCAAACGGCCGAACTTGTGGCGGCGGAGGCGGAACTAAACACGAGTTTAAAAAGCTGAAGTGCGAGTTATCTAGCTGGTGACAGCCTCCCTCCCGAGCCCCTGGACCCCCTAGATTTTACTTTCCGGTCCGCCTCTGAGGTATCACAGGAAGGTATCTCCTGAAGTCATACTTTCGGGATTTTTTGATTGACAGTATCCGTATTTGACTCGAGTAAACCCCCTCCTTTCTCCTGAACCCCGCGCGTCACACGCGAATCTGCACCATTTCGGCTTTTCGAGATGGGCCGAATTGGTTTAGTGCCAGGGGAGATCGACGAATCTTAAAACGGCGTCTGAACTTTCGGCTCTGCGCGTTTCCATCGCTCGATCTCTGCTGAGGTCAGAGGCATTTACATGCACATAGGTATGCGTGTCAGCACAGTACATCGTTTGGTGGGAGAATTGTAGCGCGGGAATGTCTGGCTCCATCTGCAGCTACCGGGCTTCTTCGTCCTTCCATGACGATGATCCGGTCTTGGTATTCCTGTGGGCAGACTCCAGAGAGTCCAGACTGTGCGCGTTGTCGGGGGACTCGGGCACTCGGGGAGGAGAGAGAAGTGGACGCGGCTACCCATTCGTACCCGCAGACCACGGACCCAGGGCTGAGGGAAATGCCTCTCTGATCCTGACATCCTGTGTGTGGTATGATAACAACGCTCGTCTAATTCGTTGTTCGGCTCTTGGTCGATCATTTGGTCTTGTTTGTTCTCTGTGCCTTGGAAAATCCTACGCAGTAATTCCCCGAAGGCGACGGCAATGGAACTAGACAAAAACCACAGTCAGGTACGTATCCATCAGGGCGGGGCGGGTTCGGACGACGAGGGCAAGAGGGATGGATCATGGTCCATGGATGGGAAGGATGGGATGAAATCCATGGAAGGGACGATGGGATGGATGGCAGGAAGATGGGAAGGAAGTGAGATACCAACGATACGTACCCCCAAAGTGCCCCCAGTAGCGCCGCCCACTTCTGTTTCATGTTCCCATCTCCGTTGTCCCCACTAACGCACGCCACGAGTCCCTGCAATATGAACTTCCTCTATGTTTGTCAGTGGTTTTTCTCTTGGCAAGGGCCCAGGCTTCTTTCCTGTTGGTCAGGCTGTTTTTTCTTCTCTCTCACTGTTCACACTTCGCTCCTCTCGGGCAGAATCATCTCACCACCACACACACAAGCACACCCGTATCTGTCTCTCTCTCTTCACGGTATCTCTCTGCTGTGCCCCCTCGACCCCGGCACCATGATCTGACACCCTTGGCTAGCTTAGGCAGGCAGAGAAAGGCTGAACAGAGGCAACCCTCCATGGCAGATCCCGTATCCTTTCCAGCTTTCCAGTGGGAACTCCACCAACCCAGCGGCGGCAATTTGTCTTGAAGCATGCCTTTTTTCGGTAGAATGGCCGCGCTAGCGCACCACCCAATGTAACCTGCAAGACGGGAACTGGGGGCAAGATGGCGGCGCGGAAGAGGCACAGATAGGATGGTGACGAGGAAGACAGAAGTCACAGAACTCTCTGTAGTACTGCAGTAGTGGACAAGGCGAGTGGGGGTGGTTGCCAACAGCCAACTTGCTGCCCGCCACCCAGAGTCCACAGCCCGTTGCCTACTGCAAGGTACCAGGCCGCCCGAGATGAGAGATGGAGAAAGCAACCAAACCAGGGGTGTCTATGGCCTTGCAGGAGCGGAGCTGCACGTCTAAAGGGGGGGCGTGCAAGGCGGTTGAGCTTCTTGCTGAACAAGAGTGCCACTATTCGCTTCCGCCCCCAGCTAGTGCTTCTTCCAACAGGATGACGGAGCCTCGGAGAGGGTCAAGGGCACTATGGAGCATCCGTACTGCAACTGTGCAAACCGCTGCCGCCCTCCCTCCATGCTAGGCCCTCTCTCGCGGCTCGCCCTGTCAAGGACCGCTGGGGTTGTGGTCCGTTGGTTGGTTGATATAAATCCATCTCGGTGCCCTCGATATCGGGCCGCTTCCTCTTTTTGTTCCCTGACCCCCATCGCGTTCTGTACACAGCTGGCCGCTGATACCACACTCCCTTCTTGTTCGTCCTCTTTCTTGAACGAACTTTACATTCATTATACCCACCAGAGCCAAACAACTTTTCGTCAGTTCGTTTGCTCCTTCAGTCTCTCTCGTCTAGCACGAAGTCACTGTTGAACAGTTCCACTCCTTGAACAAGGCAAAGCCAAGCGCTTACACCAAAGCAACAAAACCACCAACTACATTTCAGTCCTTCATTCGATATCTTCGATTTCGACTTTCTTCAGCAGGCCTGCTCTCAGCTGTACACAGAAACCCATCTTTTTCGGACCTCGACGTTCTTTCTTGCACAAAAAACGCAACATCTCATCTCAGGATACCCAACTTTCAACCCATCAAAATGAAGTTCTTCACCACCGCCCTGGCCATGGCCGCCGCTGCCAACGCCCACACCCTCATGTCCAAGCTATACATCAACGGCGAGTCCCAGGGTGATGCTACCTGCATCCGTATGCCCAAGGAGGGAGACACCGCCACCTCCCCCGTTGCCGGTCTGACCAGCGAAGACATGGCTTGCGGTAAGCTACTACCACGCCTTCGTCCAGCATCAACAAGCTTGGGCACTGCTTATTTTGATATTCACATTTACTGACATCACCCATAGGCAAGGACGGCCAGATCGCTGCCGCTTACACCTGCGCTGCCCCCGGCAACTCCAAGCTCACCTTCGAGTTCCGCCAGTGGCCCGATGCCCGTGCTGAGGGCTCCATCGACCCTTCCCACAGGGGCCCTTGCTCCGTCTATGTCAAGAAGGTTGACGACATGACCACCGCCGCCGCTGGCCCCAACTGGTTCAAGATCTGGGACGAGGGCTACGATGAGTCCACTCAGCAGTGGTGCACCGACAAGCTCATCGCCAACAAGGGTCTTTTGACCGTCGAGCTCCCCTCTGGTCTTCCCGCTGGTTACTACCTCGTCCGCACCGAGATCCTCGCCCTCCACCAGGCCGTCAGCCTTCACGACCCCCAGTACTACGTCGGCTGCGCCCAGATCCACGTCTCCGATGGTCCCTCCGGCGCTCTCGAGATCCCCTCCCAGTACTCCGTCAGCATCCCCGGCTACATTGACGGCTCCGAGGCCGGCAACAACTTCAACCTCTACGACAACCCGCAGTACCCCTACCCCATCCCCGGCCCCGAGCCCTACAGCCCCGTCGGCACCGCTTCCGCCAGCGCAAAGTCCACCTCCTTCGAGGGCGGTGTCCCCTCTGACTGCCTGATCAAGAACGCCAACTGGTGCGGTAAGGCTCCCGAAGCCTACACCACCCAGACCGGCTGCTGGGCCGCTGTCGACGCTTGCTACGCCCAGGGTAACGTGTGCTTCGACTCCGCCCCTCCTACCGGCGCCGCCAACTGCTACGTCTGGAACGACAACATGTGCAAGGGCATCTCTGCCCAGTGCACGGCCGGCAACTGGCAGGGACCTCCCACCATCGAGATGACTGCTAAGACCGTCGCCGCCCCCGGCGCCATCCCCGCTGCCGTCAACCTCAACCTCCTTGGTGGCTCCGCCAACACTGCCGCCGCTGCCGTCGCCTCCGCCACCCCCTCCAAGACCGCTGTTGCTGCCTCTTCCTCTGCTCCCGCCGCTACTCCTTCGGCTGAGTACGCCGCCGAGGACCCCGTCGCTACCAGCGCGCCCGCCGCCACCGTTGCCCCCGTGACTTCGGCCGCCCCCGTCCCGGCTTCCACCTCCGTTGCCGCCCCCGCCGCTCCTTCCGCCTCTGCTCCCGCCCCTGGCGCCCTTGTCCCCTCCACCGATGGTACCTGCGGTGGTAGCACCGGCTTCACCTGCGAGGGCAGCTCCTTCGGCTCCTGCTGCTCCGCCGCCGGCAAGTGCGGCAGCAAGATTCTGCAGTGCAGACCCTCTTGCGGTTGCCAGACCAAGTTCGGTCTCTGCCTCGAGGCCCGCAGCCTGACGAAGAGCAACTAAAGCAAGCAAGCTTAGTTTCTTCCTGACCCACACCAACCTCTCCATCAAACAACATCACGACATCAAAACAACATTAGAACGTGATCATGACGACGACATGAAAGAAACCCCCTTCTTCCATCAGTGGATTCAAAAACTTCCTTCGCTTCGCTTTTTTCTTCGACGAGTCTTCTTTTTTACCAACATGCATCTCGCTTGCATCGTTTATCTTCAACTAGGGGGTGGAAAAATTTTTTGGGGTTTGGTGACAACACATACATCACGGCCGGGTTCAATGGTGTTATCTTTTGCGAGTGGGAAAAAACAAATTACATCGGAACAGGAAATCATGGGCATTGCTTGGGTAACTTCTGGTGTTCTTTGTCATGCCATTCTTGTATATAGTGTACAATTCGATCATAAACAAATTTCTGTCTCCTGTATAACCGCATGTGAGTTTGGGATCGGGCTTTTAGATGTGTGTTATACATCTACAAGTATATATAAGTGTACCCACCTCCTGAAGTGGGAGGCTGAGAGGCAACGACTTCAATCGGGGGAAGCTTCCAGTCGTTGGTCTGCCGTGAATAGATCTCCTTTGCGGCGTCTCTTACCTACCACCAATCTGATCTACCTCGGAGACATGTATAGCCCCTACAACTAGTCATCCAAAATACAATTGCTTGCCCGTCAATAGTACGAGGGTATTCACTGGAAAATATAGAGCAATCGCGCGCCAGACAGCAACAACAACGTCTCTCAAATGTTTTGTGGCCGTCTTGAGTTGAGATATCACTGTGAAGAAATCTCGATTCTTGAGCCGTGCCTAACGCGAAGCGATCTCGACAAAGTCTCCTCCCGTTCATTGAGGCCTTCCTAGATGGCGAAGTTTGTTCCAAGGCCCTTTGCTTGTTTTTTATCCTAGCGTCTCTGCCGCCAGCTTCGCTTTAGCATTCTGTAATCAGCGCGTATAGTCGTCGACACGTCTTCCACGCGAAGCGGCTTACACAGCAGGCAATAATTTCTGATTTCTTTCTTTTTTTTCTTTCCCGTCCTTCATACTGGCAGACTATTCGCAGAATAAGGGCAGCTCGGGGGAGCCGACTCTTGATATATAAATAGAGCGTGAATAGAGTTATCCCGCCGGCTGTATGAAGTCGTCGGTGCGCGCCACATATTTACTCGTGACGCTTTTGAATCATGCGACGAGATGTTGGATGAACTGGGCCTCTCGGCATTCGCCAGCCATCTCTAGGGACATGGTAAAAGTTTTTGGCATGATGAAGGATGTCTATTACAGCGCCGGGTGATCTAGCAGGCACCGTTCACAGAAAATAGTAATTCCACCAACGCCATCCTGTCATGTCTGGCCGCTCGTTCATTCTTCGATCCTACTGAGAGCACCTTCCCAGTCTTGCATGGGAAGTTTGATTCAACCGCTCTGTCAAGCTAGCTGACCGCGCCCTCCAATATGCTATCGCCCTCCCCCAAAGATGGTGCAAAAGTTCGTGTAAGGAAGTCGATGTCGTTGCATCGTGACTATCCCCCCCCCCCCCCCAAATAAGGTTTAGGGAGTGCAGCTGAATCCGAAGACCCCATTCTTGCAGAATCCGTTGGTGATGCGAGTGCCGCCAGGCTGTGTATGAGAAGATTAGTATGTGCGAGGGTTTGAGGCTTTGCCATTGATCTGGTAGAATCGGGTGGTCTACTCACGTTGTCCTCGCAGGTGACTTTGCACGCTACACCGACATTGTCCTTGGTACAGTCCGGTACCTGTTTGCACTTGCTCCCAACTGTCTGAATCTGGGCCGCAGCCTGGCCGAGGAGGGCGGCGGCGGCGAAGATGAAGAGAGATTGGAAATGCATGTTTGTTTTGTTCGTTTTTCTTATTAGATGATGGGGTGATGAAGAGCTTTAGTATGGTATAGTAGAATTTCGAAGATGAAGAGGGAGAGCCGGAGAATAAGAATGCGGTTGTTGGTCTGTATTAATGCATTACTTCAACGACTCCCCACTTGTTCCTTTTTCCGTATCAAAGGTGATCGTTGCTGCAGGGCCTGATCGGCATTAAATTCCTTGATGAACGTGTGACGTTCGGTATCCCACATGGCGGATTTAGATTGAAACTTATGCTCGCAATTTAGGGTTTCCCCCGTTGAGTACTCACGGTACTATATGTTTGGGTGCGCAAAGGCATCAATATAGCCTTGGTGGCCGCTTGCGCGTTGCGGCTGGGGTGCGATGCGAGTCATAGGGCTGTCAACTCGGCAGGATATGCTTCGACTGGCTAGAAGCTGGGGATTTCCAACACGTCGGGACTTCGGTTGTCCGTGATGTAGTTCCGATTTAAGTTCACGGGAGATACCTTGCTTGTATTCTGAAACTTTGTTCATTCTTGCGAGAGAGACTTTGACTTCAACATGAGAGACGGGATGAACATCCTCCGTACTGAACTTCCAGCCGACGTCGGTCGGCAAGTAGCCATTGAGGCCGGATGAACACCAAGACAATCCTAATTCGACTGCCAACATGGGAATGAACTCATACAGGCTCGCGACAGTCCCATGAAAACAGTCCATGCTGTGGAATCAATTAAATCAGAACAGTCACTAAGCCCACACGTAAACGGCACGGCTGCACATGACTCAGCTTCCGACAAAGTTTCATGTAGACGAACGCCTGGCGAGAATAGTGTCAAAGCCGACTAGCCGTATCAAACGCCTTTATTCGCCCCGTCTGTTTCGCATGAGAAGGCGGAGGGTGATACACGCAAGTTCCATGTTGCTCGCGGGCCTCCCGATCCCCTTGAAAGCTGGGGCTCTGTGCAGAGGTCGATGCTTTTGCTATTTAACGAAGACTAGGCGCACAGGCATCATGAAATTGAAAGAGTCCGATGAAGGTGTTAAGCTTAGTCGGTCATGTTCGTTGCAACAGCTTTGAGGTTCTGATATAGCTGAACCCATGCTGAGGGATCAGACAATGTGGGCTGTGCTGCTGGTGAGCCACTCTACTGTTCTATGAAGCTGCCGGTAACAGATTTCATTTGCAGGGCAGCTCCAGCAGTCTTGGGCATTCAGAGGAAATTTTGCCGAGCAATCGCTCCCCCGAGTGGAATCCTTGAAATAATGACTAGGTATTCACCGATGAGCATGTGTCGAAAGTTCCCGTCTCTTGTGGTATTGAAAACCTAGCAACCAAGGATCCGCCGCACGTCAGAATGAGCAGAAGATGGCGGACACGGGGCCCAATATGAAGGATTCTCTGTTCAGGCAGCCTTCCGCGTAGCATACGTTCACGCATCCCAATCCTGACAAAAGTTGACGCCCCCGTCTCCGTCAAACCCATCCCGGAGTCGTCCCCGGTGAGCACGGGCCTCCCGTCTCCGGTCGGCCAGTCTGGACCCACACACGGCACAGCTTGTCTCCCAATCGGGTAGGAAGCTGATGGTACGTAGCTAACCTATGCAAGGAAGGGGTTTGCCTATCACCCTACCTTACAGAGATGTCATCACACCTCCGGGCTTGCTGGAACACTGGAGTATCTGAGAATCGAACGACCAAGTTCATTCAACATTCTTCGTCATCGTCAAATGCAGGAGCACACGTAACCGCCAACTACACGGCTAATAAATTCGGCCCACTTCGTATCGCCATGGACGGACTGCAGCTCCCCAATATTGACGACTTGCTAGTAATAGCAGACAGCCCAGCGAGAGCCGACGTATCGGGAATGGACCGCGAGCGATGCTCATCTCTGCACAATTACCTTGTGCGCTACGCCTAGGCAGCCGAAAGCCGTCCATCAGCCGATCTAGACAACAACGACGACACGTTCTTCGCCACCCACGCCGACGCCGCTGAAGCTCTTCGTCCGCGGCTCGACTCATAGTTCACAGAATTTTTAGAAAAGGCCATGTTACCTCCCGCAGATGTAGACGACCCAGCTCCACTCTTCTTCTGGGCCGGGGGCACCACCGAGCCGGATCGCCTCTTCGACAACGACACATTCGACTTATTCGACGAGCCCGAGGCCGCCATTGTCTGTTTGTATCCGGCTATCAACGGCCAGGGCGGCCGGTCTGGCGGTGGGCTGTGGTATCACTAGTCCTCCAACCGCGCCGACTTCTTCATGAGCCAGGTTGACTACGAGTTCGCGCTGCCCGTCAACGAGGGACAGCATGCCGCGCTGTGGCATCCACTCGAGACGATTATCTCCGACTGGATTCAACTCATTCGCATGGAGAAGGACAAGGTAACACCCCACGATACACCCTACCAGTTTGGCAGCGAACAGATTGGCGGGCGCTGGGAGTGGCGGCCATATGGCGACGCCCAGCGTGGAACAGCTTTTGCAACGCCATCGAGACACGCATCGTGGGCAACGATAATGCTGCCACAGGCCAGTCGCAGTCTGGAATTTTACTCACGCCCGCTGTGCTTGATACGGCGTCAGTGCCAGACGGCTTTGCACGCGCCCTTCCGCCCCGCGCACGTCGGCCGCGATCCCGCCACGTTGCTCCGGGCCTCGCCGTACCTCCCGCAGACGCAGCCAAGTTCACATCAATACAGCGTTTCGCACAGAAGCAGCAACCGGGGCTGGAGGATATCCCGCCCATCTGCCTTTTCCCCGCCGCGCAAAGTGACCTTGAGGCCGATGTGACTGGATCGCTTGGCCCGTTTCCTGATCACTCGGATCTATCCCGAGTCCACGCTGGTATCTACAGTGAGTCTGTCTCAAGGAAGTCCTATGGCAATGCCGAAGAGGGGTTCTGGCTGTTGCTACCGTTCAGCTTCCAGGGCTACGTTGGGGACGAGGGGGGTGTAGCCGGCGCACGCAAGAGCGACCGGTCTTTTGTCGAGGCAGGCAGGGTGGCCGAGCTCTTTTAGCATTGATACAAGCCATTTTACAGCGACCAGAATCGCCCTCAACGCCTGGAACGCCTTCTAAATCATCGGCATGGGCTGGGTGACGATGGTGTCTGGGGTGTAGGGCCGCAACGGGTGAAGGGCTCCACCGAGACTTTTTGAGACACTGACACGACACCTTGACGTAAATATCACATCTCACCGAGTTGGTGATCTTTCATAAGAATTCCCTGGTGTGTTTGCATGATGAGATATGCAGGTCAGGAAAAATCACCCTTCTTAAAGGCACAATTCCGCCCGTGTGGACGGCTAGCCACAGTTTCGAAATAAACTACTTATCCGTATCGCATCACCACTTTCATCTCCTGTGATGGCACCGCGCTTGATGACCTCGTCGCCGTTCTGACCGTAGAGCACGAGGCTACCCGCGTTGGTGATGCACGAAGCAACAAACCCCGCGCAGCAGTATGCCCGATAGCCACTAGTACAGGTCAGATCAGCTAGTTGAGCACCCTCAATGTTTTGGTAGGAGTTGCTATTACGCGCCACGATGGTGGCTTTGGCGTCACCAAGACAAGGTGAAAGATGGCATTGGTACGTTTTCAAACATGCCTTCAATAGGGCACATTATCGACAAACTAGACGTAGCAGAAAACTGTTTTAGGATGCCCATTCTCTTCTATACTTAACTTAGTAAGCATTCGAAGCCCAAATTTTATGCAAAGCTGTGCTTTGGTGAATCTTCAAATAAAATGTTTGAATTTGGTTGAACTCCTCACAAACCACTATGCTATGTAACCAAAAGACCACAGCCCTTTAAGCTAACCAAAATCTACCCTTGATCCAATTCGTAAGCCTCTCAGCAACTCTCCCTCTTTAACAGCTTCCCCTCTCATCACCAGGGCAAGAAATACAGCACTGGTAACTCTTGCCATCAAACGTCGCCGAGAGACGTCTCGGCACAAAGGTACCCGGAGCATCACAGATGACCTCGTCGCTGTAGATGCCCTGAGGGGAGCCGCCGATCCGCGTGCAGAGTTCGCGGGAGTGGTCGATCCAGGCTTGCATGGATATTTGGCCGCCGTTGGGACTGCATGATTTCCGGGTCCATTGGCAGGTTTTGGCGTTGGCGATCGCCAGGGATGAGGCAACGGTGAGGAGGACGGTGAACTTCATTTTTCGTTGTCCTTGAGGTTATGGTTTGAAGGAAGATATGTTTGAATTGTCAAAGAGGACTATCCTGTGCTGAACGAGTGTAGTATCTTGTGTTCTCAGTTGAAGTTGCTGAGTCGATGTGAAAGAAGGGCTCTGACTGCTAATTGTTGGTGTGGATGCGTTCTCTGTGGACGGAACATACGATGACTTATATACCCTTGAACTATATCCGCCTGAAGCAATGCAAATAGCTTGTAATTGCTAAATCTCCCTCGTAATCGCAAGCTCGGTGTTTTCGCGTCCCCGTACGCTGCGTTCTTTCCCATCCCTCCGGATGCAGTGTTATTTATCCGTAAGATCTACTAGCTTAAGGTTTCGTTTAGCTCCGTTCAGGTTCATGACTCGAAGCTTAGAACGAGTAAGTCGCAATGTAAAGAGGTATCTACAAGACTACAACTGCGCCATAGCCCAGCTTGCGGTCCACCGCAAATGTATGAAGCGAGTATCCGTACCCGTATTGCCTAGGTATGTACGGATGTATTGGGAAGCATATCAAGTGAGTAGGGTGCTAAGAAGGGCCTTAAAGTTTTCGGATCTGCCCCCTACTGTCACGCCCTATGAGTTGTACTCTGTAGTAGATTGGGCTCCCCATATCATCCTTGCACATACCATTCTGCGGCGGTTCCGAGTCCCGACAATCTGGAGTATTCCGTCGGCGAGGTCCCCTGGATATTGGGATCAGACTGGATGAAACTTGGGTTGAACCACCTGGCCAAAGCGTGCCGTGTGCATGGATTTTTTTGAGTCCAAATAGGTGGAGAAGCGGTTATGGTCTATTTCGTATTGGGAGTTGTCTGCGAATTCTGACTAGCGAGGAGAGTTGTGTGAGTTACGACTAACGCATGGAGGCAGGAAGTCCCATAGTTGTCTGAGGCCTCGCAATATACTCGGATGGGTGTACCGTCGTGAAAGCGCCGGTGTTGCAGTTTACTAACTTAATAACATCTTTTCTGGGGTTCTAAAGTTGATGGAGGGGCTGCTCCGTACGTTTTGCGGTAATACAGGTACACGTGAGGTTGAGTCACCTCGAATAATCTCTAAAGCCCCTCTTGGCCCTGAATGAGAAATACAAATATCAATACATGATGTTGCTCTAGCAATGCCTTGCCGCACATCGAACTTTTAGACGAGTCAGACTTCTGACTACGTTAACATTATGACCTCCTTCAACGCTCTTCAACCAAGCAGCTTCTTCAGATCCGCCATGCGGGTCTCCTGTGTCTTCTTCCCTTTGTTCTTCTCCTGGAACGCCTTGCCGACCAGCGTCCGCTTCTCCAGCTGGATATCCAGCACACGCTCCTCAACAGTCCCCTCCATAACAAGACGCCACACAGTTGTAGGCCTCTTCTGACCCAGGCGGTGCACACGATCCACAGCCTGGTCCTCAATTGCCGGCGCCCACCAGCTGTCTGCAAGAATCACCGTATCCGCCGACACGAGATTGAGGCCGACGCTGCAGACGGCCAAACTCGCGAGCATCACGCGCGTCTCCGGGTCATTGTCCAGGGCATGAATGGCGGCGTCTCGTTTCGGCGCCGTCATGGAGCCGTCGATGCGGGTGAACTTGTAGCCGGCCTCGACGAGTTGGTTCTGAATGATAGTCAAGAACGAAGTCCATTGTGAGAAGATGATGACCTTGGAGTCGGGACTTTTGGTTGTAGCCTGTAGAATTTTGAGGAGAGCCTCGGTCTTGGAGCTTTTCGCGTCAGCATCAAAGTTCTCATCTTCCTCTTCGCCGCCCTCCGGGGCGGGCTCCAGAAGCGCGTCTTCATCGAGCTTGTTACGACACATGGGGCACTTTCCCTGTGTCTGAATCACTTTGGAAATGCAATCGCGGCAGAAGACATGCTTGCAATGCGTGATAACAGGGTTGCTCAGAGTATCGAGGCAAACCGCACAGTCTTCCTGGGTTTCGATGAAAAGACGAAGGGCTTCTTGGAGGATCTTGGTGTTTTCTGAGTTGAGCACAACAACAGATTGGCCTTCGAGGGCCTCAAGAAGATCGGAAATCCTTTTGCGGCAGAGCGTCCAGTGATTGCACCTATGGAAACATTAGCGATAGCCGATTTATCAACGGTGGGCAATACTCACACCTGACGTAGGCGGAGGAGGCGTTCCAGTACACTTTGAAACTGGCCCTTCCCACCAGTGTTGTTCTGGTATTTCTCAAGCGCAATCTGTGCTTCGGACCTATGTTGATACCTGAGCTTGGTCCCTCAAGTGGTAACACGGGCGACTTACAGCAATGCTTCGTACTTGCTTTTCTCGTCTGGCCTGAAGGCAATGCGGTGGACGTATTCCGTCTTGGGCGGAAGCTTCAAGTCAACGAATTTCATGTCTTTCTTGCGTCGCAGGCAGAGATCTCGCATTAGTAGCTGTAGGAGAGCCTCTGCCGTCTCGTTCCCTTGTGCAAGGGGCCGTGCGATCACGCTGGTGAAAATGGCAGGTTGCTCGACGCCACCATTTATTCCAAGGAACTGAAGCAAGGACTGGAAGTCCTTGATATTATTGATGCTAGTGACAGTAAGTCTGAGTATGCTCACTTTGATTGAATCCATCCTCAGGACACTTACATCGGAGTTCCTGTGAGGACCCATCTGGACTTAGCGTTGAGCTTTCGACAAGCTATGGCAGCTTTGGTCTTTGCGTTTCGGATCGTGTGACCTTCGTCAAGTACAACGCGAGTCCAGTTCGTGGCGATGAGGGGTGGTAAAGGTGCGATCACCTTTTCCTGGCCTCCCTCCTGGGCAAGCTTGTTGTAGCTGGTTATGACGACCTGGTACTTGGCCAGCTCATTCTTGGTGGCCTTGTTGTTTCCGTGATAGGTAAAGATCTTGGGCAGATGCTCCTTTTTGACATGCCTGCGGATCTGTTGGTCCCAGTTGCTCATGACGCTCAACGGAGCAACGATGAGCGTCGGACCAGCCCCTCCAGTCAAAATCAAGCTGATGACTTGTAAAGTCTTGCCAAGACCCATGTCATCTGCTAGTATGCCCCCCGAAAGGAGCTTGGGTGCACTCTGTACCACGAAGTTCGTGGCCATATTGTGGTACAAGTTACGGCCGTTCGGGTGCCATTTCCACAGTTGGACACTCTCCTGTGAGCCCTTAGGAGGCATCTGGGGGTTCTCTTTCGACGTCATCCACGCCAGACCCTGTATCACCATTAGCCAAAATGCACCATAGCCCTGAAGATTCTCGATACGTAGGAAATGAGGGGGATGGGGGGGGGGGGAGTGCAGCTTGTAGACCAGCATGCATAAAGCTCGACATGGCTCACCTGTAATTGGTATGGCAGTAATGTCGACTCAAGAACGGCGGGCTGCTCTGCCATCGGCATTTTGGACAAGAATTCCTCGTCCATCACTAGCGACTTGACAGCATCACCGCGTGGACGGCTCGAAATTGCCTGACTGGCTTGTGCCAGGTCCTCCAGAGACACCTCTGGCTCAGCAGGGTTCAAACCGATTGTAGACTGGCTGCCCTTGATGCCTAGCATCTTTCTCTGCGCTTCTGCCTCGGCTCTCGTCTGCTTAAGTTCTCTAGCCTTGAGCAGTTTGTCCTTCTTCAGCTTGTCCTCCAACGCCGAGCGGTCGATTGGGTTGCTCGAACCATAGAGCTGTAGACGAATGGGGCAGTCAAACATGCCCTTCTCCCCTGTAAGAATAGCTTCTATCGCGATCTCATCCCGATCCTAGCACAGGTTTTAGTAGCGATTGGAATGCTGGATCAAAGTACGTACAACGTATGGCGCTAGCTTTTCAACTACTTTGCGTGGAAGATGGCCGATCTGGGCGCCCATGACGTTACACACTCGGATGGCATTGCGATCATACTATGGTCATGTCAGACATCTGACGGCAAAGAAGGGAGCTCAAATTGGAAGAGGATTCTTTGAGCTTGTGATAGTTGTGATTCAGTACCTGATTACTGGGTTCTCTCATACATACGACCACCTCGCCTGCAGAGGCATATCCATTGTAGTAGCGAACGCCGACAATCTTGTTGTCTATAATATCAGATCAGCATACAGGATGATACCCTACGAAACACCCAAACGCCGTACCGAGAATCCCATAAAGTTCTCTTGGTGGGCCATCCGGAGCTTGGGTCAGATCGACAAGGTCGTCATCGTTGTCGGTAGACTGAGTCGAAGAGCGAGGAGCAAGAGCACCTGAGCTCAAACGGGATTGAGAGTTTGATGGGGTATTTCCATAAACCCTGCCGCTGGCTGGACTGGGACCCAAGTGATGGCCAGCCGGCCTTTTGCTGGGTCGTTGGGCAGATCCGTCTTCGCCATCGCTACTAACAAGGTCGATGACAGCTATGCTGCGCTTCTTGGGTGGCATCCTCAACGTCCGAGCCCCCGGACTCTGGGGCCGTATTCTGGGGCCGGATGGGTACTAATTCGTGAAACAAAAGAGCGGATTGGGGAAAGCTGTCAGCTTACGGAAACTGACAGGTTGGTACCGAACGATTCCAGATCTGGCGTGCCGAAACTGGGTTGGACAATTGGGACCTCTCACAAATCGGACCAGACGCGAGACGCGTCTCTCGCATACCCTGAGTGGTGAGATCGACACAGGGATTCTCTTACACCAGAACCATGAGGCTGGTGCAGTGGCTGGAGAGATGCAAGACTGTGGCTGAGTCGCTCTCCATCAAGTGACCTCGTGCGAGCACGCCATCGTGGAGAAGACCCACACAAGCCAATCATCGTGAGTTGCAAAATCACGACATTTCACGTGACCTGCCTCCGGGCCCGTTTGGGTGGTCTCTGGCCAACGACGACGACTCTGCGGCTCTTACACCTTCTCAACTTCACTTCATTTCTATTTTCTTGTCTCAGGTAATTCTCTGATGAATTTGCTATCTTCTGGTACCCAAAATACATACGGAAACGCGGCAGGTTGAGCTCGCCGACGGTGCCTATCCACTATATACGGTGGATAGAGCATTCATACCATCATCATTCATCGTCTACCGGCAAGCGCTCTGCGGCTCTCGGCATCCCTCAGTTATATATCAAACAGGACAAATCCAAGCCCGGATCGTCATCGAAGCCAAGTACGCAAACGCCCAGGACGAAAAAGCACATCGACCCTATCACCATTTACTGCTTCGGCAGTCGGCGGCCGTACGCCGAATAGTAGCCGCACTTGGCTACATGGCTCCTCTTGCTAGTCTTCTCATTGAAGATGTTGCAACCACCCTTGGCGACGTTGGGAGGAGTGTAGACTACGAAGTGGTCAGTCATGTTACGGCAGAGACGGCGAGGCAACCTTACGGTGAAGGGAGACAGCGAAGTCGCTGCCCTTGTTGCAGACCATGTGGACGCCAAGCTCGTCTGCCATGTATGCCACCGCGTTCTCCTTGTGTGTTCTTTCAGAGATTATTTGCATGGGTTGTTCTTCGCTGCCTTCTGGGAAGGCGTAGCGGATTTCAGTGAGATCGCCTTTCAGAATCTTCATCAGGCAATGCGCATTGCCATGGTCATGAATAGGGCTTCCCTTGCCTGGCGACCAGACAAGCACAAGCTGTGCGGCGTTAGCCATGATACTACCTGGTGCCACGAAGTCGTGGTTTCGAGTCGACTCACCAGGTTACTCTTGCCGTTGCCTTCGTCCACGAGGTTGCGGGTGTATCCCATGCTCTTCTCGGCGAATGCAAATTGTATCCATTCGCTTTCCGTTGTGTTATACTCTTCCATCAACTTCATCAACTCGTTGACATCGACGTCTGCCGAATCAAGTCCTGATGATGGGCCAAGCGCCTCCTTCAATCCCAACACGAGCTCGTCGAACCGATTGACATCGGTCTTGAGGTTATGCCCGAAGGCGGAGGTGATCTTGGTCAAGATATCGACGGCCATGGCTGCTATGGAATGCTATCAAGTTGGTGCTGTTGGTGATGATGTTGATGGTGCTTGGACGATTGTTGCTTGGAATGATCTGTTGGGAATGTGTCGTGCGGGGGGCTGGACTCTTTTTGCTCGTCGGTGATACGAATCTACCCGGTGACCGGGCCTGGCTGGCATTACCTGATGGAAACGAGCGGGACTGGCGGAACTACTGGTTGATCCGACTTCGGCGGGTGGGTCGTCTCGTCGGTCCTGACTTTTCTCTTTGACAGGGCAATCTGTCCACGTTGCCAGAGCGCAGCGGACAATTAGTCGGTGACCAATTCAACGTCTGGTGGACTGGTCTCCAAAAATAGGCGCTTCTGGTTGGATGAGATAACCTACTTTACCAAAGTCGAGGGATCCCGGCAAAGCCGCTGATAGGCGACGGTGAGCCCCGATACTTTTGGTGGTCAGATGGCCAAACACCAGACGAGATAGGCCTTGTTAGAGTTTCACGGGTCTGTATCTAGTCAAAGGATTTTCATGCAGATTTTTAATATCAAAATGAATTCTTGACAACATGAAAATCTCATCTTGCCAGTTGAATGGGTGGATCGCTGCCGGCGTCGGCCGATAGCCGCACCGCCTCAGAGTCAGCTGAGCGGATCCGGTGTGGGGCTAGTTACCAGAATGGGTTCGTCTAGATTACTCACGCTAGGAAACGGCTTTACCTTAGGTAAGAGAGCCAGAGTCATAGGGAAACTTGCCGCTCTGAAATTCCTTTTTCATTGTTGCGTGGGTGAACTCTGGTCAAATATTTTGCTACATCTTCTGTAGCAGAAAGAAATAGCCATTGAGTTGTCCAGCCACCAGTAGGCAGACTTGGGAACAGAACTTTGGCGAAGTCATCTGGTCTCAGGTGCTCTTCAAAGCTATGGCTACTGTTAGCGCAACCTCGACAATTCAGTCAGGAGCGCAACAAAGTTCTTGTCAAGATGCCCCAACCCCATGTTCACCTTGTAATAAGGAAAACGTAGGTTGGAGGAGAATTGTCAGGAACTTTACACCCTCGTAAGCAAAGTTTTGAGAGTCAACGACCAACTGGAGTGTGTCTAACATAGTGCAGATGGTTTGCGGTCACAATGGGAACTGGGATAGTCTCAGTCCTCCTTCGCAACCTGCCTTACAATGCAACGTGGATCTCGCATGGTCTTGCCGTTGCCTTTTTCGTACTCAACATCGCCCTGTTTACCGTATTCACCGTCATCACAGTGCTACGGTACGCATTGTACCCCGAGATCTGGAAGGCCATGGTTGTACACCCTGCCCAGTCCATGTTTCTTGGCTGTTTCCCTATGGGGTTTGCCAGTTAGTCGCGAAGTTCTCCCCACACCACAAGATATACTAATCTCTGTGACCAGCCATTATCAACATGATGATCTTCGTGTGTGCACCTGCCTGGGGCCAGTGGGTGGTGAATTGGGCATGGGCATTTTGGTGGCTTGATGCTGCTCTGTCAATGGCAACCTGCATCTCGGTGCCCTTCGTCATGTAAGTGACATCACCACACAACGTTCAAAATCGAGACTGACCAACCATGTTTCAAAGGATTCATCAACACCGCCCTGGACTCCAGGCAGTAACAGCCGCAAGTCTCCTCCCAATCGTCCCGGTCGTAGTCGCATCTTCCACTGGCGGCATCGTCGCCGAAGCCCTCTCAAACCCATCTCACGCCTTCACAACTCTGATCGCATCCTACGTTCTCTGGGGTATCGGCATCTGCTTCTCGGGCATGGTTCTCGCGCTGTACTTTCACCGCCTGACGATTCACAGCCTCCCGCCCAAGGAGGCCATCGTCTCCGTGTTCCTGCCCATCGGTCCCTTGGGCCAGGGCGGCTTCGGCATCCAGCAGCTCGGAAAGGTGTCCCTGAAGCTCTTCCCCCAGACTGCGGCTCTGACCGTGGCGGCTCCGGGGGCGGTGCACGGCGGGGAGATACTCTACTTTGTCGGGCTCTTCCTGGCGCTCGTCATGTGGGGCTTCGCGCTCGTCTGGTTGTCGTTTGCTCTCATCAGCCTTGCTACGATGGAGAAGATCCCGTTCAACATGGGTTGGTGGGGGTTTACGTTCCCGCTGGGCGTGTTGGCGACCTGCACCGGCAAGCTGGCCCAGGACTTGGACAGCCCCTTTTTCAGGGTCATGACCATGGTTTGTCCCTCTCTCGTTCTTGTCGATGATTACCCACCCGGTTTGCTGATTTTTCCTGACAGATCTTCTCGCTGTCTGTATGCTTGCTCTGGCTGCTTGTTGCGGTGAGAACACTTCATCAGGCCATTTCTGGGGAAATTTTCTTTGCGCCGTGCCTGAAGGATATCCGAGACAAGCAAGCGCAGGCAGGATCGGATAGGAGGGTTTAATAACTGGATCGATTTGAAAAGCCAAAGTAACAGCGACTCAGTGGCAAATGGCTGCCTCCAAGGGCACAAGCCTGGGTCTATTTACTGTACACCAGTCAAGCTCCCGTGCGGTCTCTTGACCAATATATATATCAATGATTAATCTGGTGTGACATCCACCATCAGCCATGTAGGCATCTATTGTGTACCCAGAAGCATTGAAATATAATTTAAGCGCAATACGTAGATTTCGGTTCGAGTTACAAGCCTAAACCGTTTAGAAAAATTGACTTCAACTTAATTTGCAAACAGATATTCTTGCCACAGGCGGACTCTTGCCACAGGCGGACTCTTGCCACAGGCGGACTTCTGTCTTAGTCATGGTGTTCTCACCTTGAGATGCCCTCCAGCTGGCCGAGGTGCCATTCAATGCCAATGGTCAGCAACTGGGGAACCCCAAAGACGCTAATGGCGGGGTCGATGAGGTGCAGGGCCTAAAATTCTTTGGCGGGGCACCACTAAACACCCAGGTCAGCCACTGGGAAAGTTTGACACTTGAAATAATTATTGCAATTGCGCTCGCACCCACTGGTCAAAGCCCATTTCGCACACCCCGCCACTGCTCATATACAACTTGGAAGAAATCACAACCTCAAGGCGCGTTCCTGAAAAAGTGACGAAACAATCCGCGCAAAGCTCGTCTTCGAGCACCGCGCTCCGTCGCAGCACCAATGGCTTCCATTCTTGAGCCCGTAGGCTTCAAGTCCATGTTGAACAGTAAGTTGACTCTTGCCTTTGGTACTTCCTGCCATCCCTGTTTCTTATTCAGCCGCTCATTGTACTGTAGACGTCCACGATGTTTGGCAGCAGGTTCGCATACCTGTGATCTTGTTCACGGCCTTCGGACTCTTGATTCTGCGCTTCTATCTCCATTCTACGGAGGAGAAGAGCGAATTGAAGGCCCTGCCCAAGGCCTACAACAGAGAGAAGCCCGAGACGAAGCCCGTGGAGGAGGAGAAGAAGGATGTCAAACCAAGCCCCCCGAACCCTACCGTCGAGTCGAAAGCGCCAAAGCCGAACGGGCCTAAAAGGATAAAAGGCGGAATCGTCAAGCGCACTTCTTCTAACGACGCAAAGGGAGAGGCGCTGGTCCGCAAGGTCAGGCCTCTAGTCTTCTTTTCAAGCATCACCGCAAACACACCCAAGATCGCAAAGGAGTATGCAGAGGGTCTGGAGAAGGAGCTGCAAAAGGTCGCTGCAGAGACCGACTGCTCGTTCATGACTCCCGAGGTGCTGGATCTTGCCGAGGTCGACTTTGACGACTACTTCATCACCCCGCCCAAGTCGGAAGAGGACCCCGCGGACCTCTTTTATCTGTTCCTACTGCCAAGCTACAACATCGACACCATCAACGACACCTTCTTGGAACACCTCCAGGAGACCCACCACGACTTCCGTATCGATACCGCGCCGCTGTCCTCGCTGCTCGGATACTCCGTCTTTGGCTTTGGTGATAGGGAGGGCTGGCCGACGGAAGAGGATGGATTCTGTTTCCAGGCCAAGCAGGTCGACAAGTGGATGGCGAAGCTGACGGGTCGGAAGAGAGCCTTCCCTGTCGGAATGGGCGACACGAAGAGAGACTATACCGAACGCCTGTCTGAGTGGTCCGAGGGTGTCGTCGACGTCCTCGGCATGCTGGCCAAGACTGGCAGCCTAGGAGAAGGACTTCCGGGAAGCGGTGCCCCTGAAGAAAGCGATGACGAGTCTGCGGCTGAGGACGACGACGAGGTGTTGATCGAGGACTCCGAGGCGAAGCCCGAGAAGCTCAAGAGCCGCAAGAACATCGATGACGTCGAAGATCTAGGGCGCATCATGAAGAGCTCCAACCCCGACGCAGCCACAAACGGCAGCGCAGCCAAATCGGCAACGGCCGGGTCAGCGGCGCCCATAGCCGTGGACTTTACGACATACGGCAAGACGGTCGCGAAGAAGACCCCGCTCAACGCTGCCAAGGAGATGGTTCCCAAGAATTCGCCCACGTACGCCTCGCTCACGAAGCAGGGCTACTCCATTGTCGGCTCGCACTCGGGCGTCAAGATCTGCCGCTGGACGAAATCCGCCCTCCGCGGCCGCGGCTCTTGCTACAAGTACTCTTTCTACGGCATCAACTCCCACCAGTGCATGGAAACGACCCCGTCGCTCTCGTGCTCCAACAAGTGTGTCTTCTGCTGGCGCCACGGCACCAACCCCGTCGGCACGACCTGGCGCTGGGTCGTCGACCCGCCCGAGCTCATCTTCGACGGCGTCAAGGCGAACCACTACAACAAGATCAAGATGCTCCGTGGCGTCCCCGGCGTCCGCGCCGAGCGCTTCGCTGAGGCCATGCGCATCCGGCACTGCGCCCTCTCCCTCGTCGGCGAGCCTATCTTCTACCCCTACATCAACGAGTTCCTCGGCATGCTCCACGCCGAGCGCATCTCCTCCTTCCTGGTCTGCAACGCCCAGCACCCGGACCAGCTCGCCGCCCTCAAGGCCGTGACGCAGCTGTACGTCTCCATCGACGCCTCCAACAAGGAGTCCCTCCGAAAGATCGACCGCCCCCTACACCGCGACTTCTGGGAGCGCTTCCAGCGGTGTCTCGACATCCTCAGGGAGAAGCGCTTCAAGCACCGCACTGTCTTCCGCCTGACCCTGGTCAAGGGCTTCAACGTCGACGACGAGGTCGAGGGCTACGCGCAGCTCGTGGAGAAGGGCCTCCCTTGCTTCGTCGAGATCAAGGGCGTCACCTACTGCGGCACCTCGACGGCGTCCAATGCCGGCCTGAGCATGTCCAACGTCCCCTTTTACTGGGAAGTCCAAGAGTTCGTCACGGCGCTGGAGAAGAGGCTCAACGAAAAGGGGCTCAAGTACGGCATCGCCGCCGAGCACGCCCACAGCTGCTGCGTCTTGCTCGCGAGCGATCGGTTCTACAAAGATGGCAAGTGGCACCCCCGCATCGACTATCAGCGCTTCTTTGAGCTGCTGGAGGAGCGGGGCGCCGACGGAGACTGGAAACCGGAGGATTACATGGGCGAGGCCACGCCTGAATGGGCCACCTGGGGCAAAGGCGGTTTCGACCCCAGAGATGACAGAGTCGACAGGAAGGGCAGGAAAATCGAGGCCTAGGTTATTCGGTAGAGGAGTGATTAAGATGGGAAACCAAAAAGGCGCTAGCTGCATGTTCTCAAGACACCAGATACACACGCATCCTGAAATTGTGGAATTTCGTGAATCTTCTTCATCTTCTTGCCTATTTGTCCCTGCTAGGATCGTCAATATACACTTGGTTTCTTTCCTCTTACAAAACCTTCTATCAAAACAGCCCCAGCCGGCCAGGTATTGTACAATGAAAAGTCGTAATTCCTCCTTCCTCTTCTCGCAGGATGCTGGGGGATTACGTATGGGATGGTGGATTCGCAGCATCACGCCATTGGTGGAGTGACTGCGGATTTTTTGGAGGCGAGCGCGCGCCAGAATGTGTGTCCAGGTTTGGGGGATGTGAGAGAGTGGAGGGGAACTCGTTATGGTGAGAGCTACAACGTTCGAACGAGGCTCTTTTAGTCCAGGCCGACGGTGGGCATGCCACCGAGGTCAGCGTTGATGCCACCCTGGTACTGGCCAATGTTGAGAGAGGAATCGTAGGCGATCATCTCGGCGAGAACGTCAAGGACGGGCTAGATGTAAGATCAGTTTCAGATCGAATGCTAGAGCAGATTCCAAGGGTCCAAGAAGGTCTCTTACCTTGGGAACGGTCTTGTCGTAGATACCGATCAGATCACCAGGCGTAGGGTAGACCTTGAGGCCCTTGTAAAACGCAAGCGCGGCTTCAACGGCGCGCGTGGCTGTAACATCAATAATTGTCAGCAAGCTGAACCATCTCGCCTCATTCCAGGTATTTTGTCTCTCGCGTGGGGGTTGAACTAACGGTCGGCGGAGAGGGTCTCTCCCTCGGAAACCTGCTGGAGGAAGTATGCCTCCTTCTGCTCAACGTCGGTAGGGAAGCCCTCCTCCTTGGCCTCATCGACAGCCTCCTTGATGGCTTCCCTTTGTCGGACGGTCTCCTGCTGAGCCGACTCCTTCTCGGCCTTGTGCTGTCGGCGCTCGTTTCGGCGCAGTTCTCTCCGGAACTCGGCCTTGTTGCGTCGCTGGTAGTCGAAGAAGGCGGCGTACGCTTCAATGACGAACGTTAGCAAACGCGGCTCCAATTACACTGGTCCCTCGTTCCCACTACGAAATTGACATAGGGAAAATGTTGATATCGAACTGCGTGGAGGTGTTGAGGCAGACTCACCAACCAAGCCGGTAACGGCGGCGGCGACTGATGCCGTCACTATCGTGGAAGTCTGGGACATCTTTTTTCTGGGAACTTGGGGAAAAGCGGACGGGAGGTTTGGCTTTCGGTCTACAGCAGTTGGAGCTGATGGCGACGATGGGAGCTGACGGAATTTGTGCTCAGGTTCACAATGTTGCGCTTTGTGAGTTGGGAGATGGTTGAATGACCGGGGGGAGACAACGGGCGAGGATTCGTTGACGGAGTAAATATCGAAGGAAAGAAGCTCTATCGGGAATTGATGGAGCTTCCTCTACCAATTTTTTTAGCCTCTGCGCCATGGTTCCCAGGTCGCGTTCTCTTGCCAAGCAGCCGCTGGAGTGGGTCTCCGAGAGCACAGACCACCGCAGACACACTGATCAAATAGATACGTACTGAATCGACAGCTCACTGAGGGAGGTAGGTGCACTGCTGGCGCACCCACCAAGAGGCCACTATGTACTGCCCACTAGAGGACGATGTTAGGTGCCCACCTTCCAGATTACATAGAGGGATAAGTGCTGCGTGCCACAACGACTTGGGATTACACGCCCATCTTAATGTCTAACTGGCAGGGGTCTTGTCCTCTCAATAGACACCATAGCACGGCAGCTTCCCACTCCGCGGACGACAGACGGTGCATGAAACAACTTCAATCCGACCTGATCTGCGACTTCACCAAAGGGGCTTTGTCCTCGCTCTTTCTACCCACATACATTTGTCTCTCTATGCAGGATAACTGTTACTAGATACGTTCCCTTCAGCACGTAACACCAACTCAACCGCCCGCCATGTCGGAGGATCGGGAGCGCAGCAAGATCTCGCTCCGAAGTGGAAAGAGAAAGGGCCGCCCGCAGATTAGTGCACCTCGCCAGATCTCAGAGCCCATTCTACAAGATGGATCTGGCCCAGTACGGTCTCCCGGCTCAAGGCCGATGGCAGATGCAGGTCCTCCGCCGATCCAGCCTCGGCTTCGCCCGCCGCCACAAGCTGGAGGTGGAAAGGTAAGCACCCTCAGCAGGGGCTGACTGGAGAGTCAAGTTGAGGGTATTGGTAGCTGATGGAAGAATCAATAGACCTCGGACTTGGTCAAGCGACGATACTCGACGCGGTTTAACACCCTGCCGAACGACTTCGACGTGAATAACCCGCCGGTACCGTCTATGCCATCCCTCGACAAGTACGAGTCCCGCCAGAGGAGAGCAGCACAGCCCCCTCCCAGCCGTGGAGGCACAGCACCAGCGCCGATTGTCGATATAAAGGCATTGCGAGATCCCGGATTGGTTCCAGACCAATGTGAGTAATGGACCTCTTTGGTTCATAAGCATGTAACTAACGCAGTTCTAGATGTTGCGACCTTGCTTAGCGAAGCGGACGAGGACCAGATCCGAGAATTCGAGGACAACCTACGCAATCTCAAGGGCCGAGCCAACGCAGACTTGCAGCAGAATGTCATGCAGAACCGTACCCAGTTCATCAAGATTAGCAAGGAGGCCGAGAAGCTCAAGGGTGAGATGCGAGCGTTGAAGAACCTGATGACAGACCTCAAGGTGAATACAACAGCACTTCGCCAGGCCTCAAATAATGGAAACAACGAGTCTTCAAGCCTTGGAGGCGAATTGTCGACAGGCTTGAGCAAGAGGGACAAACGAAGCTCAGTCGCAGATCGAAGCGCCCTTTGGAACTCGCAGATGCAGGCACTGTACAAAAATGTCGAGGGTTCCCAAAAGTTTCTGCCCAATTCTGCTCGGCGCCATGTCATCCAGAATGCAGGAGCTTGGATTGAGCTGGACAACGCCACATACAAGTCTCGACGAGCGATGCAGATATTCCTACTAAGCGACCATTTGCTTATTGCATCTCGCAAGAAGAGAAAGGCTGATGTCCCGCCTCGCGAAGCTCAAGGCCCCCTGGTGAAGCTGGTCGCAGATCGTTGCTGGCCACTGCTTGATATTGAGGTTGTTGACATGGCCGGGCCCGGCGATGGCTCGACGACGAGAAACAAACTGGCAGATGCTGTCATGGTCAGAGGTGTTGGCCAGGAATCTGTCATCTACCGAACCGAAAAGCCAGAGGATACGGAGAAGAACAGTCTGCTTCTCAACATCCGCAAAGCAGTGGAAGAGTTGCGCAAAGAGCGACAGTCGGAATTGGAGGCAAACAACAAGGCCAAGGAGACGATCAACTACTTTGCGTCCCGTGATCCCGGCCTGCTGCAGAAGACTGAGCTTTTGGAAACATTGTCTGACATCAAGGACATGCTCATCGACGTTGATGGAAAGCAGCAAAATCTACGATGGGTCGAAAGCCAGATGGACGAGCTCGATATTGACATTGCCTTACAGAGCTTTGAGCCGGCAGTTGACCGCGTCGAGAAGCTGAAGAATCTCGCTCGAGGCCTGAAGAATAACGCGGTGGCGCGGGACTTCATCAGCTTCAAGGTCGAAGAAAGATGTGCCAAGTTGGCGGGCATGATCATTCGCGAGCTCGAGACGACACACACGGCGCCTACCAAGAACAAGCGTAACATTAGTTGGTTGGCCAGACTTGGCTACGAAGACAGGGCTCGCGAGGCATATCTGGTCGCCAGACATGATATTATCACAAAGCGATCGAGGTAAGATTGGCGATGCTACATATCCTTTTGGATTTGGCTAACCTCCTTTCAGACAATGCATCTTCCAGGGTGATTTACACTTGTACATCTGGGAGCTCTCGTTTGTTTACTTCTCTCTGATCCGCAACACCGTGAGCTGCTTTCACTCTTGTTTTCCTCCGCCGATGATGAGCGCCTGCGTCAAATGGGCCAAGGAAGAGGTCGAAACGTTCAACGGCATCCTTGCGCGGCAGCTCAGCGGAACAGAGCGCGGCGGAAAGGTCTGGAACGAATGCATGGAGCGCGCCCACGAGCACGCAAAGATGTTGAACGAGGTGCAGCTCGATTTCCGCACACTTGTTGGACGTGATTTGGAGCACTCGTCGGGTGTCACCAGTCCCGTTGGTCTCGGGCTATCGTAGTTGGTAACGATTGAGCGTACCGAGACCCTGCGACGTCTACAATGGGCATGCTAGAGACGGTGTTGACGGGCCTTGAGTAATGGCAATGGTAATGGTAATGGGCAATGAATGGACGGGCTGAAGATTGCGGGCTGTGTTTGGTCCGCGGTCAAGTAAATGATACCGAGACATCGAGGACGAAATGACGGAAGAGCCGCGGCCACTGGCATGTGCACAGGTATTTTGGGCCACTTGAGGCTTGTCTGGCCCCTGGCCTGTTTACTTGCGACGACGTTTGTTACCTAAATAGGGAAATAAGTAGCCATAGGACAAGTGAGCTATATCGAAATTCGCTGATGGGAATAACGAGGAGCAACCAGTATGACAGAGGCAATCAGAGAAATCAGAGTTGCGTGAGATGGATCGATGACATGATGCTCAGTGTGTCTACTGTCTTATTAAGATATTCAGATTGAGATGCTTTGCTTTGGCTGCCCGAAAACCGTATTACCTAGGTATACCTACCTATAGGACTTTATCTTCATGTCGAGGTTGATGCATCAAAGGAGTAGACGCAGAAGTGACGAGGCTTACGTTAGTGCAGTGTATCGGATTAAGCGAGTCTAGGTCAGGAGGTGTCACCCAATGGGAGGCATTTGTCTCCTGCCTCATGGTTCGGGTGTGTTTCTTGCCTGGGGGCTCAGGAAAGTCCCATCCAGTGTGGTGGTGTATCTCTCAATCCCCCTCCTGCCCCAGTCTGCTGGTCTTGCTGCAACCAGCAAGCACCACACCACGCCCGCCGCACCTGCACCCAGCACTAGAGCACCACCTTCCACATCGCAAAAATCCCCAGTGCCCAACGTCGACGTCTTTCCCCGTTCTCATCACAGCATCCAGAGAACATAATCCCTTCCAACCCCACCCTGCGCGAACACTTCCAACGTTGTGTTTCTCTCCCTCGCCCAAAACACTCGATCGCGTCCTCCTTATCTGGCCTCAGACGAAGCTCTGACCGCCTGTGACGATTCGCCGCCAGCCCCACGCTACGATTGAGGTGCTGTGCCAATCTGAATACCGCGACCGGCTGCTGAAAACAACGTCATCCCCAACCTAACTCGACGACCCCGACGACGCTGTCTCCTTTGCTCCCCACGACCCTGCGATCGAGTCATCTATCAACATCACAAGCATTTCAATCGATCAGACGACTTTCAGCATGGATACGAACATGGAGGATGTCGGCCGTGTCCCCGCCGATCTGCCTTCCACCCAGAACCTCGAGCCCACCACGATCCCTACTTTAGATGGTTGGATCGAGAGCCTTATGAGCTGCAAGCAGCTCGTCGAGGCCGACGTCCAGAGACTCTGCGAGAAGGTAAGCCTTTCGTCCCCAGCGATGATGAAGGTCGTGATGCGCGTTTCCAACAGCGTCATAGCTGCGGTTCGCCATTCGGCCTCCCCTCCCCTCATCTCGAATCACCCCTCTCGCGTGACCCCTAGGAACGCCTCGCTAACGTCCATCAACAGGCGCGGGAAGTCTTGCAGGACGAATCCAATGTGCAGCCCGTCGTATGTATCCCCGATCGCAGGGCAAGCAATTCAAGCTGACCCCCCTCGTTCAGAAATGCCCGGTGACAGTGTGCGGTGATATCCACGGCCAATTTCACGATCTTATGGAGTTGTTCAAGATTGGCGGTCCGAACCCCGACACCAACTACCTCTTCATGGGTATGCTGACCATATCACGCCCTCGTACTCTCTTGATAGCCGCTTACCTTACTAGGTGACTACGTCGACCGTGGTTACTACTCCGTCGAGACCGTGACTCTCCTCGTCGCCCTCAAGATCCGATACCCCCAGCGCATCACCATCCTGCGTGGCAACCACGAGTCCCGCCAAATTACCCAAGTCTACGGCTTCTACGACGAGTGTCTCAGAAAATACGGCAACGCCAATGTCTGGAAGTACTTCACCGACCTCTTCGACTACCTCCCCCTTACCGCCCTCATCGACAACCAGATCTTCTGTTTGCACGGTGGTCTGTCTCCTAGTATCGACACCCTGGACAATATCAGAGCTCTCGACAGAATTCAGGAAGTGCCCCACGAGGGCCCCATGTGCGACCTCCTTTGGTCCGACCCGGATGACCGCTGCGGCTGGGGGATATCACCCCGTGGTGCCGGTTATACGTTCGGTCAGGACATCTCCGAGGCTTTCAATCACAACAACGGTCTGACGCTTATTGCGCGTGCTCATCAACTGGTGATGGAGGGCTACAACTGGTCTCAAGACAGAAACGTCGTGACAATTTTCTCTGGTAAGCGATGCTCCTTGATGCGATGGGCTGGAGAATCATGACTAACCCAGCCAGCACCCAACTACTGTTACAGATGCGGTAACCAGGCGGCGATCATGGAAATCGACGAACATCTCAAGTACACTTTGTAAGCACACACTTTTCACCAACGTACTATTGACAGGCATATACTAACTATGCGCAGCCTGCAATTCGATCCTTGCCCCAGAGCCGGCGAGCCGATGGTCTCGAGACGCACACCCGACTACTTCCTCTGATCAACCTATCCGATACCCTTACCGTCCGTCATTCAGATCGATCTGGATGTCATCCATGGACGGAGTCGAAGAGATGGGGGCGTGCATGCTCAACTTGCATTGGTGTTTTAGGGGCGTCTAATCTTGTAAGATTACAACAAAAGCCAAGAGAACCAATGTACTCCCAAGAAAGAGAGATTCTGCGTTGAGCAATATGATATAGAGCGAGAGAGAAACAGAATGGCCCCAGGACGCTCGATTAGGAGCGCGAGAGTTCCTTAGCATTAAGGTTCCTGGTGTATCCTGGACGCTTTCCTCTGTCATCACGTTAGATACTCATCATAGACCGCCGGCAACAAAGAAGGTGTCGATGTTAATGACAAGCTGATGTTCCAAGTTCCGTTTTACACCCTGACCTGCCACGCATGGATACAACCAAGTCGCGGGCCGATGCCTTCAAGGTGAGCTTCCAAGCTGCTATTTTATTAATGTACACGACAAATGATCGCCTTGCGCCTGTAGGTCCGTATTCAGAACCTCCCAATTATGCATCGTCGTCATCGTACATCATCTTTCCTGGACTATATGCCGGATGTAACGTTGTACCCTGGTCCCTATGATTCTTCCTCACCTCCTATGCCGCCGACGCCGACGTTCATGACTTCGCCTCCTCTCCTCGCTCGTCTTCCTCCTGGTTGGTCGACCCCTTCTCACCTTCTTCTCGACAATTACGCGCTCTCGGAAGATCTCTCTCCTTCTTCCCCCGATGCCTAGACCGCCTATACCCACGTTGATCTCGTTGCTGATCTCCTCGGACCGGCTACTCCCCGACGAACGCGTCCCGCCAAAGTAGCCGCTTCGGCTGTTCCCGGATCCCGTAAAGTAGCTGCTCGGGGTGTAGTCGGTAGCGAGGTAACCGCTCGGGGTGAAGTACTCTGTGCGAGACGAGGCTCGTCCTCGCACCGCCGTCGTGGTGCGTCTGGAGAAGGAGCTGATGACGCCGTGGCGCCCTCCGTGGCGGCCGCTGCGGCCGCCGCGGAACCTCTCGCGGACGGTGAGGGTGCTGACGCGTTTGTAGGCGTGCTGGCCCTTTGCGTAGTGGCCCGGCTTGCAGGCGCCGTCGGGGACGTGGAAGCGGAGGTCGAAGCGGAAGAGGGCGTAGAGGAAGATGACGACGAGCTCGAGGTCGTAGTTGAAGATGTAATAGCAGGCCTTGTGGTGCCACCAGCCGGGGAAGAGGACGGGGCGGACGGCGTAGTTTACGGCGCAGCGGTAGGCGGCGCCGATGGTCATGAGGGTCGCGGCGGTGAGGACGAGGATAATTTTCGTGGTGAGGGAGCCGTAGCCGAAGGGCTCAGGGCGGCGGAGACCCGGGTAGAAGGCGGCGAAGAGGAGGATGGGGATGGGGAGGAAGGCGATGAGGGCTAGTGTGGTGGAGGTGAAGAGCTGGACGACGCGGCAGTCGTAAAGGCTTACCGGGTCGAGGGTGTAGAAGCTGACGACGAGGGCGGTGATGGCGCAGACGAGGCAGACGAAGATGAGGAAGTAGGTGAAGAGGAAGAAGACATTGACGGCAGCCAGCCAGCCAATGTTGGGATGGAGGCCGCGGAGGAGGCGGTGGGTGAAGAGGAGGTTGAGGACGAAGAGGAGGACAACGCCGGCGGCGGCGAAGACGGCTGCCGCGATGTTGAGGGAGACGTTCCAGGGCTGGGTGGCCCAGGCGATGCGGAGGGAGAGGGCGATGATGCGGGTGAGGCAGAAGCCGACGAGGACGCCCGAGGGGAGGAACTTGTGGCCCCGGCCATTGTTGCGGATGAAGATTGCGCCGTTGAGGAGGGCGGCGGCGAAGAAGAAGATGATGAGGATGATGCAGATTGGAACGTCTACCCTCACGTCTGGGATAAGGCCCAGGGCGGCCACTTGTGGGGGGTAAGGAGGCCCATACAGAGGCAGCTGGTAGGCGGAAAGGAGGTTGCGATGTTAGCTGTGAGGTTCTCATTTTTCTTGTAATACTGGACAGGAAGGGGGCAGGGAATAGAGGGTAGACGAACCGGAGCCCCAATGGGTATAAGTGCCGCCATTCTGATAAAGTACCTGTCAGGGGTAGTAGCTATTCACAGGCTTGAAGCTGCTGGCAAGCCAAGCAGCACCTGCAAAACAGCTACAGCCGGGGAGGAGGAGACTCAAAGAGCTGGACAGTCGAGGATGATTGGCAGCCAGTGCTCATGCTCATGCTCGTGCTAGGAGGAGTGAATCTCAACCAAACGTGATAGCCACCCCGAATGCAAGTCAAAAGAGAGGAAAGAACCCTCTCTCTCTCCCCTCATTCCGTACGGCTCGTTTCTTGGAAAAGACCGGGGTAAGAGCAATTCTTTATCATCGTGTCTGCCGCGCGGAAACATGTTCGTCTGAGCTTCGAGTGCGTTCTTTCTTAGCGTCGGCGAAGGGTGCGTTGGTCTATGTAAGCTATTCGGCACGGACATGGGGAAGAGAGTGTGACGGGCGAGGCAAAGGCAAAGGCGGATGCGAGTTTCAGCCTGTGGCAAGAGCTGAGGGGAGCTGAGAGCGAGAAAGAGTCGGATTGGCCCTCGGTGAGAGTTTGTGCGGTCTTTTGTGGTGTTCTCGAAGAATGGGCGAGGGTGGTGAGCGTTGGGAGTTCGTCTCATAGATAGAATGGCGTTGTGAAGAAACGAGATGACAGTATATTGCCTCTCATACCCCATACTCTCCTCCTCGATTGTAGTAGTCGGCCTCTTCCTCAAATTCACCCTTCATGACCCATCGTACTTGAAGCCGTAGGATCGACCCGAGGAGCGAATAGCGAGCCTAAGAAGTAGAGCCTTGCCCCTCGCGATCATCGCTTCCGCTTCACGCTTCACGCTTGCGGCGGCACGCGGCACGCAACATGTAAGATCTCTGTAGGCTCGGATGCTTGAGAACAGAGAAAGAGTTCGCACATGTCGGAAACTTGCGAGACGACTCAGCCCCAGTCAAACTAATGCAGAACAAGGCTGTAGGTGTTTGCCCCCATCTCATCGCCGGCCACTATAGATCGGGGAAAGAGGAAGGGGGCATGTCATTGCACAGTAAGGTTGCGGTGCAGAGACATGTTTCCCATCGGTCCCTTGCCGGTCTACCTGGGACAGTCAATGTCGGTGGTCCGCATCCCTCTTGGACGTGCGCCGCCGTTAGTCCCGCAGCGAGCGATGTCGATGGCTGGGAAGCGACGCTCACGGACCTTGAAAGTAAGGGACCGGTGCTGACCGGACTTCGACTTTGTGTGTCCAATTGTCGGAAATAACGGCTCGTGAATCTCTCTTTATGAGCCATGTCGAATCCAGAGTTTCTGGCAGTAATTTGCTAGAACATTGAACAAGAGCTAGCGGCGGTGAATGCTTATGTTGGTCTTCGCCCGTATTCGGTTTGAAGACAATGTGGCCTCTAATCGACCATATCAACATACCCTTACTCATTGACAAGAATGGCATGGGCGAGCTTTTTATGGTTGATGGGTGTCGTTGAGATGCGTCCCGTGATTCATGAGGCGTGTCCAGCCCATAATACGCCGCTCTTGAAAAGGGTATCGAGTCAAAATAAATGCCCCTCTGGCTACCTAGAAGGTCAGATGATGCTGCATAAGGACCATGGGCTCGACAGACATTGAAGCTCACATGAAGCTCGATGGAACAACCTCGTTGATTCAAGCGGCCAGACACTCAAGCTTTCTCGTCCAAGACTCTTAACGTTGATCAGACCCGGCAATGCACAACTCATTGCCAAACTCGGCTGTAGTGTGTAGCATCGGACACTTGAGCTTTCCACCTGTTGCACAACCATTTTTCCCCCCTTGGGGGTTGTGCTAGACTCCCGTGACTTGGAAGAGAATTCCAAGCTGGCACAGGCGATGATTATTGTTTGATATTCAACATGACTGTGAGGCATGGTAACACTGCGTGAGAAGATGTCCATGGCACATTGCTCGTGTCAACATTGAACGGAATAGAGATGTTTTCCAATGCTGTGGAAGCTTCTTTGAGATGACAAAACCTTGGAGCAGACGGATTGTCCAGAGAATGCAGAACCACTTTGAGAACCTCCCGATAGTGTCCGTTGATACGACCGTCGCACATGGGATTTTGACGCATATTGACGTTGCGACAACACCGTTTTGATGTCCCGCGACCAGACGATCGGAAAAAGAGTGCCTTAGTGCAATGCCATTAACAGACCCGAATGTTGGACCTTAAATCGTTTAGGGTTATCCACCGATTGAGGAACAATATTCAAGCTTTTTTGGACTATATACCAATCAGGTCATGTCTTCTGCGAGGCATAGGAGCAGTTTCTCCCGGGTGATGAATCCGAGGTAGTAGTATCCGGAGGTATGCGTCTGTTCAATTAGCATGAACTTGCCATGCTTTAGTCGTAGCTGTGTCAGCCGCAGTTTATCAACCGATGTGACACCACCGTTTCGCCGCATAGGAGGCAATAACGGCGAGGCCGCAGCAGTCCTCAAAGAATATCTGCTGCGTGTCGTTTCTCAAACGCCGCTCCGCGAGTAGTTGCCGACGGCGGCCGTTTCTCAATTTGACAGCGGAGCCGTTTCCTTCCAACTCTTACTTAAACAAGGCAATCAAGACACTCGGAGCTGTCAAGTGTACTGAGTACCTAAGAAATACGCAGTCACTCGAACGCCGTTATGTGCAGTAGTGTGGTGAGCAACGGTCTCAAGTCAGAAACGTTTCTTTATTGATCTTTGTTGGATGTGTGGATAGGTATTTTAGTTCGATGGGGCAAACGCTTGCCACGTTCTTGAAGAAGGAAGCATAGTAGCTGATAGCTTTCGACGACAAGCCAACACAAAGCCAATGGCAGGGCGTTTTAGCCTAAGACTTAGCGGCAACATGCACGCTCGGATCCGTCTGCTTCCCACGGCATGCAAGGTAAACCATATTGCGCGGCGCCGGTGTCTCAAGACATGAAAGAGCGGTCCGAACTGTGGCAAAAATCTAGAGTTGTCGTGCCCGACTAAACCTGAACTGAGGCAGTATGCGCGGATACTCCGTGTGTGACTGCTGAGCCTGGAAATGTCGATGCAAGGGATCATCCTCACCCACAACATCGCTGGTACTCAACAGCGAAGATGAGACTGGCGTCACAATTGAGGACAGACGGCGAGGAGATTCTTACGCACAACCCAGCCTCCTGTGCCTCACAGCCGCGAGACGTGTGGATATAGACTTTCAGCGTGCTTACCCGAAGTCGGGATTTGACCTCGGATCCGAACTGTTCCATGGTCGGCTGACGTGTATTGCAACAAGCGATTGGCAGTGAAAATGGGACGAGCAGTTGAAGACACTCAAGCTCGACGATTTGCGATGTTTCTCACTCATCCCACGCCGGTTCTATGTTTGTTTGCTGATCATTGCACGTGCTTCGATTCAGGGTTGAGTGAGTTCTCCGTGACAGCGGGAGCGGCTGGCCGCGTGGTGAACAAACGGCCGAAATCTTGGTCTACGGATGTGGAATCCCGCAAATGGTCCGGCTTGAAACACGACAATGATCGGCATTGTTATCGGATTCGAGTATTGGACAATTCGCAGTCAAGCCTCGAGTGCTGAATTCGAGAACTCGGCGCTGCTGACTGGCGACCTAATTGAGATATGATGGGGTCGGAATGAAGGCGAGCTGTCATTGGGTAGATCGTCCAAACGGCGCGTTCATCCTTGGGAACAATCCGACGAAGTGGCTAGACCTTGTCCGTGCCACGCAAGGTAGAGGCAGCGCTGGGACCATCTTTCATTTCGCAAACGCTGGCATCGCCAGTAGCCGACGTGGTTTCTGGGTCAGGGAGCGATGGAGTTGCGCTGCTCTCGCCCCCACTATAGTCGCAACCCCTGCTGTAATCCTGAAGCATTGTGAGCCTCACCAATCAGAGCCCAGTATTGATAGAGTTGAGACATGCGCGAAGTCGTGGTAATTTCGCCTATTACTCCGCTTTGCCAACTGCCTTGGTTGCCCCTCGAGTCTATTCGGCAGTTTGTGGATGTTTCTTCGCTGAATGGATACCATGTTTATGCTCACTTAGCTTATGGAGCTCTGTTTTTGGGCTGACGATGATGGAAGTCCGCAGTTTGACAGCTCGCGTCATCGTCTTGTTGAAACGTGAATGGCAATGCCAATGCAATGGCCATGATTGCAGTCTGCGAGCAGCAACCAGTATGCTGCGTCGCGCCACAGCTGCGCTGCTGCAGTGTGACTCTGCGGACACATGTACCTGCACAAGCCTGATGGTGAGAAAGCCACCACACCGACGCCCAGTCGCCTTGCAAACATAATGAGTTCGTTGTGCAGATTGTTGCCCGTTTCCTAATTGATCGTTTTCTGGTGGATGCAGTTGTCCACTTTGCCGATTTCGGCCGTCCTGCACCAGCCAGTATGCGAGCTGTCGCCCACAACCGTCTTGTGAACCGTGTTCGGACGGGGAGGGTGCCGGCAGTACCCCAGAAAATGCATCAAGATCACAACGGATGGATGAGGGGAAATGGCTTGGATAGCGAGTAGGTATTCGTATCCTTACTGACTGTGAGCCTGCGAGGTGTCTTCAAGAAGCTGAGGAAGTGACTGTGTAGAACAAAGTGGGTTGAAACACGAGTCGATAGCCGTGAGACAGTCTGCCAACAAGCGTGTATCGGCACATGGTATCTCGAGACATGGCTCTCCCTTGCCAACGCTGGCACGATCGTTTGCAGTTTGATGGGTTTCTTCATTCTTGTTGCTGAGATGCTGAGCGGTTTGGCTAGACTTCCCATCACAGCCATTATCTGAGATGGGATGGCAGCGAGTGACACGAGCGGGCTAACCATCGCGATAATCAAGCTTCGACAAGGAAGACTGTGTGGTGTGAAGATTGATCAACGACGAGGAGGACGTGTTGCCGACGGCTGATTTCCCGCCATTGCCGCACTGACCTGACGAAGCCGGGGGAAGAGGGATGGTCCCCCCATGGTGGAAGCCATTCAATTCATGTTCCTAGTCTTCCTCGTCATCTTCAGGTGGTGTTTGTTTTCATTGCCCACATTGCCAGCACATTGGTGTTGTGACGCCGTAAATACAACGTAGACGTGAGCAGTGGAAGTTTGAAAATAGAAACGGATGGTAGGATGGCTTGGTGCCATAGGATTGAGTGTCTCTGGGAGTGAAGTTAAGGAAATGAAAAGGAGGCGGAAAGAAACGGCAGGTGACCAACCGTCTTGTTGTCTCTCCAGATGTATCCGTAGAATCTGCCGGCGTTGAGGCGCTTGGATTCCAAGTACTCGGGACGGGACACTGTTAGGAAATGTTCCGAGAAGATGATGATAAAAACAACGGTGACAGCCTTGAGGTTAAGTTGACGAGCCGAACCACGGGCCTTGTCTACTCCGTATGCCCATGAAAGGGGGAAGTTTGTGCTGGTGGCCACGGGCCAAGGTTGCGATGAAGGGGTTTATTGTGGTTTATGCAAATGGGATATATCCATAGCGACGGAGGGGACGGATTCAAATGGGGAGAAAACGGAGTAGAGACCAACGATAAGAGAGGATTGGACGGGCGTAGTGCAGTGTTGGCAGTTTGATCCATGGCCGACGAGGGGAGACCCTGAGACGCCCCTGTCAGCTCGTAGTTGCTCCCCTGCTCCACCAATTTTGAATGATCAAGGCGCCTTGCCTGTTTCTGACAATTCCGGTGGTCGTTGCTTCCCAAGTTCTCGTGAAGAGCAGGGGTAGCTGGTACGTTGCCAGGTACGAGGGGGAAAGTACGTACTGTTTGTTCTTACCATCAACTTTCTTTACCTTCCTGGTCGCAACTCGCAACTTGCAGCACCCAAGGAATACATGGCATGTACCCAAGTTTCTGAGCGGTTGCCCACACAGATGGTGGCCAGACTGGAGTAGCCTCTGTGCCTCTTTGGTAGCGCAGCCACTCATATCGTCCACAGCTGACGGGTCTCTGGTAGTCTCTCTTTCTCATTGGAGAGAAAGTCGCGCGGATGGCTTTCCTGCAGATGGGTGATGGCCGTGAGGTGGGCGACTTTCTTTTTTGATGGTGCGCTCTCATCTCTTTCCTTTTCTCTCTCAGAGTGGGAGTCTCTCCCCAAAGACCCAAAGAAGGCAAGGGCCCCAGCCTCCTTACATCCATGCCCCATGTCCCATGTTCATATGGCCCCAGTTCGCGTCCAGAAAGAACTTCCATCCTTACCAGAGAAGAAAGTCCACACCTCCAAACCTCTTAGTTGCACCTTCCCGCCGCGTGCCGTCGCCATTCAGGCCTGGTCCATGGTCCACCGCCCAGGTCCCGGCCCGGGGTCAACCTGAGGGAAGGAAGTGTGGAAAGACTTGGGAAGGTACCTTCCACCGCACCTCTGATAATCGGCTGTGCCCATGTGCCCATCCCATGTCCCTCGCGCTGCTTGCTGCCTTCCAAATTTTCCCTATTTTCCCCAAGGTCCTCCCGTACCAGCCGCAGAGTGCTCCTCTTGCCTCCCCTTCCCTTTCCCTCCCGCGCGTGAGTGTGTGTGTTTGTGTGGTTGCGAGCTTCGTCCCGCCTCAAAACAACATCATCGCCTTTCCCTTCTTCTCTCGCCTCGACGAGCCCGACCGTGACACGTCGAATTTCCTTACAAATCTCGGATCTTGACTGCATCCTCCTAATTGTATTCCTACCCGAATATTGTCAATCACCCTTTGTTTGCCTTCACTTACTTACTCTCTTTCAGCCTCTTATCTCTCGCAACCCACCGACCTAGTGGTGCAGTTCTCCGAGTACCTATTTCTAAATCTCTTGGTCAACCTCCTTCCTGCGACGAAATCTCAACCCGGTTTCCATGTCAATACGTTAATCGCGACCCAAGTCCCGAGCATTCGACAGCCTCTCACCTTCCTCGGTCCCTACCTAGAGCTATTTCCTCAATTGACACCAGTTGATCAACCACCTACCTACCCACCGTTTCGCCTCTTTTCCCGACGACGACAACAACCACAGCTCAGTGAAAACGATTCGGCCTCTTTACAAAATCAATTGAACCACCGCCCGAACCCTTTTTGGTTACGACTATCACTCGTCCAGCATCTCTCAGAGCCACAAGCACTCTTTACTTTAGCTGTCAAACATTCGCGACGATCTCCCGTTCGGCCCGCCAAGAAATTCCTCCGGGACAACGATCTGTGACATCTTGGAAAGATAGTCATGAACGGGATCCTTCTCTGAGCCACGACTTCAAATCGAGCCTCTCAAGCTGGTGGCCACGAGCTACGGAACGACAATATCTACCACCGGCAAAGAAAAGCCCACAGGCAGAGGAAGAGTGATGGGTCAAATAGCGAGAGCAGCACTTTCGTCAGTGCTGTCCGCGGCAGTGGTTTCGGCGCAGTCAAGCTGTATTTCTCTGCAGGGATCGACGACATGTTCAGCTTTCCAATCAGCATCCGTTTCGACGACAGGCTTTGTGGCGGGGATTTTGTACGTTGTGCAATCACTAATTGCCGTGTCCTAACACTGACTATCCTTGATAGCCCTTTCCTTCAATATGTGTCCAGCAGGGAAACATTTGATCAGCAGATGTCGTCTTATCTTGAGACAACATACGTGCGGGAGAAGTAAGCTCATCCGTCGGCGATTTCGTAAATGCTTTTGCTCACACGTAACAAGGTATCAAACATTACTTGGCTGTAGCAATGTCAATCTTACCAACCCGGATGAGCTATATGCACGTTTCACGGCTACGGTTGTCTGCAACTCAATTGTTCAGAATTCGATCGACGCATGCAATTTGACTGCATCCAACTCACGGCCCGTGTGCGCCGATACTTGTGTAAGTGACTCGTGGAACTGGTAGCAGTTGCGACAGTTGCTGACATGAATCCAAGGCCGAATTCGCACAGAGTGAGGCTCTGCTCACCTCGGACAGCAGTCTCTGTGGCAATCCGGGCAGCAATCTCGTCAATCAAATTCGAGCAGACTTCACCAACTGCGCTCTGCCTGCCGGGTCTCTGTCATCTTCCAACTGCATTCAAGGCATCGCCAACGAAAAGGAAAACTGTGGATACGGCAACAGCACCGTGGGATTGTGCTCCTATTGCGCATCTGGTGGTATTAACTCTACTGACACATGTTGCTACAACTCGAACATCGACCAGCGTTGTGCCGGAGTCACGCTACCCTCCATTTTCCCTACCATGACCTTTGCACCTCCAACGGCAACGGCGACCCCGACCCCGTCAAATACAGCAGCTGCATCCAAAGGCCTATCAGGTGGTGCCATAGCCGGCATCGTTATCGGCAGCGTGGTCGGCGCCCTGTTGCTTGCCGGTCTCATCTTCGCATGCATCTTGCTCGCCAAAAGAAGAAGACGTGGGAGCCAAAAGGGCAGTGTGTTCAACCAACCGTCCCCCTCGAGGCAAGGACCGTCTACGGTTAAGATAGCACCGGCCCAGACCACGAGCGGTTACGAAGTCTTGCCCGGCGGCCGAATCGCCCGGATGTCAGCTTTGGAGAGCGCATCAGACCCGGCTCCTGTTCCACCTAGTCGCAACAGTGGCCCCCTCATGGCCGCCGCCGCTGGAGGAGCAGCAGGATATATGACAGGCAGGAGGAGAGGTGACGATCCGTCCTCATCCGAATTTGGAGACAGCCCCGAGTCGGAATCCAGAGCTGGTGTTCTACGGCCCCCTCCCACTAACATCCGGAGGACCGGATCTCTATCCAGTAGCTCAGTCCTGGCGGATCCGCAATCGCCAACGAGCGCCGGAATGTCGTCCCCACAAGGCATGGCCAGCCAGCAATCTGAACAGCTGCCATTCTTCAAGGATTACTACTCTCAAGACGATATCCACCCCGGTGATAGAGTCGCTACACTCTGGGCCTACCAACCCCGTGCCCCCGATGAATTTACTCTCGAACGCGGCGACATGCTCAAGATTGTGGGTATCTGGGATGACGGTTGGGCAACGGGTATTCTGGTGGACGAGCGGGCCGATGAATGGGAAGCTCGACGACAGGCCCAACGAGACAGCGGTGTTTCCAACACCTCTGGCCGACATCAAGACAATTCGCCGCCCGTGAGCGGCGAGATCAAGGCCTTCCCCCTCGTTTGCGTCTGCTTGCCAGAACACTGGAGGAAAACTATTGAGGGAGATGTCTCGACTGAAGGTTCCAGCGCTCACCAAGGACACTCATCTTTTTCATGAAAAAAGCAAGGCCAATTTACTGAGTTTTGCATACACCTAAACGAAATAGTTGTCTTTCCAGCATGGGCTACGGCGTTTGGGCATCGAGCTTGTATTGACTTCGGCCTCACAGAGAGGTCGAAATTTCCCTCGGGCGACATTGACCAGCGACTCTTAATGAAACGCGCTTAACGTTTCCACTGACCGCAGTTCACTTGACTCCCTTGGCTTTTTGCACATAGAGACGAAGTAACTATATTTCTGCGACGACCCGCCTAATGTCATCAATCCTAGACGAACGAACGAAACTTTCTTCTTCAACGCGGCATCGCTTCGAATCACGATGGCCACTCGGAAGCCTTCACAGACCAATTCCAGTACCCTATGCGAGTGGTTCTGATGAGACAACGATACGCGATCTTAGTTTTATGACGAACACGCACGCAGTGCGCCCTCCCCTTTTATTTCGAACAGTCGACTTATATACCCATGGTGCGGTGACGAGGTACTGATGTTTGTGGAGTAGTAAGAGGTCGGGGAGGGCCTTTGCGACATACTTAATGGCGGACTTCTTGGGCAGAAGAGCTGAGCCTGTGGCAGCCGATATGTCTGGTTTGTTGTCCTTGGTGCCATCTGGTCACCACGTCGACCCTTCGTCAACTAGGTGAAAGCGAGGACAACGACGAAAGCATGGGCAGGTGGCTTTGAGGAGCTGAATCGGATTTCGTCTTAATCGTTGGCTGTTGCGGCGCGAAACCTATCCTGCTACACATGGCGTGACGATATTACTTTGGCTTCCTCCTGTAACCTACTGGATAGCCGCTCAATTTACTTAGCTCAAATACCAAAGAGAGTTCTCTCACACTGATGATGCTTCTCGCTATAGTTGACGGTTGTGAGGCAGACGTGATAGCGTGGTATTTGTGCCGCTATTGCTACCCTGAATGGTTTCATCCGCATCGGGAGCTGAAACTCTGGTGGTCACGCGCGCATGAGCAGCTTCTTTCAGCTTGTGCTCCGTCGGGAAAGTCCCTGAACCAGGAAGATTAAGATCGCGAATTAAGAAGCTCAGAAAATGCTGACACAACGAGGGGGCGTTTGTGAAAGTGGAATTTGGCGGCGAGGCTAGGGCTGGAAAGAGAGTTTGGTGAGATGAGACTTTTAGACCTAGATCTTGACACTGAAGACATGGGCATCGTAGGAATGGCGTAGCCCTTCAGACGAACTGTATCTTCAGAGTCATCCACTTTTGATGGACAGGCATGACTCTTGCTGTCCTACTCCTCCCTCGCTTCGGATCGCGCAGCTTGGGGGATCATGGAACGGGCCTGGGATTGGGTGAGGGAAGGGAAGAGTTGAAGGGTGTTGCTGCCAAGCTGAGCAGCTTGTCGTGTTTGAAAGGGTTTCCGCTTGGGAATAATACCGGCGGGCTATTCTTTCCATTATCAAGGTGTTCCTCCGAAGAGGAGGGGCGGTTTTATTCTAGCTTCTGAGACCTGTCGCTTTTTCTCACCTTATCTTGTACGAATGGAAGGAAGTAGGTTTTGTCTTTGGCTAGTGACGTGTAACGCCGAGACGGCCGGGTTACCTCCCGGTGAAGGCGGTGGCCTTTGAACTTCCATGTTCTTACTGCTGCGGCGTGTGTCCAAGGTGGGGGTTTTGGGGGTTCCTTTGGAGGGGTTGGTTTCTTCATAGCTCCCACCTTACGCGGTAAGGTATGAGGAGGTTTCCGCTTCGGGGAGATCTTGACGTGTGCCATCTCGCAACTTGGCGATCGTCGGGCGCTCTTGTTGCGTGCTGATTCGCTGGGAAGCTGCCGCTTATACAGGCAGCTTGTGTTTTGTGTGTGTGTGTGTGTGTGTCTCTCTCTCGCTTTCTTAGATGAGCTGGTTTCCGATTGATGTTACGGTGCGTGAGCTGTGTGTAACCCACCTATCTTGAGTAGCAACTGCTGACGTTCTGGGAAGTATTGTTCCTGCTTGGGCTTAGATGACGAGACTGTGATAATACGGTGCTTGAAATGGAGTATACACATGGGCTACGGAGCTGGGGATATCAGTACACGAAACGGTTCTTCTATGAGTTTAGCAATGAGCCGTGAGGATGCTGGGAGTAAATACACCACCCTTGAGAGCTCCTGCAGGCTGCATTACTAGGTAGTAATCAGCCTTTTTGTCCAAGTCTCGCTTGATTCGTCCGCAGACGCGGACAGAGGTCGACACTTGTGCTTGAATGATAGTTTGCAGATCAAGCTTTGTAAGCTATCGTATACCTACTTCTCATTTCTGTGAATATTGGACTAAGCTACCGGGTGAGCTTCAATCATTCAACTTAGGCCTGACAGGGGTAAAAGCACGGGCCATCTTTACGGGTACGCCGTGCGGAGGTTCAAGACGGCGTGACGCCGATGTACCACGTAAGGTAAGGTACCTACCTACCTTTACTGATTGCTTAAGTGGACTGCCTGCGTCCCGCGGCAGGTACCTTGCTTGATCTGGGGGACGGTGACCTAACTGCACTCGTGATTGCATCACTGCTACCAGGCATTCCATCAACAATTCCTTAATCTTCACGACGCAACGAGAACTCTACAACAGATAGAGTCCCGTCTCTTGGTACATCTAGGTCAAATGACTGCTCCTCGCGACTTGCCTTCCCCAACATGACCGCTTTCCACCACACCAATCAAGTAATCGCATAGCTTCCTGAGCAGTTGAGCATCTCTGCCCGCCATGGGCCAAGGCTTCTCTCTGGCGACGCCCTCCGCGGGCTCTGCGGGCATCGATATACCCGAGCTCTCCGACCTCGTGTACGAGAAGAGTATTGGGAATGCGCGCTTCATGAAAAGCATACGCGCGAGGCATCACGATGGAGTCGCTCTTGTCAAGGTCCTGGTCAAGCCATACACCCCGATGCCTCTGGGGAAGTACAAACGCGACATAGAAAGTGAGCCAGCCTCTGAACCGTTTCACGAGATCGCTGAACATATGGCTGACTCCTCTCAGAACAACGTAGCGGCCTAGCCGATGTGCCCAATGCGCTGGGCTTCCACCGGATCGTCGAGACCGAAACGAATGGCTACCTAGTCCGACAGTTCCTCTACAACTCCCTCTACGATCGCATGAGCACCCGTCCGTTCCTGGAGGATATAGAGAAGAAATGGCTTGCTTTCCAGCTGCTGTGCGCTCTGCGCGACTGCCATGCTCGAGACATTTATCACGGCGACATTAAGACGGAGAACACGCTGGTGACATCTTGGAACTGGCTGTACCTCTCCGACTTCTCTGCTCCTTTCAAGCCCATCCTGCTGCCCGACGACAATCCAGGCGACTTCTCATACTACTTTGACACATCCGGACGACGAACATGTTATGTGGCGCCCGAACGCTTCGTCGCAGCGGAGGAGGTTAACAGCAAGGACGCGAAGCTTACGTGGGCCATGGATGTCTTCAGCGCCGGCTGCGTCATTGCCGAGATGTTCTTGGAGTCGCCCATATTCACACTCAGTTCATTATACAAGTTCCGCAAGGGCGAGTACGATCCAGTCATTTCGCAAATCAGTCGTATCCCGGACAAGGACTTGCGGGATATGATATCGCACATGATTCAGCTTGACCCTGAACGTCGGTACTCTGCAGAGCAATATTTGGATTTTTGGAAGAAGAAGGTCTTCCCCGAGTACTTCTACAACTTCCTTCACCAGTACATGGAGTTGATTACGGATCCTTCATCTGGGAACAGTCCTATATCTGGTGCGACGAGGAACTTGGGAGAGGCGGACGACCGCATCGACCGCGTGTTCCTCGACTTTGACAAAATATCATACTTCCTCGGTTATCCAAACGACAAACGCCCGATGCAAGTCGAGCCCCTGGCCGGAAAGCTGGGGCTGGGCCACTTTCCTGTTCGCCTCAACATACCAAACCATGAACAGTACATCACTGGGTCGTCCGACCCGCCAGAAGATGACGGGACTTTGATCTTTCTCACGCTGATTGTCTCATCCCTCCGTAACACGGCTAGGGCGGCGTCGAAGATCAGAGCCTGTGATGTATTGCTTGCCTTCTCCGAGAGAATCACGGACGAAGCTAAATTAGACCGCGTGTTGCCATACCTCATTACGCTTCTTAACGATAAGTCCGAACTTGTGGTGATCGCAGCGCTCCGGTCAATATCTCAGCTGTTACACTTAGTCCGAGTGGTGTCTCCCGTCAACTCGCACATCTTTGTCGAGTACATCTTACCTCGACTGCAAAGTGCCTTGATCGCACCATCGAAACCGGCCAGCCCATTGGTACGAGCAACCTATGCATCTTGTATCGGAAGCCTTGCGACCACAGCAGCTCGGTACTTGGAGCTCGCGGCAACCCTCAAGTCGGATGGAACCCTGACGGTAGCTGACCCTGAGCTTGAGCCAGGGATCGAAGCGGAGGCTGCCTTCGATGGGCTGTTCGACGATGCACAACGCGAGCTCTACGAAATGTTCGAGCTCCATACGAAGGCACTCGTGGAAGATTCGGATGTTTCTGTTCGCAGGGCGTTCTTGACTTCTGTGCCCGATTTGTGCCTTTTCTTTGGTCCCGCAGAGGCAAACGACATTCTTCTGACCCATTTGAACACCTACTTAAATGACCGAGACTGGATGCTAAAGTGTGCCTTCTTCGAAACCATCGTCAGCATAGCCAGCGTGGTGGGAAGCGTCAGCCTCGAGGAGTTCATGCTGCCGCTCATGGTGCAGGCCTTTACCGATCCAGAGGAGTTCGTGGTACAAGCAGCCCTACATTCTCTGGCACAGCTGGCACGGCTGGGCCTTCTTTCCAAAACCAAGATTTGGGAGCTAATTGACGTTGTTGCACGATTTACGATGCACCCCAACCAATGGATCCGGGAATCTGCGACGGAGTTCTTGTCTGAAACGACTCGTTTCTTGTCTCAAGCAGACGTCAGGTGCATCGTATATCCTCTGGTTAAGCAGTACCTTAAAACTGGAATGGTTCCTGCGTTTTCTGAGCTCAGCTTGTTGGACGCTCTGAAGCGGCCAATGTCGAGAGCTGTATTTGATCAGGCCCTAGTCTGGGCTCTTAAGACCGACAAAGGCGTCTTCTGGAAGCTGACGCAGCAGCTCAGGTCATTTTCGTTTGGATCGCTCCCTAAGACTATCAGCAGTCGGTCGTCTAAGGATACACTGAGCAAAGTCTGGCGGAACGATGAAGACGAGTTGTGGCTTGGACGTCTTCGGAACCTTGGCCTCGGGCCAGACGACGAGTTCAAACTCCTCGTCTTGCGAGAGTTCATTTGGCGAATCAGCAAGATGAAATCGCGAGACGGCATGGACGGCGAACCGGCCAGGCTCAACGAGGTGATCTCTCTCAAGAGTCTGGGCATCACGCCGCAGACAGTATTCTTTGACGAGGAGCCCCTGCAACAGTCTACATTCACGCCCGAGTCAAATCAGAAGGGCCCGTACACCATTGCTGACGCTCTTCTGGATGCTTCTATGACAATTGATGACTCGACAGGAAGGAGACGGTTTGCGGCTCTCAATAGTCTCCGGACTCGCGTGGTGGAAGACCAGGGGTCTACTTCGCGTGATGTTTCTCGTGTGAGAGAGATCGATCCTGCGAGACGGGCATCGACTGGGCAGGGCAAGCTCACGGTCGGGAGCCCGAGTGACGATGGGGCCTCTATCCATGATCAGCCTTACGCCACTCGGAGGGCCATTCGCCACCAGGCCAGTGCTCTTAGTCTTCTGGATCGTAAAGACAGCAACAAGAGCGTGCCGGAGACTGGCATGTCGGGAACGAATGCTGTTGGCCAAGTGGAGGGTCCGTTTGCCCCGGCTCCTCTTACTCGACCAAACATACAGGATCGTTCAATCAGCACTGCGAGCGTCGTGGCCAAACTGAGGCCCAATCACTCCTACGAGGGAACCGACCCCAGCATTCTCAAAATGCTCGACTCGATGTACCAGGACAACTACCCTCACGACATCGCTGAGTTCGGACCGATGGTGACCCCTATAACACGTCGGAAAACGAATCGCTCTGTAGGTCAGCCAGGCGACGAGCCGTGGCACCCACAGGGACGCATGGTTGCTACGTTTGCTGAACACACCGGCTCAATCAACCGTCTGGTAGTGTCTCCAGACCATGTGTTCTTCATCACAGGAGGCGATGATGGCTCCGTCAGAGTCTGGGATAGTGCCCGCCTCGAGAAGAACATCACGCACCGATCAAGGCAAAGCCACAAGCATGCCGATGGGGCTAGGGTGCTTGCGCTGTGCTTTATTGAGAACACGCACTGCTTCATCAGCTGTGCCAGCGATGGAAGCGTTCACATTGTCAAGGTCGAAACCGTCTCGGCAAGTGGCACCCTGCGATATGGGAAGCTTCGCCTTCTCCGGGAGTATCAGCTCCCAGAAGACGAGTACGCAGTGTGGTGTGAGCACTTCAAAGTGGAATCCACCTCGGTGATGCTCCTTGCGACGAATCGCTCCAGGATCCTCGGCATCGATCTGCGGACTATGTCACTGCTGTATACGCTGGAGAATCCTGTCCACCATGGTACACCTACATGTTTCTGTGTCGATCGTAAGAGAAACTGGCTATGCGTAGGAACAACTCACGGAGTCATAGACCTTTGGGACCTAAGGTTCCGAATGAGACTCAAGGGCTGGGGCGTTCCAGGCAAGAGTTCTATCTACAGGCTATGCATACACCCGAGCAAGGGCAGAGGCAAATGGGTTTGTGTTGCTGGTGGAACGGGCCAGGGCGAAGTTACCGTCTGGGACCTAGAGCGCACTATTTGCAGAGAGATTTACCGGGTTGGGGGCAATAAGGAGGGCCCGAAGGGATACGAGGCTTGGGAAGTGGACGAGGACAAGCCTGAAGGTATGCTTGGGCGATTTGCTACCAATATTGAGCCAAGCGGTACCGGAAACACAGACCGAGGTGTTCGCGCGATGGTAGCAGGCACAGGCGCCTCGGAGGACTCACGCGACGTACGACATGCATTCATCGTCACCGCGGGATCGGACAAGAAGTTACGATTCTGGGACTTGTCTCGCATAGAAAGCTCCGTGGTCTACAGCGGGCTACAAGGAGAGGACCCGAAGCCAACGTTCACGGCCTCTCATCCGACGACGGCCATGACGCTGAACACGGAGAGGATCCCGCGACAAGCGCCGACGGCTCCGAATGCGGCGGTCAGCGGGAAGAGCACGGCGGCCGGTGCGCGACCGCCGCGCTCGACTGTGATTTCGCTTCAGCAGCAGCAGCTTCTGCGGTCTCACTTGGATTCCATTATGGATGTTGCGCTCCTTGAGCTCCCATATAGCATGACGCTGTCAGTGGACCGGTCTGGCGTGGTGTTTGTGTTTTCATAGCGGATTGCTTCTTGGGCGTTTGATCGAGGGTTCTTTGAACATAGATACCAAGTGAATAAATTTTACAAGATTAATAATAAACTGGGAAATGAATTTGAGTGTTACAAAATACCACTGACAGTATGAAGATCTTCGTGATGAAGCATTTTCATAACGAACCATACAATATCATGTCTTTTCAACTGAATAAATTTGGAATCAGACGCAGTTGAGAGATACAAACGGCACAGTGCGTAATGAAGTAATGCTCGAACCCTTGACCGTGTTGGGGAGGAAATGCACAGTACAGAATCGCGGGGATGGCAGCTCTAGTCAAGTGGTAAATTTTGAGCGCCTTGTTCGACCGCCAACTTTCAGCCTCGTCGAATCGTCCACCCAGTATTATACCCACGCGACCAAGACGCGACAACGAAAAACGAATTGCGGCGGCGCCACTGACCGAACACACAGCTCGACGACCAAACCCGAGTCGCAACACCATCGAGCGCACGGCTTGTTATTCCTTTTTGGACGGCGAACCCGAGAACTTTCGAGAGAGGTAACCCCCAGCACAAGCAAATCACCTACAGTCACCAACCGAAAGCCCCAAAACCAAAGATGAGGCTCACGGCGGAGCTCATCAAGGGCTCGCTCTCCTACCTGAACCCGCTCAAGGAGCGAGAGCTTGATCTCCGAGGTGCGTTTTGTGTGAAAGGAGCAGGTACTACACTTTTTGAGGGCCAGAATTGATAGCGTCTTGCGCCGGTTGGAATGAATAGGACATCGAATCCCGGCGATTGAGAATCTGGGTGTTGCAGGCGTGAGTTATTCTTCCCTTTCTCGCCCGTCCTCTTCCCTTGACTTTTTCCCCCCTTGATTTCAAAGCTCTGGGAAGAAGAAGTACTCATGGCTGACCGTTTGTCACAAAAACAGCCCCACGACTCCATCGACTTCACCGACAACGACATCCAGGTCCTGGGTAACTTCCCGCTCTCGACGCGCCTCTCGACGCTGCTGCTGGCGCATAACCGCGTCGCGAGCATACAGACCTCACTCCCCAACGCGATTCCGAACCTGCAGCAGCTCGTGCTGGCGTCGAACCAAATTGCGCAGCTCGCTGACCTGGATGTGTTGGCGGGGTTCAAGCGGTTGACGCATTTGGTGTTGGTGGATAACCCGGTGACCAAGAAGGAGGTGCGCTTTTCATGATTTACCCTCCTCTCATATTTCTTTGACGGGAAAAAAGGGGAGGATTCACGGAGGGGTGGAGGGCTGACAGTGAGGCTTTAGAACTACCGATACTGGGTCGTCTGGAGGTGTCCGACTGTGCGGTTCCTGGATTACCAAAAGGTCAAGGAGGCGGAGAGGGAGAAGGCGAGGGAGCTGTTTGGTACGGCGGAGGAGCCTACTGAAGCGGCTGCCAAGGTACGTTCCGTGTCCCCTTCTTTCTTCTTCCTTCCCTTATGCTTTTCACGTCTAGTCGATACTTACTCTGGTGCGTGTTCTCCCAGATCATGGGCAACAAGTCCAAACAGCTCGACATCGCCGCCGCAGCCTCCAATGGCACGGCCGGTGGCGGCGCCGCGCCCTCGAAGCTCTCGAGGATAAAGCTCACGGACAAGGAGAAGGAGCGGCTGAAGGAGATGATCAAGAAGGCCGACAGCCTGCAGGAGATTATCCGGCTGGAGAAGATGTTGACCGAGGGAACTATTCCTGCGGGGGTACACCTGGATGGGGACGCTACTATGGAGGACTGAGTGTTTCTGGCTGCAGTTGTAGGAAGGACCTCTTCGAATTCCTCCTACTTTCAAGAGAGAGAGAGGAAGAAAGTCAGGGCGAGAGAAGGATGCACTTGGGGGAAGAGAACGGTTGTGTCTTCAACTACGGTTTCGAAAAAAGAAAACGGCCATATCATGGACTGGCGTTTGTTTTGTTGATGAAGAACTAAAAAAAAGGGATATTTTGAGTTGAAGACGAACCTTGCCCCCTTTTGCTGATGGATGAAGGGTTCGTTGGATCTGAGGAGAAAAAAGATCCTATCACTATTCATTCGGTGGCAAAAAATGGGAACCAATTATTCATCGTACACTTCGTAATATTGTGTCCCTTTCTCCCTCATTGGTGAATGCTGCGGTCCTGGTTATTATAATGTTGGCTGTTCAGATCCAAGCTCTGTGACGAAGGATGCCCCTATCCCGCACAAACAACCGCAAATAACAATCTGCCAAGCATCCAGATGTGCACTCAGCTTTAGAAAAGAGGAGCAGGCTGCCCCTATAAGGAAGTGTCGGAGAAGAAGAACGGACTAGAACTTTCCCTATCCAGTCATGTCAACGTCCTCGTCACCAGCCGCGCGACGAGCCTCGGCGACGAGCTGGGCGCTGGGATCGTCCGAGTGAATGACAGCCGTCACTGGATCCAAAGCGGCGGTGGCGGCTGAGCCATTGATACCGTTGCTGTTGCTGTTGCCGCTGGAAGCGCCGGCGCCCTTGGTTTTGAGGGTCGACTGCCGCTTCTTGGGCTCCTGGTCGGCTTTCCTGGGGTTGAGGCGTGCGGCGGCGGCCGAGTCCTTGATTTGTTTGTAGGGGACTGTCTTGGGGATGACGTCCTCGAGGAACTCGAGGTTGTCGTGGTGGTTGACTGCGGTTGCTGGAGGGTGCGTTTGCTGTGTCAGTGGTTGTTTGTTTTTCATTTTTGCTTTAATCACTTCACTTCTTAAGCATCTCAAGGGTCTTTTGAGATAGAAGCGTAATGGTTGAAGAAGAATTGGGAACTAGGTTCCTGAAAAACACGTACACAAGTCTTTGTATTGAACGTTACGACGGGGTTTGCGCTCTGCCTTTGCCATGTTATGGCCCTCGGCGGCAAGGTACTGGATGAACATTTCCTTTCAAGTCAAGGGTCAGCATACGCCTTCGATGAGAGATGAGGAAGAGCGTAGGTGACATCGCCATACCGTTGCCAGAGTGATTACAAAAGCCGCGTTGTTTGAGCAGATCCCAATGTCTGGATCTGTGCCAATGATCTTCTTCACGCGGGCCACTGTAAGGGAATGTTAGAAAAGTTTATGATACCATGGGATGGGGGAAAGGGGGCTTACAAGGCAGGGCCGGCTGGCCTGTGACCTCCTTTCTGGGAGGTATCGCGTTGTTGTTGGGAGGCATTGTGAGTTGGGATGGGATGTGAGTAGTGTCTTGTCAGGAGGCGAGGTTTAGGTAATGTGCCTTGATTAATGTTAGCTACTAGGTATATGAGACAATGGACTTTGCTAATGAAAGCTCGTGTAAGTTGGTAAGACCTCCCAAGGTGCCTAAGTACGCAGGAAGATGGAATGAAACTGAGTTGGTTGAAGGACCTGAGGTAGACGACCTCTCAAAAGGTGCCTAACGCAGGCCAAGCATCAGAGACCATCTCCGGAGCTCATGCAATGACTGGGTGCATGTAAGTGAGCCCAAGAATGGACCAAAGTTCTATCTAGTATCGTCTCATAATACATAAAATGCCGATTGTCATGCTCTTGTCGACATTTGTCGTGCCATAGGGTTGAAATGCGGATTTTGGTGAAGAAGAAGAACAGCCTACCTGATTGGACCTTGGCGTGAGTGGCTGCCGAGGAGGATAAGGGGCTGAAGAGATACCGGCGTCAACGGTCAAGTCTGCTTGGTTTTGGCTTGAATGAGCTGATGCGCTATGATGCAGTGATTTATTTGCTAGGCAGTAACCTTGGTATCGTCGGTTGTAGGCTTCGTGGGTGTGAGATGTCTTCTCAGATGTGGTCGTCAAGGAGAGAAGGAATCACTTTCGATAGAGTTGGGTCGCGCCAAAAGGTCACTGGGACGCGACCACTAAAAAACGCGCTGGTGTGCAATGTACCGGGCGAGGTAAGTGGAAGCTTAAACGCCAATTGCAGGGGAGCCCCCGCCACTTTGGAGACGTTCGCAGCGTCCCCAGTGACCCCAATTAGCTGGGAGACGGCAAATCGGCCATCACTGTCCTCATCATCCTGGCTCACCCAGCTAGCCTCGTCGCCGCAACCTACGACTACAACTACACATCTCCCCAGTGATTGGCAAGCGAAGAAGGCGTACCTGGAGAATATCTACGACTCGACACCACACGAAGCCTTGTTACAACGAGAGCCAAACCGAACGAGAAAACAGCCAAACTCCAAGGACGACACCCATTGGGACGTCCGGCCCTTCACCACGAATCCTCGACCGCCGCGAACATGAGCACGGCGCAAGTGCGACAATGACTTCCCGAAGCACATCCTTCTCGCACAGCCCGCACCGGCCCCCGCGCCCTTCCATCAGCTCGAGGATCTCATTTGCCGTCTCGACCGCCGAACAGAGCGAGCACGATGACGAGGCCGCCGGCGCCCCGCCCGCGAGTCATCAGCAGCAGCAGATCGAAGACGAGATCGCCGAGATTAAGCGTTATGAGGACTTCACCACCATAGACTGGGTACAAGATGCCGCCAGGGAGCAGGCGCGCAAAAAGCTGCGTCGAAGGCGGCGCGCCGGCATGCTTGACACAGGTCAGGCGGCGGGCTGGAGGTATCGTCTGCGCGAGTCCTACGATGCTGCGCAGGGATGGCTCGTCGTCACGCTGATTGGTATCGCTATTGGGCTCAACGCTGCGTTCCTGAACATCATTACGGAGTGGTTGTCCGATATAAAAATGGGACATTGCACAACGGCGTTCTACCTGAACGAGAACTTTTGCTGCTGGGGAGAGGACAATGGATGCGACGAGTGGCATCCCTGGACGGGGTTTGGCCCAGCCAACTACGTTATCTACATTGTCGTCGGCGCCCTCTTCGCCTTCACCTCGGCTACTCTGGTCAAGTCGTTTGCACCGTACGCCGCGGGATCGGGTATCTCGGAGATCAAGTGCATCATTGCGGGCTTCGTCATGAAGGGGTTCTTGGGATTCTGGACGCTCTTGATCAAGTCCGTCTGTCTGCCCCTGGCCATCGCCTCTGGTCTGTCCGTCGGCAAGGAGGGTCCCAGTGTACACTACGCCGTGTGTACCGGAAACGTCATTTCTCGCTTATTCGAGAAGTACCGACGCAACGCCTCCAAGACGAGAGAGATACTGAGCGCCTGCGCCGCTGCTGGTGTCGCCGTCGCGTTCGGTAGCCCAATTGGCGGAGTGCTTTTCTCTCTGGAAGAGATGTCTAACTACTTTCCCCTCAAGACGTTGTGGCGCAGCTACTTCTGCGCTCTTGTGGCGACGGCTGTGCTTGCGGCCATGAACCCCTTCAGGACGGGACAGCTCGTCATGTTCCAGGTCCACTACGATCGCTCGTGGCACTTCTTCGAGGTTGTCTTTTACATCATCTTGGGCATCTTTGGCGGTCTATACGGCGCCTTTGTGATGAAGTGGAATCTGCGGGCTCAGGCATTCCGGAAGAAATACCTGTCAAAGTACGCCATCGCGGAAGCAACGATTCTTGCTGCCGGCACTGCCATTATCTGCTACCCCAATGTCTTTCTGAGGATCGACATGACTGAGAGCATGGAAATCCTGTTCCTCGAATGCGAAGGGGCTGAGGACTACCATGGCCTGTGTGAGCCAGACAAGAGACTTTCCAATATCTTGTCACTAGCTCTGGCTACGATCCTCAGAATCCTGCTGGTCATCATCTCGTACGGCTGCAAAGTGCCCGCTGGTATCTTCGTTCCGTCCATGGCCATTGGGGCTTCATTTGGACGGACAGTGGGTATCATTGTTCAGGCCATTCACGAGGCCAACCCTACGAGTGCTTTCTTCGCAGCTTGCAAGCCAGACGAGCCGTGTATTACTCCCGGCACGTACGCATTCCTTGGCGCTGCTGCCGCTCTGAGTGGCATCATGCACATCACCGTCTCCGTCGTTGTCATCATGTTCGAGCTCACCGGCGCCTTGACGTACATTCTACCCACCATGATCGTGGTGGGCGTGACCAAGATCGTCAGCGAAACGTTCGGCAAGGGCGGCATTGCGGACAGGATGATCTGGTTCAGCGGGTTCCCCTTCTTAGACAACAAGGAGGAGCACAACTTTGGCGTCCCCGTCTCGGAAGTGATGCGAAAGGAGCTTACATCTTTGCCCGTGAGCGGCATGGAATTCTCCGAGCTGGAGAAACTTCTCAAGGACGATAAGTACCAAGGCTTTCCCATCGTCGAGGACATAGCCTCGAAGATCCTCGTCGGCTATATCGGCCGCACCGAGCTACGCTACGCCATTGACCGCGTACGGCGGGAGAGACCCATAAACCCGGAAGCCCGATGCACCTTCTCGCCTCCGCCGGCGTCCCTCAACGCAACTACTCCACTTACGCCGACCGTGACAGTCAACCTGGACCCGATGTCGACCATGTCGGTTGATTTCAGCCGGTACATCGACACCACACCCGTCACGGCGCACCCGCGCCTACCCCTTGAGACCGTCATGGAACTGTTCCGTAAAATCGGCCCACGAGTCGTGCTCGTCGAGTACCACGGCCGCCTGTCGGGTCTGGTGACGGTGAAAGACTGCCTCAAGTACCAGTTCACAGCCGAGCACGCCGAGAACCCACGCGACGACTCTGCCTTTGCGGAGAGCCAGGAGAAGTTATGGAGTGCGATGCGGCGTGCGGCTGGGTGGGTTTCTGACAAGGTGACAACGGCTTCCGGCGGGAGAATTCAACTTTCGTCGTTTGAAGAGCGACGGGGTATGGGCGGTGGAAGCAGAGGTGGTGGTGGTAACAACAGCAGCGGAAGCGGTGGTGGAAGGCCGGCTGGGGCGCAGATATTAGACGGCGACGAGGACGACGTCGATGACGGCGCTTTGGAGCTCGAGAACCGGTAAAAGGAGGTTTTCTTTGGATTTATTTCACTTGGTGCGGGCGAAACTTTGGAGTTTGAAATGTGTGATTCAGGTGGTGAGGGACATGGTCATCTTGGGAGGTCGGGCGTATGTATACAACAATGTTAGTTACGAACATATAGGGGTTTGGGCACATAGACGTCGAATAGATTTGCGGTGCTCAATTGCTGCGAAAGCATATCTCATCGTTCCTTCCCTCCTCGCGGCCCCGATCGTACCTACCTCCCCGTATACGAGAAGGGTATATACCCCCCCTCAAGTCCATTCCAGTCACCAGCAGGCGCCTCTCTAGGTCGAGAGGTCAGGTCAAACTGGGACAGGTGGTGGAATGGGTTATGGTCAACAATCGATTTACACATACGCCAACCAGCCTACTCGACGACAGGCTTAGCGAGTACCCGAGTTCGAATCCCAGCATGAGCACCAAGAGATGTAGCCCCCAATTCAGCACCGGGGGGGTGAACTCTTTTTTCGTCTTGAACTTTTTGGTCTTAAGACCCTTTTGACTTTGGAATGCAGAGAATTCAAGGAAGAAGCGAATGGTTGAGGGCGGTTGAGAGGACTCGTTAAATTGAGGTTGGCGCTTTCTGATATACCCCTTGGCTACCTGGCGTTGATTTGGTTTGTAATAAGAGGGAAGGAGGTGAGACCCAGGCGTCGCCTCCTTCTCAACGGCACATATACTAGTGAGTCAGTACTTCTTCTAAGCTCAGAGAGGTTGTTCGTTAGAACAAGGCACACTCCTCTTACTTAGGCCATCTAGGCCATCTAGGTTATCCCCTATTATCCAGTCACCCTCCATCCCAGCTATTGTAGAGACCCAAGATCGATGAGCTATCAATAGGCAGTGTCCTTCCGATAACCGAGAGATACAGTTCTGGCCGGAAATGGTGAAGGCGTCCTCCGTTGGCTCGCGGTCCTATATAACGCCATGGACGACAGCTTATTCTTTTTCACTCTTCTAGCCATGGTAATGTTGATAACTTACATGCCATGCGGAACTCAAGCTACTACATCCATCAATATGCTTCACTTATGGCGAGATCGCGGCCTCCAGCCCCCTTTTCAGAAGCTTTACCAATCATCTTGATTGAAGTGATGTGCTGTAGACTCTCTTAGATACTGGTCTCGGATATTTCGCATCTCCAAGCTGAGCCTTGTCCCGATATTTACACAATCACATGGCCAAGGCGTAATCTCCCTCATCGAGTCGGGTGGAAGGGGCAAGCAGGGTGGCGGTTCTCACTGACTGACCTTTGGAGACACTTCACAACCAGGCACCTCTGCGGTCCAACACAGCCCCACACGGCTACACTCCTCGTCGTCCATCATAGCCCACCAAGTCGCAGAGTCTGTCGGGGTGGGCGAGAAAGTACACTTTGGGCCAGTGGTTCATCGTGCGGCTTCTCCTTCACTGACGCGAACCTGCCATTTAAAGTCTACAGATGCCTGGCGTCTCACTGTAGCATTATTTATGCCGGTTCGAATCACTTTTTTCACTTTTTTTTTTCTTTCTCTCTTTCTTTCTTAATGCAGAGTAGACGAGCATAGCTTGATGGGGCATCGCTAATAGAAACTCGTTTGCACTCTGAGGAGCGGTATATGTCGAGTGGTAGGTAGCGATTACCAGATCATGCAAACACTCATATGAGTGGCCAGTCGCTTCATTTGTATACAAGCAGAGAGAAGTAGTTGGAGCTCATCTAAGTTCACTCTTAATCAACTCGGGGTATTGTCTATCTATCCAACATGCATGGTATATATAAGCAAACATGTACAAGGTCTCCTATATGCAATCGCCCCAGTCTAAACTCAAGCGTGATGTTCCGCAGAGTTCAAATCCCCCAAATCGACGATATCCTCGTCCTCGGAGTCCTTGTCCTCGTCGCCGCCATCCAGCGGGACGGGAGCGAGACCCGGCTGCTGCGGCACCGGCGCGTAGTCGCCAGACTTGTCCGCCTCCTCATGTTTGCGGCCGATGATGACGTTGCCGGCGACGAGCATGGCGGCGCCGACCCACCAGAGCGGTGGCAGCGACTCGGAGAAGATGACGAAGCCGAGCATGGCGGTGATTACAAAGTTGGAGGACGTATTCATGATGGACACCTGCGTGGTTGACTGGCCCTTGGCGAGTGCTTTTGTGAAGAGAGTCCACATCTAAGATAAGTGTCAGTTGAGCTCACGTAGGTGAGAATGGTAGGCTGGGCAACTTACGATGCCGTTAAAGACGAGGTTGAGACCGAAAAAGACCTGAGACATGATTAGCATTTTGATGATCATGATTTTTCATGTCGACTCACTGCTCGCATGACAACCTCAAAGGCGCCTTCGATATCTTGAAGATGGAGAAAGTTGGAGATTGCTTGAGATATTGTCGTTGTGAGCTCAGTTGTGGTCCTATATAATTGTAAGTAAAGCATTAAAAGACGGTAGCTCGACAGTGTGCCCAAGACACTCAAAACGAGCGCATTGAGTTCACAGAGCTAACAGGTATGAAACAAATTGCTCTGGTAATGCAAAACAGTGAACTTGGTTCTCAAGTTGTGATGTCGACTCAAATTGATGGGAAGTCTTGGCACCACACTCGACAACGACCCGAATGAACCGAATCGAGAATATCAACTCACAACTTGGCAAACACGCCGTTGAAAGCAGCGCAGGCGCCGCTCGCAATGGCGAGCACAATCCACTGATTCCGTCGTGCCCAAGCCATGCTCTCAGTCGCTTGCTCGTCGTCGCCTTCTGCCTCGGTGGGCGGTTCGCTGTGTGCGTCGTCCTCGTGGCGTGGGAGCAGCGGACTGCGCTCATTGTCCAGGGTCGTCGTCGTCGCGCCCGCCATGGTGGGTATCTGATCCTTTTGAGAGCGGCGGTCGGGGGCGGATGCTGCGGCGAGTTGTCGCTGGCGGAGCATTATGTGGAGAGGGAAAAGAGAGGAAGAGGAAGGAGGGAGATTGGGTGTGTTGGTGTGAGTGATCCCTGCTAATTACTGCTTTGCTTGGATGGGACGGGATGGATGACGGTCTTGGTGGTGGGCTTGGCGATGGGGGATGAGGTAAGGTAGCTCGGTGCGCTGCTAACTACTGCTGCTGCGGTTTCGGTGTGGCAGCAACTGCTGCAGACAGATGTACCCACGTGCGGTAGAGAGAGTGTGTGCGCGCAGAGAAAAGAGGAACGGGTTCGCGGGAGGGCGGTTTGGGAAAGTCTGATGGCGACTGTTGGCGTGTGTCTCAATGGTGTGGATGGGGATTGTTTGACAAAGTCCTCGAGAAGCCGCACGACTAGTGTAAGGGGAACATCCCAGTGCGTGCGAGTCCAGGGGCACGCGTCCTTGTCTTTCAGAGCCTCGGAGGTGTTGTTTCGCTGTATGAATGCGGGTCTGACAAGATCTTTGTACCACTGCAGCTCGGTATAGGTTGTATGATGAACAAAGGAATTCGATTGGTGACCACGTCGTTGGAAATCATAGGCCGTTGAGGCTCAAGGAGAAAAGAAGCGCCAGGTCTACCTTATTGTCGCCAGTTGCTAATCGACAATTGCCAGGGAGGAAACCCGAGGCGGAACCACTTCGGTTGTACTCCCCGTTTCCGGAAGATGGGGCTCCGGCTTGCTCAACAGTCACCCGGCATCGGCTTCTTCCCCTCTACAAAGTGGCAGGGGCTATGGCTTCAACTTTGTGCAGAAGCCGGGACTTGTTGGCACATAATGCGTCAACTTCACGTCTCTATTCAATTCGCCGGCACAACGTATAGATGCCAATTGGGGAACATCTAACATCGTCACTACCCGGCGCGGCTGGGACAAACGGAATAAGATGACGTATGGCGGGCGAGCGGTATTTGTATACCTACATAATGTGATAATACAATGGCATGTGTCCAATTACTGCCAAATGCCAAATTCAGTTGTAATTCCATTCCAGACCTGGGCCGTAGTCATAGCGTATCAGAACTAACATCACCAGTCGTAACACAGTTCCAATGCAGGCAGCCAGTCTATTGATGCGCTGACGCAAACCTATGAACGATGCTGTATAAACCTCTGATGGTATCAAAATGGCAATCTTGAACGAACAAACTCCCGTATCCTTAAACCGTGCCATCGTAAGAGCATGAACCTGAACGCCTGTAATATGCAGCCACTGGGGGCGCTCGTTGTCGTTCCCATCGCCCTTGTCCGCGATTGCGTCTCGTTCGTGTATCCGAGTAAGGTGGTCGAGGCCGCCTCTGATGCTCTCTATCGTTGTTGGCGCATACCCTTCAAGGGCCTTCACCAGGCTTCTTGGCGTTGCAGCTGACGATCTTGACCTTGTCGGCGGTCACAATCTGCCCACCATTATCCAGCTTGAATTGAACGTTCTTAATAAGAAACGTCCAGACTTCGTCGCAGAATCGGTAGGTGCTCAAGCTTCCCTGTGATGCGCGCAACGTTAGCTCTGATTCACAATTCTTGTACCAATTGGGGCGCATCTCCTGCGCATTCCAATAGGGACTCGCCCCAAAGACAGAAGAAGTGTTCTGGGTTATGCGCCGGAGGCTGGCAAGGGACATCGAGCCTCGGCGCAAACGACTAAGATGATAAATAAGCAGCACATACCTTGAAAGTCAAGCGGGCCTTGACGCTCTTTTGCAGGGCCTCTGTGATAGCCTGATCGAAATTGGCCAGAATCTTCATCGCCAACTGAGGGTGAATGCGCTCCTCGCTGATAAGATCGTCCAGCATATCTGTCAGCGCAAGGCCGATGCTGCATTAAGCAAATGAGTTAGTCATCTGTAGCACAGGTGTATAGTAATTATTATGGATGGCGCAGTACCTGCTACGGCGGTAAAGCTCGTAGAAAGATTGAGGTGCGGCGGCCATCTTGGAGATTTGTTCTGATCTCCTACGGGCGGGTCGTTTTAGGCGGTTGTGAGTGTGAAAGAGGCAAGGTTGTATTTATAGTGGCCTTGTTTGAGGATATCCTTGGATTCTGCTTATTCATCTGACGAAAGTGGAGCCCTTGCTCTTGCCGTGGCTGATGACACCCTGGTGCCTCCCACGCCTGGCGGTCCTTCTTGCCGTGGCTCTCTGCATTACCTAAGGATACATCAAGCCACATCATGTGACCTTCCCGATTCTGGATCCCTCTGCCTTACCTCAGATACCTTACCTCAATGACCTGGACTAGAGAGCTCGACGTAGCTGCAACGCCCCCCAAAGCCCTCCGCCGTCAACCACAACCACGACACAGGCAACGAAACGCACCGAATCGAGCACGATGAGTCTCACATATGGCCTGGGAGGCATTGGGAGCACCCTTCTCGTTGTGGGAGCTTGTACGAAACCCCATTCCCGCGATGGCACCGACGATTACGCGGATCACAGTCCCAGCTAACACCTTTTAAACAGACATGCTCTTCACGGGATCGGGCGAGGCTTTCAACGTCGGCGAGTTCCTCGAATCTATCTCACCCTACGCGTGGGCGGACACGGGCATTGCCCTTTGCATCGGTCTCTCCGTTGTAGGCGCGGCATGGTATGAATCCAAGCTTTCCAGCAATTGACGCAGCGATCGCGCGGCGCAGAGCCATGCATAATCTAACGAGGCGAACAAATCTAGGGGTATCTTCATCACCGGCTCCTCCATCCTCGGCGCGGGCGTCAAGGCCCCGCGCGTGCGAACCAAGAACTTGATCTCCATCATTTTCTGCGAAGTCGTCGCCATCTACGGCGTTATCATGGCTATCGTCTTCTCCGCCCAGCTCGAGAACGTCCAGGGTGAGGTCCTGCACGACGGCAACAGCTACTACACTGGTTTTGCCCTCTTCTGGGCCGGTATCACCGTCGGAATGTGCAACCTCATTTGCGGTGTCGCTGTCGGCATCAACGGCAGTGGAGCCGCTTTGGCCGATGCCGCCGACCCTACACTGTATGTTTATCCATATGCGATGAGCGATCGTATACATGTGCTAATCAGCCTGGGCACAGTTTCGTCAAGATTCTTGTTGTCGAGATTTTCAGCTCTGTCCTCGGTCTTTTTGGTTTGATTGTTGGACTTCTTGTCTCTGGCAAGGCCAACGCTTTCGGTAAGGCATAAGGCATAACAAGCTGTCTACACAATATGAAAGGTTCAAAAAGAGGAGGTCTATCACCGACAGCATAGCAACTATCTACCTCGGACACGATGTATAGTGAAGCACTGCATTACACCAAGGTTTACTTGGGCGGGCGTTAATGGTATACAGGCAGGGCGAGGACATTTTGTATTGTACACTATCCCAAGTATTATAGCTCCTCATCGACATGATTTCTACGCGTCATAAATTTTTGACTTCTGGTTTTCCTAGGGTGGGATCTCGACCCGAATCATCCACACGCAGCTGTTGTACTTCAACCGGAAACAAGTGATGACAAATCGCCTTTGAGCTCATTGTATAACTGAATAAGCACATGAAGGGTGAAGGTTATTGTTGAAGACCGAAGATCATGCCATCACATATGCATTCTTATTATTGTTATGAACATAGCCTCATGATTCAATACTCCACACGGATGTCCCCCATCATCAGAGCCGCCACCTTGGCCCCTTTCTTCAACGGCTCCGAGCCGGCCGGGAGAGCGAGTAGGGCATTCGCAGACTTGAGGCTACCGACCTTTGAGCTTCGTTGACCGCCGGTGCTGCTTGCGGACAGGGACCCGTCCTTTCCGACGGTGACTATGGCGCGGTGGTACTCTGGCCGAGCTTTGTCCAGAGAAAAATTGTGGCCCAACGTCACGGGAACCTTGGGTAGACCTGCGGGCTCGATGCCAGACAGCTTATGCAACGCCGGCAGAACGAAGAGGTGGAACGTCACTAGGGCGGACGCCGGGTTTCCCGGCAGCGAGAAGATGGTCTTGGTGACCCGCTTCCCGAGCGTTGTCTTGACGGGCACCGTGGCGAAGGTGGTCGGCTTGCCCGGCTTCATGGCCACACGGCCAAAGTGGATCGTGCCGCCGAGAGCCCGCTCGATGGTCGGCTTGAGCAGATCCAGTTCGCCCATGGAGACACCGCCCGTGGTGATGAGCAAGTCGCTGCGGCGGAGCCCTTCACGCAGGTTCTCCTCGAGGGCCTTTTCCTTGTCGCGCGCGATGCCGAGGTCGACGACCTCGAAACCCCACTGCCGAGCGGCGGACATGAGCGTGATGCGGTTCGTGTCGCGGACCTCGCCGAGGCGGAGACCGCCGGGGCGGTCGGGTTCGATGATCTCGTCGCCCGTGGAGAGGATGCCGACGACGGGCCGCTTGTAGGTTTGGACTTCTGCTACGCCGACGGCTGCGAGGAGGCCGATTTCGCCACCTACGCCGGAGATTTGCTCGCCCTTTTTGAGGATTGTGTCGTTTTCTTGGATGTCGCTGCCGACTTCGCGGACGTTCTCGCCGGGTTTGACGCCGTCGGCGAGAATCTCTACCTCCTTTTCTTCCTTCTCGTCCTTTGTTTTGGATTTTAGAATCGTGTCCTCGACCATGATGACAGAGGTGGCTCCCGGCGGTAAGGGGGCTCCTGTTGTGATTCTGGCGATTTCTCCTTCCTTGAGGGTCTTAGCTTCGCCCGGGGCGGCGTGGGATACTGCGGTGACGGGGAAGACGCCCTTCATGTTGCCGTCCTCGGGGACCACCACCGCGTACCCGTCCACAATGGATGCCCTGAAGGCCGGGACGCTTTCTCTGGCCGTTACGTCTTCTGCGAGAACCGAGTTGATGATGTTGACGTCTACTTTGGTCGTTACGACCTCGGCGTCAGGGGTGAAGTCTTTGATTAGCCGCAGAGCGTCGTCGACTTCCAGCATCGGGTACGGCGACTCTCTGTATCTGCGACTCGGGCCGAGACTCGGATCGTTGGAGAGGGGATTCTCTTCCGGCTTAGTATGCCTAACGAGACCACCGTGGCCATGTCCGTGGGTATGTGAGTGTCCATGGCTATGGCCGTGGCCGTGACCGTGATCATGGCTGTGGTGATCGTGAGAGTGCGCCTGCTCTTTTTGGGTGGTTGATCCTGCAGAAGCACCTTGGATCCCCGCCTCAGACTCGAGCTTCTTCACCCCGCCAGAGTGTAGGATCCTGGAGTCAGCGCCAGCGGCCTGTACGCATGCATGCGGCAGGGTCTTCAGGATGGCTTGTAAGTTCTCCTTGGCGCCTTTGGGGGAGCCGGGTAGGGTGACGATGACGGTGCTGTTGCGTGTACCTGCCACCGGTCTTGACATCATTGCAACTACTACAGTCAGTTTTGGTGTTACCTGTGAGTATCAGACTCACTTACATGGAGTCACGGCCAGGGATGCAGCAAGCATTCCGTGAACCAGGCCTGGGGCGGTCCTATGGAGGAGGGTTGCGACAGCCTTTGCTTGATGATCAGCATTCATCGATTGCATATATACAATATGTAGTTCACCGTACCTCGGGTGTGTTATCTGACACAGCGAATCCAGTTCCACCAGTGGTAAGGATCAAGTTGATTCCTTCCACGGGTCCCAAATCCGCCCAGAGCATAATCTGTCGCTGGATCTGGGGGACATGATCTTGCACAATCTTGGTATCGGTGACCTGCCATTTACCACCACCCTCATTTTCGATCACATCTCGTAGAATAAGTTCCGATTTGTCTGTCGATGGGTCCTTCGATGCTGTCGTCGACACGATCAAGATAGCTACTTTGAGCGGGGTGTCAGTCATAGTGGAGGTAGCTCGAAATGCTATAAACAGTAGTGAAAAATGGTTTCCAGACACAGTTTTCTTCAAGATAAATCGGCGACCACCAAGCACATGAACTCTGATGAACTAGGTATATGTCACTTCAGCGGATTACCTAGTATGCCTGGTGACGTCGGGAGCTTGTGGTAGGAGGGAGCTACCGGAGGTGAAGCTCCCCGCCTTAGTCAGCAACGGGACTCATGTCCTTGCATGGACCCATTCCGACGGATTGCACTTGCAGGATACGTACCTCGAGCTTGAACTTTTACAAGACTCAACCTTCAAGGCCGACGTTGGACGACACGATCTTGAGCGCGCCAAGATGGTCCGAATCAAAGAGAGATACATTCTCGTCAACATTCTGTACCCGCCAGAAGATTCAAAACAGAAACCCAACGTCCCAGACTTTGTGGTGATGCATCAACCGACAACCGGAAGTCTCACACCTCAGTCACTTCTCAAGGCGATACGAGCTGAGGTCGCTACTCTTTTCGGTGACTACGGGTCTGGTGCCATAGAAGGAAATCTTGTCGGTGAGTTCATGGAGCAAGATACGTCCGTCTGTGTTGAGTAGCATCTAACAGTCATGCAGTCAAATATCTCTCTCAGGCAACGTCGACTTTTATCTTGAAAGTGAAGAGGTCGCACTACCGTCTGGTCTGGGCTGCTCTGACGTTTATGAACCGCGTGCCTCTCAAGAGCGGAGAGGGCAAGCCCTGCACCTTCAAGGTTGTCAGAGTCAGCGGAACCATTCGAAAGGCCGAGGAAGAGGCCGTTCGACAGGCTAGACAGCTCGTGCTCGCCGCCAAAGACTCTTCCGCGGCTGCTGCCGCCGGCGCGTTGCCGCTTTTCTCAGAGTTTAGGACCGAAGCCGAGGACGCGGTCATGTTCGACGCGTCGGATGTCTCTGACGAGAATGACATGGTTGAAGAAGACGGCTGAAGGGTATCATTTGTTCTTGCGTACTACTTTTATGCCACTATCTGCAGGTATCGTCATGTCGCCAAAGTCCGGATCATAATCGTCGGCCGGCGGCGGCGGCGCCTGCCCGGCGTTTGGATCATCATCCTCCCGCATCTTGGCCTGCTCTTCCCATTCTTTCCGCTCCAGCTCGTCGTACTCCGCCTTTCGATCGACCCAACGCTCCTGGATATCCTGGACCTCCATCATGGACGACTCGTTGCGCATTGCGACCTGCCAGACGGAGTCGTTTGCGCCTTCTGCGCTGCCAAAGGCGTACCCTCCTGCTCGGTCGATCACCCGGAGGAGATGCATCATGCTCTTCTTGTCCTCGACTGCGAGGACCTCGAACCGGACTAGGCTGTAGCTCTCGATCATGTTTGACACGGCTTCATTGAGTCTGCTGAACTTTTCGTTGCGCATTGCCGGCGATTCTTCTTCCAAGTATGGGATCAAATACGAGAGGTCATCGACGTCGGTATAGTATTCGAGGTTGAAGGGGAGATTGTCATAGGAGGCGACTTTATCGATCTTGGTTAGGACATTGATGTGTGGCATATCCATCTGGAGCATGGCGCGAAGGGCCAGGAGCAGGTTGGAGATGTACAGCGAGGGTTGGGTCAAGCAAAACGAATCGGAGAGATGTACGACGACGAGCTAGGAACAAGTCAGCAAGGTCGTTCCGGGGGGAAGCATCGTGGGCAGCTTACTCTAAAGCCAATCTTCTGCAGTCGAAAGAAGATGTTGCGCAGAGAGTTGTGGTGTGTGTATAGCTCGACTTGACCCGGGCAGTCAAAGAGAATATAGTCTTCGCTGAATTCTTTCAAGCCTTCCTCCAGCCACTCCATGTTGTGCTCGAGCTCCTCCAGGGCATAGAGGATGCCGCCGTTGGGACCCAGCTTGTCACCAGCCATGATATCTTCTAGCTTGACGAGGTCGCGAATGTCGAGGGCTTTCGGGTAGTTTGTGTGATCGTTTGCGGGATCGAGGTTGACCACGGAACATGCACGACCAATGGCGCCCATGAACTGGTGCACTAGGCGCAATATATTAGCATCGCAGACGACGAAGTTAAGTGTGTTGGCAAGGGTGGCTTACTGCCATCGCAATAGGTGCTCTTTCCAGAGCCTGGAGCGCCGAGAATGAGCTGCGCAAAGGGCATCGCGTCTGATTGCTGAGTGTTATGTTCAGAGCATGCGTCGTATGCATGGGAATTGTGCGCAACTTGGTGTCGATATTTGGTTGTTGGAAATCGTGAACTGATCTTTAGAGATCAAAGTTTCCTGGTGTACGATTTACACAAGTGCAGGCCAGTCGTGCCCCTCCATGCAAGCATTACCAACACCACCACATTAAGGAAAGCCATGGTCACTGTTAGGCCGGGCTGGCGTCACATGCCGCACGTTCCGCCCGCCCTGGGAGCTTTTTGGCGGGGTGGGGCGGCACAAACTGGCTGACCGCCCGTGCCCATGTTCCTCCATGCTACAAGCTTCTTCAAGCTCCCCCACAGCGCAAAAGCTCTTTTCTTCCTCCCTCTTCTATTTTTTCCCTCTTCTCTCTCTCCAACCACCTTCCACCTCGGTCTTGCGTCTCAGCCACCAAACAACGGCTTAAAACCAGAGGCTCTCCCTTGCCCGCACCCTGCTAGCCTCAGGGTCGCACTGCACCATGTAATCTGTCTTTTTTTACCTGCTTGCTGCATTATGCTGCAACGCCCGTCCCAACACAACACACCGCAGCCATGTCGTCGTCCGACATTTCGAGTGCCGCCCACGCGGTATCAGAGGGCTTGTCGGCCACAATGAAAGCTTCTCCCGAGGCCCTGCCATCCGCGTTTACGCGTGCGCAGGAGGTCGTCGCAGCTCAGGGATCGTCAAGTTGGCTGGGGCTTTTTGGCCGGTTGATCCTCGCCATGCTGTCCTTGATCTCTTCGATCCTGTATTGGGCGATTCGAATCGTTACCATTACAATCCCTACCGTCCTCTTCACCTTGTTCTCAACAAGCTGGACTGTGACGATGAACGCCACTACTCTGTATGCGCTTCATCATTCTACCAGGCTACCTCTGAGCTTCTGCTGACATGACGCGCAGCATGGTAATAATGGTTGCCATCATATCCGCCGTCAGTTGGGTGGTGCGATACCGCATCCTCAACATGTACTCTCGACTTCCCCCGGAGCCGCAGAGGAAAGAGCCTGACGTCGATTTGTTCCCCGAATCCCACGATGAGGGCAAGAAATCAGGCCTTTCGAGTTACTTGGACGAGTTCCTCAGTGCCATCAGAATCTTTGGCTACCTCGAGCGGCAGGTCTTCCACGAGTTGACCCGGAGCATGCAGACTCGCAAGCTCATTGCTGGCGAGACCTTTAACCTGGAAGAGGAGAAGGGATTCTGTATCGTTGTTGACGGTCTTGTGGAAATCTTTGTCAAATCTGGCCGAAATGCTAGAGCCATGGATCCGGACCCTTGCGACAGCTTCGGGGGAGAATCTGCCTATCCTGGAGAAGACGACGACATGTCGTCAGCCCCACAGCAGAGATACCAACTGCTTACAGAGGTTCGCAATGGAGCTCCTATGTCGTCTCTCTTCTCCATCATGTCACTGTTCACGGAAGACGTCAAACTTCGTTCGACAGATGACGACACCCCGGAACCCACCTCAGGCAGTGCTGGACTGAGAACCTCACCATTCCCGCGCACCGCAGGCTTCCGCCGCATGCCATCAGACCCTGCCAGTCCGTTCCCAGCAACTCCCGAGTTCCCAGAGATCTCAGAGGAAAGGCCTGCGGTGAGGATCGAGGAACCTCCAAAACGGGCCACCACACCCAACTTGCCTGGCAGCGCAAGAATCCCACCCATCTCGCTTGACAGCAGCGGCAGTGTCCCCAGCAGTGCTCGTCAGCCAAAGCGTCCCCCGCTTCAGAGCCGAGCAACTTCTGGCTCAGCCCACCCAGATATCATTGCCAGAGCGACGGTAGACACGACTATCGCCATCATCCCAGCAAGCGCATTTCGCCGGCTCACCAAGGTCTACCCCAAGGCGACTTCCCACATTGTTCAAGTCATTCTCTCCCGTTTCCAGAGAGTCACATTGGCGACGGCTTACAACTACCTGGGGCTCACTGGTGAAGTCTTGCAAACGGAGAAGAACATGCTTTCTTTCACTTCATGTCAGTTGCCGAACATGCTTAGGGGCGATGCCTTGCAGCGTCTGAAGGAGAAGTTTGACCGGGAGCGAGAGAGAGTTGGCGGCGAATCGGAGAGCAAAGGCATTGCACTGCACAACGCCAACGCGCATCGTCGGCGCAAGTCAACTTCGACTCTCCGCAAGGATGCAATGATGCATTCCATGACTACCAAGGAGAGGTCATTTTCTCAGGTCGCTACAACGATCGGACCGCCGAGGGAGAGGGCTTCCACTCAGACAAGCCCCGGCGATCTGTTGGCCAACATCCAGTCTGCCCGGCATATTGGCCACCGACCATCTGGCTCGGCCAGTGTTCACCTCGAACAAGTCGCTGACGCTCTCCGTCAGGAGGGCACAAGTCCGCTTGCTCAGCGAGCCTTCAACCCATTCACTACTCAGAGGCAGTCTCGAGGCTCGATCGACGGCCGAGAGTCCCTGGATGAAGACAACCTCTTCCGTCAATCGATTCTTGAATGCATGTTCAAGGCAATCGGTTTGAGCAGCAATGGAAGTGTCTCTCGTGAAGCCGAGTCTGTCGAAGGATCCCCGCGGCTCTTCTCTTACGACCAGAGGCGTTCGAGACCTGGTCTAGGCAATAATGCTTTCGGTCTTATGGGCCCTTTCGATGCTTCTGGTGATGGAGACACGGAGTCTATGACATCCGGAGGCTTCACATTGAATACGCCGCCCAACGCGCACATCCTGGCAAGCGATATGAAGGATGACGTGGAGATTGTCTTCTTCCCCAAGGGTTCTGTTTTAGTTGAGCAAGGCGAGCGCAATCCTGGCCTCTACTACGTCGTTGATGGCTTTCTCGACATTTGCACGTCGAAGGAGGATACCTCAGCGGACATTTTGCAGTCCTCAAGCAGAACGACTTTGCACACTGATCACATGGGTATGGACGGGTCTCCCGCGTATCCGCCTGATCACTTGGACGCGAAGAAGAAGCGGCCCTATCGTCGCAGTGTGTCACTCATCAAGCCAGGTGGCCTCGCTGGATACGTGGGCACAGTATCGTCGTACCGATCTTTCATCGACGTCGTGGCCAAGACAGACGTCTATGTCGGCTTTCTGCCGCGTTCTGCTCTGGAGAGGATCGTCGACCGCTATCCCATTGTCCTGCTTACAATGGCTAAGCGGCTGACGAGCTTGCTTCCGCGTCTGATTATGCATATCGATTTTGCTCTTGACTGGGAGCAAGTCGATGCTGGTCAAGTGCTTTTCCATGAGGGCGAAGAGAGCGAGGCGATTCACATTGTCCTCAATGGCCGACTTCGTCTCGTGCAGGACAGGAAGGATGGCGGTGTCAGTGTGCGAGCCGAGTTCGGTCAGGGCGAGAGTGTGGGTGAACTCGAAGTCTTGACGGAGTCTGTCAGACCAGGCACGCTTCACGCTATCCGTCAGACTGAGCTGGTCAAATTTCCACGCACACTCTTCAACAGTCTTGCTCAGGAGCACCCGAACATCACAATCAAGATTTCCAAGATCATTGCGTCGCGGATGAGAAACCTTGTCGACGATCCCTCACAGCTTCTCTCCAAGGAGGCAGGCAATACCAACACAATCACCAAAGGCTCTTCTTCACTCAACCTGAGGACAGTCGCGATCTTGCCAGTGACTTCTGGGGTTCCTGTAGTCGAGTTTGGCAATCGGCTGATGAATGCCTTGTCTCAAGTTGGCCCTGCAAACGGTGCCACCTCCCTCAACCAATCTGCCATTCTCAACCATCTCGGCAAGCATGCTTTCAACAAGATGGGAAAGCTGAAGCTCTCCCAATACTTGGCTGATCTCGAGGAAAAGTATGGCCTCGTTGTATACGTCGCAGGTAAGATCTCTCTTTAGTACTCTATTCTCCCACACTGTCCTTTTTATGATGAACAAACACCGTTTGCGGAGGCAAAAGCCGTTGATGGCCAAACATACTCTAATTTTTTCCTGATTGGACTACCTATCTTACGCTTGTTGATGACACTTCTTGGTCGGACACCGATGCTAACTCTGCATCAGACACCAACGTCAATTCTCCGTGGACTCAGACATGCATTACTCAGGCCGATTGCATCCTGCTTGTTGGTCTTGCTGAAGGATCACCGGAGATTGGAGAGTATGAGCGTTTCATGTTGGGCATGAAGTCGACCGCGAGAAAGCTTCTTGTTCTCCTCCATTCTGAGAGGTACTCCCAGTCGGGATTGACTCGAGCCTGGCTGAGGAATCGTATGTGGATCAATGGCGGACACTATCACGTCCAAATGGCTCTCGGGGCAAACATTATGCCTGCCCATCCGCCTTCCAAGCGAACCAGCACCTTGAAGGAGCGGGTTCAGATCATCCAGGCGGAGATTCAGAAGTACACTTCGAGGAAGGTTCGGCACAGTCCTTTCTACTCTCCAGATGCACCCTACAAGGGCGACTTCCATCGCTTAGCGAGACGTCTCTGCGGCAAATCTGTTGGCCTCGTTCTGGGTGGTGGCGGCGCAAGAGGCATCACTCAAATTGGCATCATCCAGGCCATGGAAGAGTCTGGCATCCCCATCGACGTTGTTGGCGGCACCTCAATCGGCGCATTCATTGGCGCTCTCTACGCCCGTCATGCTGATGTTGTTCCCATCTTCGGCCTCGCCAAGAAGTTTTCGGGTCGCATGGCTAGCATGTGGCGTTTCGCTCTCGACCTTACATACCCGACTGCTTCTTACACCACGGGGCATGAGTTCAACCGGGGTATCTTCAAGACATTTGGCAAGACTCAGATTGAAGACTTTTGGCTCGAGTACTATTGCAACACGACGAACATCAGCAAGAGCCGAATCGAATACCACACCAGTGGTTATGCGTGGAGATACATCAGAGCTTCCATGTCACTGGCTGGCTTGCTCCCACCACTCTGCGATGAGGGCAGCATGCTATTAGATGGTGGCTACATTGATAATCTGACTGTCTCTCACATGAAGAGGTTGGGTGTGGACACCATCTTCTCAGTTGACGTTGGGTCACTGGACGACGATACCCCACAGGCGTATGGTGATTCGCTGTCGGGAGTGTGGGCATTCTGGAATAGGTGGAATCCTTTCTCGGGCACAGCCAACCCGCCGACATTGGCCGAGATCCAGGCTAGACTGGCTTACGTGTCTAGCGTCGATGCCCTGGAACGGGCAAAGACAATGCCAGGCTGCTTTTACATGCGGCCTCCGATCGATGATTATGGCACCCTCGATTTTGGCAAGTTTGACGAACTCTATCAAATGGGATACAAGTATGGGCAAGAGTACTTGCAGAAACTTAGAGACGACGGGTCGTTACCGTTCATGGAAGAAACGGAAGCAAAGAAGGCGATGCGGAGGACCATGGCACCCAGGAGAGCCAGCATCTAGTAGATTCTCAGACCTCAGACATGATTTGCCTACACGAGGAGCATGAATGATACCACCCTTGCACTGCCACAACAGACCAACATATTTCCCTTTGTAGTGTGTGCCTCAAAACAAATGTCTGATGCTTCCCGCGGCTGGCGGTGACGGCGTCAACCGCTTGTCGAAGGCGTTCAGCTAAAACCAGGGGGGGAAGACCCTACTAGCCCTCGTGGCTAAGACAGGGTCTGTTCCCCGAGGGTGTATGGGCATTGGGAGAGTAGGGTGTCGTGGAGTGTGTGGGTGTTCGGATAAGAGGACACGACTCATGCCTCACGAGTGTACGATGGCAAGGATGGCACGATGGTCTCATGATGGGCATTTGGGCTCTCGAGTTGTGCTGTTGTGCTGCACTGCTGCACCGCGGATGAGGTGCTGAGGCCTCGTTTGTTGGTGGAACCATTTCGTTTTGGAGAATGTGAGGCCCGGGAGCTATGGCCAGATCGAGAACCTTTTTTGACGTCAACGGCTTGGCAGGAATGATGGGGTAAGACCAGCGATGGCAGCGACAGAGCAAACAGAGTGGGGCTGGAGGGGAGCATTTTCGGGGCCGCAACCCATGACATCATGCAGGCACGGTGACGACAAGCTTTCCAGCTCGAGCCCAATGGACAAGCACGGCAAGCTCCCCCCCTAGGCTCCCGGCAGTCGAAACATGGATCACGAAAGATGTCAGCTAGTAGATGCGGGGGAATGCCGGCGTCCAGCGGTGAAGGGGCCCGGGACTGGGGCTGGGTTAGTAGCTTGGGTATTAAATTTCTACAGGTGCCCAGCAATGTCTCTCTTGTGCCTGTAGTGCTTGTCATTTCATACCCAAGATATTCAGACGTGTGGTCCAGTCCCCCTGCCAGCCAGCAAGCCACACACTTCGATCCAGATCCCTTCCCGATTGCCGTTGGAAAGTGCAACGCCGTCAGAGTCTCCCCTGCATATTTTGTCTCAATTCGGCATCCGGACCCCTCCTCTCTTGCCCTATCCTCGACAAGCGGCCTTGACGCCATCTGCAATCCTTTGAGATATATAATCCTACGTACCGCTACATCCTTTGCAACTTTTGGCACTTTGACGCCGCTTTGAGGGGACACCAAACCCAACCTTGATCACGCTTTACCATCGAGACGCTTACCAAGAACATTGGAAACAAAGAAGCTGTTCGTGTACGAGGAACGCTGAACAACTCTCTTTGACACCAAACCGAAACCGTAACATAACCTACCGTCAAACCATCTGCCTTCGTACTTCGATTTTCAAGATACCGAATCAGGTACAAAAGCCAACAACGAGAAAAGGATAATACATACACATATATACACTACACACATACACCAAAATGGTGAAGCCGAGCAAGCTACTCCCTCCGGATCCACGACCCTGGAAAGCGGAACCCGAAAAGCGCAAAGAACGCAAAGAATTCGAAAAGGAAGTCGCCGGCTTCGACTGGGGCCAGGCCATCGCCCTCGGCCTCATCGGCGCGACGGTCGCCTTTGGGATCGACAAGTCGCTCAAGCGCACAGAAGAAAAGCACGAGGAGGAGGACAGGAGGGAGGAGAGGCGGAGGCAGAGGGAGAGGCAGTCGAGGTCTCGCCCGCCGAGGAGCAGCCGTAGCCAGGCAGGATATGACAGAGACAGGGACAGGGATAGGTATAGCAGCAGATACGACGACGACGGCAGAACCGACGACGGGAGGAGTTTTCGGGATGATGGAAGCGATCGGGATTACTACGACCCGGATTGGCACGAGAGGGAGTATAAGTCCGTGAGGGACTATGCGCCGCCGCCGAGCGATGTTTCCGAGGCGAGGGCGACGCGGGGGACCACTGCGAGGGAGGAGAGTGTCAGTGTCAGGGGTGTTGGCGGGAGGGAGTATGTGAGGGCTGTGGATCAGTTTCAGAGGGATTATGGGTATGGGGAGCGCCGGCCTAGGTATGATGAGCGGAGGCGGAGTCAGAGTATTCCTGTGTCGAGGTCGAGGGAGTATTATTCGAACTGGTGAGGACTGAGAGAGCGAGAGAGAGAGAGGCTCTGGCGTGGGTTGTGCATCAACATCCATCGGTTCAGACGGATGAAGACATTTCATCACTAAACGACATTATGAGAATGATTATGATTAGCATATGGTGGGAATGGGATTTACATATGGAAGAGATCGAAAACAGATACAGACTATTCCCTTCCAAAGTACTGGGCTAGATTTCATGTTGGAGCGAAGCATTTACATGGTTTAGACGCTTTTGTGTCGGTTCATCTTTTTGACAGATCTCTCGCTTAGATTTTAATCATGCATTTATGCAGTTCACACTCGGCCTTGCATCTGACGACAACTTGGTGGACAGTACCATCTCACCTCGGTCACTTCTGTGTATGATACTTGGATCATTGTCAACTTCTAAGTTCTTGGTTACTGGCCAGCTACGGTATGACGAGATCAACCGGTTGAGGTTTTCTGCTCATGGAACTTCGGTCACCGCAACGAATCTGTGCAGAAGAGCCATGATGCGGCGTTATGTCCAAGATCAAGTCTGAATCCTGAGCTGGAGGGTTTCAGCAGCCCGGGACATCATCTTCATTCACACAGAAAAATGCTTCGCGTTCACCTGACCGGCTGCGAGTCAAATGATGTATACTCGTATCCCACCCTGACTATTCGATGTATTTTTCCAACGTACGAAAAACAGAACTCTACTGCCCACCGGCAAGCGCCTTCTCGGTAGCCGCAACAATGATATCAAACGCCTTCTGGACGTGCTCCTCCTCAATGACCTGGCTGCTCCCGGTACACATACGAATGCCATACAACCCATGAAGCGTCGTCGGCGTCAAATAAATCACCCCCTCCCCATTGACGTCCTCCAACACCGTCTCCGTTACCTTGTTACTCTTCTCCCTGTCCCCAGCCTTGCACGTAAACACGACCAGAGCATACCGCGGCCCCGTCACAATCTCAAACAAATCCCCCCTCGACTTCACCATCTCCGCAAACCTCTCCCCGAGCCGGATCCCTCTCTCCAGATGCTTCCGGATCCCGCTTGCGCCGTACGCCCGCAGCACGAACCACAGCTTCAGGCTGCGGAAGCGCCGGCCGAGCGGTATCTGCCAGTCGCGGTAGTCCGTCACCAGCCCGGCCTCGGAGAACTGGTTGCGCAGGTAGGCCGGCTTGATGCTCAGCGACTCGACGAGCCAGGCGCGGTCGCGCACCCAGAGGGCGGAGCAGTCAAAGTTTGTGAGCATCCACTTGTGCGGGTTCACGTTGAAGGAGTGGAAGGCCGCAAAGGGCGCCGTGAGGTGCGCGTTTTGCGGGAGGATGAGCGCTGAGCCGGCGTAGGCCGCGTCGACGTGAACCCAGATGCTGTCCTGCTCGTCTGAGGCGAGAGCGTCCTTGATGCCCGGGAAGTCGTCGACCGCGCAGGTGTCGGTGGTGCCGAGGGTCGCGGTGAGGTAGAAGGGCTCGAGCCCTTTTGCGCGGAGGGCGGCGACGGTGGAGGTGAGGGCGGCGCCGGACATGGCGTAGCCTGTTTCTGCCGGGGCCGGGACGGTGGCGAAGCGGACGCCGAGGACCTGTGCCGCCTTCTTCGTGGAAGAGTGCGCCATTTCGCTGCCGAGGGCGACGAGCTTGGAGCGCAGGCGCCAGGTCTCTTCCTCCTTTTCTTCAGAATCAGCAGGGAGGTGGGCGGTGCGGGCGCGGAGGAACTTGTCGCGGGCGGCGACCATGACTGTGAGGATGGCCTCGGAGGCGGTGCCGTGGAGGACGCCGCCGCCGCGGGTGGGCGCGGTGGAGAGGTAGGCGGGCGGGAGGTTGAGGAGCTGGGCGAGCCAGTCGAGGACGATTGTCTCGAGCTCCGTGACGGCGGGGGAGCAGATCCAATTGAAGTGGGCGCCGTTGAAGGCGTTTGAGTAGAGCTCGGCGAGCATGGCCGGGTAGGAGGAGGAGCAGGGGAAGAAGGCGTGGAAGGAAGGGGATTGCCAGTGGGTTATGCCGGGCACGATGTGGGATTGGAGGTCGGCGTGGATGGTCTGCCATGATTCCGGGTCCTCGGGGGCGGATTGCGGGAGGAGGGGGCGGAGGTAGCCTGGGGTTACCGAGGGGAGGACTTTTGGTTGGGAGGTGATTGTGTCGTAGTATTTTGTGACTGAGGGATGGTGGTTAGTGATTGAGGGCTTTCGTGAGAGGGGTTGGAGGATGAGGATTGGGGTGAGGATGCTTGGCGGTGATGAGAACCATGAAAGTGTGATGAGAGACTTACTGTCTTCTATGGCCTCTGCGGCCGCGGTGCGGAATTCGGATGAGTCCATCTTGAAGAAGGTATGCTGATCAATGGTCCAAGTACTGATACCGATGTTCTTCGCTCAGAGCCTGGGTACGTGTTTGGAGGGCAGGATTGTCAGTCTTATAGAGAATGATATCTCGAGTCTATAATGCCACCTTTACAGCAGTATGAGAGACGCACACATGAGATGAAGTCAATTGTGTGTGGACGTAGTAAGTAACAGCCCAGCCAATCAAGAGTAGCTCATCGACTAGGGTCGGCGGTTCATAGACGACATGGAAGTGTGCATCTCTATCTGGTACTCCACTATGGTCCGCCCATCACATCATTATCCGATTTCCTAAATCCCCGATTCTTGGGAGGTGGATTCAGACTGCAGTAATGTAATAGGTCAATGGTGTCGAAAGCTGTTCGTCGTGGCGTACGGAGAACTCGACTACTCGTCAACCAGCCGCGCGGGGCGGCTCAACGCGGGGTCGTCGCTCGGAACATCGGCCGGAACGCTCTCGGAACGGCTCCGATTATAAGCCCAACACACCCAATGTCAACCCAAATCCAGTTCAAAGGGCGCCGTTTTGACAAACGAATGTCAAAAATGCGTTTTGGACCCTCCGCCCTAAAGTGACATGAGCGTCGCAATTGAGTTTTCTGGATCGCTGATCCCGGCACTAAGGGTCAAGTCCCAGATCTACCTAGTATCTGGGGTTACTTGCCATGTCAGACCAACAAGGAAGCGGCCACCGAATCTACATTGATCATAAGTTTTACGACTCTGGAGTTTTAACTTTTTTTTATCTTCTCTGGGCTATGCTCTGCCTGAATTTGTGCTCTCGAAGCATTTGAAAGTAAATCTCTGAGGGTAAATGACATGCAACCTCTGAAAGGTGGCCTTGAATTGAAAACCGCCAAGCAACACGGCATCTACACTGATACCCAACGACTCAATCGCACTCAAACATTTTTGTAGTGCTCACATTGATCCGGCTCCAGCTCCGCCGGTTCACAACGCAGTCCCAGAACGTCATGGGCCAGTAGACGTGATAGAGCCACCACGCCGGCAACGGATCCCACAGCTCAAACGTCCCGTCCTTCCAGAACAGCACGTGCTCGACAAACGTCTTAATAGACCGCCAATACGCCGCAATCGACACCCGGAGGAGCAGCACCCTCACCGTGGGTAGCAGCAGCAGCGTGAAGAGGTCGTGCCCGATCCAGTAGTACTTAGCCGGCCGCCTCGGCGTCACTACGTCCGTCTCCGAACTGCCCCCAGAGGTTCCCATCTCGTCAAGTACGCTCAGGTACCGCTCCACCATGTCCGGCGTCTCTCCAAACAATGCGACAGCGGTGTGCGCCCTCGGGTTACACTCGATCGGATATAGCTTCAGCTGCTCAGGCTTACATCCATCCCCCGCCTCCGCCGCAGCAACGTCCTCGTAGCTCACCATGAAATCGAAACTCAGGTGGCCCGTATACGCATCCCCAAACGACGCAGCCTGCTTCCGCGTAAACTCGAGCATCGCCCTCGACAGCGGCGACGAGGCCGGCAACGCGACGTAGTGCATCAGCAGCTCCGCCGAGCGGCACGCCACAAACGCCCTCACCTCCCCACGGACCACGAGCGCGTGCGTGCAGAACTCCTCGCCGTCGATGAACTCCTGCAGCAGCCAGGGCTCCTTGTCCGACAGGCCCAGCCACTCGAGGTGGTAGACGTGATCGTACGTCTGCTTCTCCGTCGGCAGCGGCAGCAGCGTCATGTCGCCGCGGCCGCGGTCGTTGACGCCCACCGACTTTGCGATGAAGCGCGGCGGCGGCTTCCTGTTGTTCTTGGCGGTGGTCTCAGACTCGGCGTCGTAGGACAGTCCCCCCGACGCCTCATCCAGCGCGGCCAGCATCTCGTGGCGGCTCGTGACGAGGTACGACTCTGGCACGCGCAGGCCCGTCTCCCGCGTGTGGTCCATGAAGGAATCCTTCTCGTGCAGGATCCGGGTGCGCGCGACGTCGGGCTGCACGGCGCGGCACCGCGTGCGGGCCTCGACGACCTCCTTGACCACGCCGTCCTCGACGGCCGAGCCAACGCCCGAGCAGCTGACCCAGAGATCGACCTTCTCCCGCTCGACGATCCGAAGTACCGAGTCGAGGTACGGGTCGGCGCCGCCTCCTGCCCGGCCGGGTTTCTGGAGGATATGGTAGGCGGCGAGGGCGGCGGACCGGCTGCCGCAGGCGTGGGGGGAGAAGTCGGCGCCCACGACGCGGTGGCCGGCTTGGTGGAACAGTCGTGCGAGGGTGAGGCCCTTTGTCATGCCGACGCCTGTGACGAGGATGGTGCGGCGCTGTTGCTGTTGGCGGTCCGTGGCGGCGGCAGGATCGAAGGCCTGGCCGGGACGCAAGAAGCGCTGCCACGCATAACTCAGGGCGAGGATGATCGTTGTCAAGGGGATGAAAGCGATGCTGATGACGATGAGGACCAGATCCTTGAGGATCTGGCCAAAGGGGTCGGCCGAGGCGGCTTTCATGGCCGCGGTGATGCCCGGGTGTCCCGTTGAATGGATTGTTGCTTCACTAGAAGGTGATTGAATCAGAAGAAGAGGGGAGCTGTAGGTAGGTAGGTAGCTGGGACCGAAGATGAGACGACGAATTCACTGCGTGACACCGTCGCAGGTTTGAAAGAGCAGCAAGCAACGACATCCAATTGGGATGGGAAAACCACATCGATTGGATAGGTGAAGATGGGTTTGGAAGGGATGAAACAACCTTTTCGCGCTGCGTGTCCCAATCTTCGTCCCAGGATACACGGCGGGCTGAGGAATGCGGAATTGGAAAAAAGTGTGGTAGGTACGAAGTTTCTCTCTCTCTCGCACACAAATACCTACCTACACGCGTATGCGGGCATAGGTATCATGATGACCTTTTTCCCGAAGGCTCCGACGCACCGCCCACTTGGGTTGATAAAAGTATACCTTACGTCATGGACTACTGCAGTGATTGGCGCGCGCACACAACTTTGCCTACCTTGAACCCCCTCGCCTCGTCGTACCTTGCCTTAGGTAAAATACGCGCCAGAGTGATGTCTCACTGCGTCGAATATTGGCATGTTGTGTGAGCTACGGGAGCTTCAGCTCCGTCTTCCAACCGGAACGGACCGGATGGGGGAGGGTGGATGATGAGATGTCGCAAGCTCTAAAACCTATTTCGAAAGAACTCAACGAGTGGGGGCTCTCTTGTCTTCAGGAGTTCTCCCTTGGCTGGGAGTACGCGCGGGCGTATCATTGTGAAGCTGTGGCTTGAGGGTCAGCGTCGGACAGAGTTCTGGCTTTGCAGGCTGGCTGGTGCCATATGTGGTTGGAGATGGGAGGATGTGCGGATCAGTGACTGCCTCTGCAGGGATATCTGAAGTCAACTTCCCCATAGAAACTTGGGGGGCCAAGACTTCACCCCATCTCTGCATATTGTGTTTAGTTACATATCAGTGCTCCCCAGCTTGATGAGATCGAATATGCTTATAAGCATGATCAAGTGGCATTGATCGACTGCACGGAGTAAGGTAGTCTGAGCTTCAATACCTTCCTCCAAGCAAGTTCCTTAGAAACGTAGGATGGATATAGCTGCCAAGGAGAAAAGGATGAACTGACAAGCCATCATGCGTAGAAAAACGACACACGGGCATGAAATTTCAACAAACCATCCTAACATGGAGAACACTGGCTCCTACTGTGTAAACCTAGGGTCTCGTCCCTAACACAGAAAAGAAAAAGGTTTACCTGACAGGAACAAGGGCTAAACGACCGGTGTTGGTCTCCAATTGCAATTTCCCCCGCATAATAAACCACCAAAGACCAACCAACCGATCATCCCACCCGAACGATCTACCGCGGGCAATTTAAAGCGGAAGCGATCAGCAATGCGCCAGAAATAACTTTCTTTCGCATATGGTGTACATACTATTACAACACTACCGGTTCACAGCCCCGAGCGAGCGAGCCAACGAGCCAACGGATGATCGTTCCGGGAGATCTCCTTTCTTGGAGGGGCCCTCGAGAGTTTTTGCATCAACTCCCAATTTAAACTCTCGCGCCGATACCACCATGGAGACAACCCCTTGGCGCTCAGTCCTTCTAGAATGTCTCCTTGAGTCGATGGAAGGCTTAGCTCAATCGAGCTTTCCTGCTGGTGTGGATCCAGAGAGGGTGACCATTTGTTTGGGTGAAATCGTGAATCTCATAGAACTGGAGATCATCAAATAGTGTATGTATGTGGTGGAAGATCATGTAGTATTATCCAACACGTCTGTGCCCCAGTATATTCGCTTGCTCACGCGCAAGCCTAAGCAAACAACTATCCAAAACGAAACTATGGTATCATTACTCATTAGAGTCATTATTAACAATAAGCAAAACCCTCCTGTGCGCCGCCCGAGCTGCTCTTGTCTCCCTCAGCTCGGGGCATCAAAGGAGTGTCCGTGTGTTCTGAGGGGTATCCCGTTCTTGATCAAGTCTAATCCGTTCGTTGCCGTTTTTCCCCTGCGCCCAATTAGAAAGAAGGAGTGTGTTGCAGAGCGGCCATGTGAAGTAAAGCAAAATTTCCAACGCCTGCCCGATGATGATGTTGATCCAAAGGTCTGAGAACAATCAATCTCTCAAAGGAAGTCCCGCTCACGCGACGGCAACGGCGGCAACAATGGAGTCGAGTGCTGAGCTGTGAGTCGGCCCGGAAACGCCTTGCGCGGGGCCCGACCAGACGACACCCATCTTGCCAGCAGAGTCGCGGTTGGCGTTCCAGTTGCTGTCGGCGTTTTTGGTGATGAAGGTCTTGAAATCATTGTTGGGCGCCACCTCTTGCAGGTATCGCAGGTTACGAACAAAGATGCCCTTGAACTGATTGCCGTCAGAGCCGCAGTTGGGCTCGCACGTATCGTGCAGGATGCCGTTGTCGTCGGCCAGCTGCTTGATGGCCGCCTTGGCAATGTTGGTGGCGTCTGTCAGGACCGACTTGTCGCCATTAGCCTTGCTGAGCTCGACGAGACCGCCGAGGACGACACCTTGGTTGTAAGACCACACGTTGGCGCCGTTGTTCTTGCAGTTGCCGTCCAAGCCGTCGTTGATGGTGCCCTGGGCGTTGATCATGCCGGTGGCCTTGAACCAGGTCCACTGATCAGTCGCGATCTTGAGGTAGCTGGCCTTATCGCCCGAGATGCGGTTGGCCAGCGAGGCGGCGACGCTGAGGTAGAGCTCGTTGGCGATGGCGTTGACGTACTTGCGGTCCTTGCTCCAGTAGATGCCGCCATTGCAGTTGGTATTACCGCCGGTCTTCATATCGGCAAAGATGCGCACGGCCATGTCGAGGTAGTCTTGGTTCTGGGTAACATCGTAGGCGCGGATCAGGCCGAGCGCCCACCAGCCTTCGTCGTCATAAAATTCGTTGATGAAGTTGGGGAAGCCCTGAGCGCTCATTTGACGACCTTCGATAGGCAGCGGTACCTCGCGCTTGGTGATGGCGTACGAGGTTGTGACAAGGCCTGCGGCGTTGATAGACTTGGAAGCTGATGCTGTAGCCTTCTGAGCCTGCTGGAATGTGTTCATGAGGATGCCTCCGATGTTCAGCTCGTTGGCAGCATCCCGGTTCAGGTTGGCGAAGTCGGCGAGGGTGGTAAAGGCGTTGGCGCTGTTCCACCAGGCGTTGTCCCAAAGACCAGAGCCAACATCGTACCAGGTCGTCTCGAGCGTGCGGATGGCGGCAACAGCATTATTGGTGTATGAGGCGACGTCTGCTCTCTGGGCAATAGGACGAGTGGACATGAGAAAGACCGCCCGGGCTGCGAGCCCTCCAACGTTGGCGACCATGTTGATGATTATTAAGTATAAGTCGTTGAGTAAGGAGGTGGGACAGTTCGTCTGGTCTTCTCTGCTCGAGGTAGAGAAGTGAGAGGTGTAGTGGAGGAAGATATATGTATTAGCTGCGATGGCGAGAGCAAGGAGAGGCCACTTTCGGTAGATGAAGGCCGGGATGTTAAATATATCAGGAGCGGACGAGGATTCCGGTCCATGTGCCCCTTGTCCAGGTTTCCTCCGAACTGGTGGACCGGCACAGCAGTAATGGAGGTGGTGGGAAGAAGGCGGGTACGGACAAGGCGATGAGGAGGGACGGTAATGCTGATCCTGGACGGCAATCTTGGTAGCAGGGCTCTGAGAAAGTGGAAAGCTGGGGCGGAAGCGGCAGCAGCAGGAATGGAAGCATGAAGATGATGGGTTGGAAGAAGCGGAGATGTCGTCAAGGTCAAGATCAGCGTCAAGGTGGGATGACGAGCAAGAGGAAGGCAAGAATACATGTAAGCAGGAGCTGGCGCAGGCGCGGCTTTTGCCAACGTCCTGATCCTGCGATGACAGCGCCATGATCCTCTTTGCTTGTGTCTTTACTCGCAGCCTGGAAACAAGCACAAAACAAAACAAGGCTTCATCTGATGTTGGGATCAGGAGCTGCCTTCTCGTCAAGCCAGCACATCGCACGCGGCTGCGCCCTGACAGGGGCCACCCGGCAAAGAAGTACGAAGATCACAGTCAGGGGTCAGACTGTGGTGGCCAGTTGGTGTATCTGGGATGTGAAGGAGGAGGAAGAACCAAGGAGCATGGGATGAGATGATGACCAGAGAGGCAAAGCGCGAAGAGTCGAAAGTACCAAGTATCCGTACTCAGTAGAAACGGGCGAAGAGTAACAGAGCAAACTCGGAGTACAGATAGCAAAAGGGGCAAGACAAGACAAGGGCGTTTGAACAGCGGTTCCTTGGAGAGCGAGCGGGTCGGTAAGCGCTGTCGTTCATTGGGAGAGATTCGAACGGGACGAGGATCTACCGCCAGCTCGGAGACTCTTTGGGAGTCTTGGTTGCTTGGGAGTCGTTGGAGTCATTTGGGGATGGGGAGCTTGAGAGCTGAATGTGTAAAGGTGACTGGCGGTAGATGGTGTTTCAGACAAGATTGTACGTTATGCTGTGTTAGCGGGCGGCGCGAGACCGCACTAACTGCACCTGCGGTACAAGGTACTTTGTGAGGTCCCTGGTGGTGGTTTGTCCCATCCGGGCTAGAGGTAGGTACGTATTGCACCGGACCGCTTATCGGGCGATAAGGTACATGTGACGAACCTTGAACCCGAACCCATCGAGCCAGCGCCTGAGCTGTGAGCAGTGAGACTGTGAGACTGTGAGACTGTCACACTCACAGCGGCGCCAAGTTCCAACGTCCAGGAACCAGAGATCGGTATCCGGGCCTTCCATTAGCCACGGGTGCTATGACCAGGGGCTTAAAGGGTGTTGCAAGCCCCATGTCCCCCTCTGTCTTGGGTCTCTTGGCTGGGACATCTGGGACATCTGGGACTGGGCCCCGGGCAGGAGGGGATACCCCAGCATCTGCCGCCCCTAATTGGGAAAATCTGCACATTGCGCACCGCCACGTGCGGGTCTTTCCTTAGTTTCCTCCTCCATTCCTCCTTCGTCTGGTCCTCCAGAGATACCTGAAGCTCCTCGTGTCAGAGGGGGACGTATCTTTTTTCCCTTCTCTTCCGTACACATTCTTTTGCGTCTTTCCCCTATGATAGTACACCTTGCTCTCCATCCTCATAGAGTTGTACCCCGATATGCAATGGGCAGCTCAATCTGACTAGGAACGCCTAAGAAAGCTACGGAATCCCAAAGGATGCTGGTCCGCGAATATCTGAGGCATCTATTCCAGCATGGTCAGGGCAACATCCTCAGAGACCCATCATGATGAGGTCGCACGTTACACTTGCACATCAACAAGCTCCGACTGCTGTGATTCATTCCCATGATCCAGACTCGCATTCTAGATCTGCGCTTTATTGTCATGTCTGTTCACTCACTCCGAGTCATCCTTTCAGTCATTGCACAACATCGCAGCCTCGGGACCAATTCATTCGCCTCATGGGTGCATCATCACCACATCGTTCACCCAGAGCTATTGCTCCGCTGACGTAGCCGAGCAGGAGGGATCATCAAGCTTGCGGACGATGAATGGGCTCCAGACTCAGATGACAGTCCGATTCAGACCGACTATTGACAAAAGTCCGCGAACCTTGTCCTCCTATACGCATGACTGCGGCGTGCAGTCAAATATCGGCAAAATCATGTTCACAGAGTACGGCTCGTCATCCAAGACTGACCAAGAACCATCCAAGAATTCCAGGCCCCGACGTTGACGTCTCCAATTCGTCGCTTGACAGCTTATTTCTCACGGCGGCGGCGCAGAGGCTGATCCTCAATGCGGTGGAGCGCCATGGATAATTCTTTACCAAGTATCCGTACCTTCCTTCTCCTGAGTGTCGACTGGCGAGACGGGGAACCAGGGCTCGCTTTATTTCGAGGAGCTCAACAAGATTACCTCGACATGCAGAACACCAGAGACATGCCAGCAAAGACACCAGAGGCATCAGTGCCACCCTGGTCCCGGGGGGTGGCTGACGACCCGAGCTGACAGCGGGGATGGAGGGGCATTTCTCGCATTCCCACTGTCGGGGACCACCTCGCACCACGAGCTGGCCCGCAACCTGCAGGTGGGAGCCGATGTCGAACCTGGAGCTTTGGATGATCATAGTCATGATGGATTTTTGGCACCAGAACAGCCTCTCTTCTTCTCCTTGCTACAACAAAGCTCTCGTCTTTCGAATCAGCATGCTCGACGTGGCAGGGTCGCAGTACTGGCGGCCAAGTGACCCTGTGCAGAACAAGAGCAATGCTACGATGAGAAAAGATCACGAATCAGCCTCAATGGAGCCGTGACCTTGCTCAATGCTCTGACGATCACTTTGGTTTCGGCATTCGAACATGAGAGGTCACACCGACATTCAAGGCGGCCCGGAGCCTGCGGCCCAAAGGTGCGTCTTCTGGATGGATCGAAGCCAACCAACTATCATCCTTCAAGCAAAAAAGTGCTGCCTAACTTAGGTTCTCACCGTAGGCAGCGATGACGAGACGGTGATACCGCGGTTGTTGATACTATTCTCGTCATCCGCCCAAAGTTCTTTGGGTGAGGGATTTCGCGGGCACGAATCGATAATCAGAAGAATGATCTTTGGTCAGAGACAGCATATGCAACATTACGCCCCATCAGTCTTGCTCAGCGCAGCCGGACGATCATTCACTCATTCTGGAGAGCCTAAGAGATAGCCAGGTACAGGCACAGCATCGCTCCAAAGTCCCTTCTTGATAGCTGCGTGCAGATGGGCAGCCCTACCGACCGTCATATTGGGCGTACAGACTACCTACAGCTTCTGTCCAGCCCGGCGATCTTTTGCCGGCGAAGGCCTAGTACGTCCGCCTCTTCTGCCGCCCAACCTTGAATTTGATGCATACCGAGCACCAGCTCGCCGTTGCACGGCATACAATTAGCCTTGGCCGCGGCACTTACGTCGCGAAATCCTACGATTTGCCTGGCGCAGCCTGCCGTCTGCACTTACTTGCAGATTTGGGGGCGGGGTGGGGTGGGCAGTGTTAGTCTCGTCCATCTAGGGACTTGAGCAATTGTGTGGCCAGGTTACGCCCAGCCAAGACAAGAAACTAATAGCAACCTCACGCAGTACACTATTCGGAGCATCGGATTCAGCTATTGGAAAAGATTCGGCAAAGGCGGCGTTTGACGAAACTCTTTCACTCCGCATGTGTCTGCGTTTCTCGGAGTATCGTCCCTTTCACGGACTACGAATCGGTTATCGGAATGTGACGTTTCCCAGGTCCTCTACGGAAGCTCACCCGGCCGAGAAACTAATTACCAAGCTCAGATATTGGTGCGACTTGAACACGAGCGCAACCCTTTGAGGCTGGTCTAACGTAGCTCTCCCGTGATTCAAGAAACGTCACGAGTTCCAAACCGCTTTTGGAGCACGAACCCAACTACTTGGCTTGGTTTGAGACTTTGTCCTCCTTCTTCACATTGGGTAAACATTGATCTTCTCATTCATGAACATGCATCACCACTTGGCATCAGATATGTCAACCACACTTGAACCAAAGACAGACTGAACAGCCATTGCCAAAAAAAAAAAAAAGTAGAGAAAAACATCATTGAGCAAGGTTCAACGGCTTCGAAACCCTGGTTTTTGGGTCGCACATAGCATGCGAAAGTACACCGTACGCCAATCGACAAAACTCCATCTCTTCGTACAGAATTTCCACTTCTATGCGACGCCTACGGTAAGAACCAAATCGCAGGCCCAAACACGCCCCTGCCTCCTACTCCTAGGCCTGGGAAAGTAAACCACCACCACCACCACCACCATTTTCACAATCTCTAGTTTCTACTCACCTTGGAGGTTCTTACGCGTACTGGTGGCTGTTTGCGGTCCGGGCCTTATCGTAAAACACGACGCTCCCACCTTTTTCTTGACAGTCAACAGTGTCTTGAAACGAACCGTTTTACATCCGACCGCGCGGCGGGGCCACATCCCAAACCTGCGTTCAATTCTTTTTCGTCCCTACTCCGAATCAGACTCAGCCTCTTTTTTTTTTTTTTTTTTTTAAACTCTTGCTCTTGCTTGCGTTCGTTCAATGATTCTTTACGGGTCTGGTCAGGACCCGGCTCTTCGGCACAGAGTCAAAGCAAAAGACCAAAAAATGAGAGACTGTTGTCTGATGAATAAATGTTAAACTTTATTGATTTCTTGATCTTGCCTCGCTTATTGCATCTACTGAAGGGCCCATCCCTTAGTCAACCTCAAACGACGAATTTACTTGATCTCCAACCGCAGCGCATCATACTGCACGTAAATAGCAGGCGTAAGCACGGCGCTCTCATAATTCGTCGCGCCGTAGGGCAAGCTCAGGACAATCTCGTTCTCGCCCGCCTTCAACAGCTTCGAGTCAAAGACAAATTTGTTGGCGACGTTGTAGCACACTACCGCCGACCGCACCGCGCACGAGCTGCTCTGGTAATACGGAATCACCCACGGCTCCAGGTCTTTCCCGTTGACGTTGACGGTGTATTTCAAGTTGGAGTGCGGCTCGCTCGCGTTGAAGACGTCCGTGTTGCCCGCCGCCGTCTTGGCGCCCGCGAGCTGCACCGTGAACGTGCCGTACCGCTTCTGCTTGACGGCCGCCTCCTCGAGGTCGAAGACGAGGGTCCAGTTGTTGACGTTGCCGTCGCCGAGGTAGAGCTCCGGGCGGAGCGAGTTGCCCTTGCCTCCGAACGCCGCCCAGTGCACGTAGTTGAGGTTCTGCGCGACGTCGTCCTCGCCGACGCGGAAGCGGACGCCGTCGGGGAACTCGGTGGGGAAGTCGTAACGCGCCCAGTAGATGCGGTATTCTTCCGGCGTGCGGGGCTTGGTGGTGTCGCGCGCGAAGCCGTGGCGGTATTCGCCCGACGACTTGTCGGGGGTGCCGATGCGGAAGACTTCCGTGCCGGACGTCTCTTCGCGCCAGCGCGCGTGGGTGGTGTCGATTTTACCCGCGACGATTTTCACGTCGTCCTTGATGTATTGGCCAAAGATGCCGTCACCGTAGATTGTCAGGCGGTATGTCCCCTCCTTGACGCGCGGGATCGTGGCGTAACCTTGGGCGTCGATGTCGGTCCAGTATTGGTAGGCTTTGGTGTCAAAGACGTTGTCCTGGAAGTCGACGCCGTTCTGCGCCAGCACGGCGATGGGTTTCGTCACGCCCTCGGGGAGGTCGACGTGCAGCTTCCAGGTGGTGCGCTGCGTGGAGGGGACGTAGTTGGGTACGAGGTGGGCAATGTCGTCGTAAAAGTCCGCGTTCCACGTCGGGTCGGCGAGCTTGGCGGCGTCGGCGTGGAGGTCGAGGATGGAGGTTCCCGCGGGGCCCTTGTTGAAGTGGTAGTACTGCGGGCCGAAGGTGCGGTCGAAGCCGTTTGTGATGTTGGGCGTCTGGTCGCCGTGGTGGTTGGACGAGATGTAGTTGTAGACGATGCCGTCGACCGTCAGGTCCGAGTGCAGGGGGCCGCCGAAGTACGTGTCGCGCGTGTTGAAGACCATCCATGCGCCGAACGCGGAGCCGTCGGCCGTCTTGGAGCCGTCGGCGAACATGCCGTAGGCGTCGACGTCGCGCCAGGTGTCTTGGAAGGTGTATTTCGTGAACCAGTCGGCTTCCTCCTGGACGTAGGGGTCTTGGGGCGTGTTGCCTAGGTACCACGTCGCGTCCTGGACGACGACCTGCTGGGCGACGGCGTCCTTTGAGGGGAGAGGCGCGTACTGCGTCGGGTTGGTGAGGAGGTGCGTCCACATGGGATCATTGGGGCGGAACAGAGTCCTCAGCTCCTGGAGGTTTCGCAAAAAGGGCGCCGTCTCGTTGTGGTAGGCGACGCGGCTGAACATGTGCAAGCCCGTCTCGCCGTCGCGGAGGAACCAGTACTGCTCGAGGACCTGGCCCGTCGAGGCGTAGGTATCTGACATTTTGACGCCACCGTAGGCGACGCCGGCGGAGTCGGTGCCGGAGTAGAGTTGGAATGTGGGTTTCACGGTGCCCGGCGTCCAGAAGCCTTGCGGGGTGCAGTAGCAGTCTAGGTACGGCCCTTGGCCGGTGGCGCCGGAGGCGGTGCCGAGGAGGTTGACACCGTCGAGGGTGAGTTCTACGACGGCGCCGCCGGGCTTAGAGACGGCGGCGTAGAGGCGGTCGTTCGCGATGATGAGGCGGTTAGAGGTCTCTGTCGCGTTGAGGGCTGCTGTCGCGCCAGTCGCGAGGGCGGCGAGGGCTGTGCCTAGGGCGGCGCCGCGGAGGGAGGAGACGCGCATCTTTGCGGTCGTCTTGGAAGTCTCTACGATGTTTGTGGATACGGTAGAGACGATCGTTCGACGACGATGGTAAACAGGAGAACCGGCGAAAAGGTTTTCGTTCGACTTGATGCTCTCGTCGGAACTTCTACTCTTCGCTTGCCTAACCAGCAAAAAGAGACGAAAAACGGCCCAGCATGGAGACAGGACTGCTTCCTTTTATGACCGCAGGCTATTCTCCCGAGACACCCCGTTCATGACGGGGCCGGCCCCGTTGGGCGTGTCGTTGGTGTGGAGGAAGGAGGATTTCGGGCATCTCATCTCCGGAATTTGTTTATTTCTCTTGGGGGAGGGAGGATACAACCCCATGACCCCCCAGCGACATATTTAGGCTGGCAGGCCCTCCCCGCAGGTCGCAGGGTTAGGTTGGGATGTATCCATCCGTATCCGAACGAGGGGCTATGGATCGTCGGATACCTAGATATGCAGAGATTGCCAGATAGCGAAGCTGGATAAGTACGTCAGCAAGACAGAGACAGAGAGAGAGAGAGATGCGGGGAAGGCCGTCAGTCTTTTGTTTGGCGTACCTGAGAGAAACACACCCAGTGGAAACGTAGAATCCATGATGAACGTTTATTGACATGCAAGGACGACCATGTCTGCGTGGAGAAATTGAGGTCCGGACTGGCGGGCGAATGACATGGCCCAATTCTTTTCCAAAGTCTGGGGTAGGTAATTTACCTTTGTGTCGTTGGACCTTCTCCGCACGCCGCCCAACTTTTCCCCCAGACCACCCGCAAAAAGCCCACCCCCCTCCTCCGCCGATCTCCGCCTTGACTTCGGTGCCCTCTTCGCCGAGGCGAGCCGGGCCCAAGGGGCCAAGGAACCCCAAGATTGGCAGACTTCGACACTAGCAAGTCACCGCCCTCAGCCAAGGAGTGGCACTTCAATTCCCATGATCCAGAAGAATCCTTTTCTTCGTCTGCAGGAACCCAGCAACTGGCCTGCCCCTGAGAAACTTGAGGTGAACCGTGAGAAAAGGATCGCCCACCCACCTCCCTTTCACCCCCAACGTTGCGGCCGGCTTGCCGTGTGTCTAGGTTGCGTCGGTGTAACAACGCGTCGAGGGACACTGATGGTCCCGCCTTTCGGTTCCCCGGTACAATTTCCCACGTATTGGGGTCCTTCCCCCGTGGGGTTCATAATTTATTCCTTGGCGGAACCGGATGACCGGGTCGTTTTTAGGTATTTCAGAGGAAGAGTGCGAGCCGTAAAGTTTCGATGATGCCTGGACTTCTGGAGACCTGGCTCGGCTTGTAGTTGCCGGGTTCATGCGAGTCTGTGTCAAAGGTGGTATTGGGAGCCATCCACTTGTGAATTGGATAGCTACCTACATACTTGTGATGTGTACCTAGGTAGACTAGAGCTCGGCTCGAATTGCTCTTCTTTTCTTGGTATCAGCTTGTGACGGGGAGAATGGGAGCAGTGAAAAGATCAAGTGATGAACAGGGAGAAAGGAGATCAAGAGGCATGTTGCTCCTGAGTGCCGTTTGGTGGGTATTAAGATTGATTCATTCATCTCGCCAGACGATTGTCCCTACGATGAATGGCGCCATTCCTCCTTTTTCCATGACACACAACTTCCATGACCTCTATGTCCCAACTCTTTCCACAAGATCACAACGAATAAATACACACGCTTTTTTGTCCCGTTTCCTTCTACTTTCCCTCCCCCTCTTTATTTACGTCCTAGGGCTCCGCAAGAACCCGACAACACCGCTACAGTACCCGACAAGATCGTCCAGCCGCCCGGCCTCCCGCGCCTGCAGCGTTTTCCACTCGCCCAGCGCCTCCAGCAGCTCCGCGTCGGCCATGACAAGGTCAAAGTGCAGGCGCAAGAATACAGTCATCCAGGCCTGGACCAGCTCGTAGTCGCGGCGGGCCGCGAGGCGGCTCGTCAGCGCGCGGATGAAGTTGAGGAGGCCGCCGTCCTCGGGCGAGAGGGAGCGGAGCTCGAGGTCTGCCGTCGAGGGAGAGAGGGATTTGAGGTGGGTGATGAAGTCGTCGACTATTTATTATGTTAGCTTCTTCCGTTACGTCTAGCTTGAGTGAAATCATCTTACAGTCTCCTGAGGCTGCGCCGTCGTCCAGTTTGCTCGTGAAGGCTTCCTGCATGCGGCCGCGCTCGAGCTTGGTAATGCGGGACTTTGCCTCCGCTGCGGCATCGGCTTCGGGTGCCGCGGCGCCCTCGACAAGCGACTGCTGCGGCTGCTTCCCGGCGCCGACAGAGGGCAGGAAGAAGGGCGCCTTCTCGGGGGCCTTGGGCGCCTCCGTCGGCTTGTTGCGCTGCTTGATCAGGTCCAGGTGGAGGAGCGTCTGCCAGCGGCTCTTGGGAACCAGGGACAGCGTCGTCAGCTCGGCGCTGAGCTGGTCGACCGTCGGCGCGACGACGGTCTCGTCCACCGCGTCCGCGTCGCCGTCTTCGGTGAAAGCCGCCTCCAGCAGGCCCTCGTTGCCTTCGCCGGACGTCGTGGGTCCCGTGAGCAGCGCGGCCTCCTTGTCCGAGATTTGCCGCGTCGGGACGTGCGTGAAGAGCGACTTGTTGGTCCAAATAGCGACGCCGAGCTCGTTCTCGATCGTGGCGGCGAGGTACTCGCCCGAGGAGGACATGGCCAGCGCGGTGCAGGGCTTCTCGAGACGGATGGCGTCGATGAGGTGGCTGGTGGGCAGGTCCCATATTCTGACAACACAGTCCTGTGAAGCGGCGATGATCCAGCGGCCGTCGTTGGAGAAGCAAAAGTCGTTGATTGTGTCTTGGCAGCCCCAGAACTCTCTAATTGTCCTCTTCGTCTCCAGGTCAACGACGCGAACCGAGTTGTCGTCGCAGGTAAAAGCCATGAGGTCGTTTGCGGCGTGGTATCGGCACCCGGTGATGGCGACCATCGGCGCCCAGTTGATCTGGTGCACGAGGTTACCCGTGACAAAATCCCAGAACTTGATCTTGCCATCCAGGGAGCAGGTGATGACGTTCTTGTTCATCGAGTCCACCACAATACCCGTTACTGCCTTCGTGTGCCTTCCTGTGCCAGGCGCAAAGCCACTGCTCTTCTCGGTGTGAAGCTGCACAACATCGTCAGCCTGCTTCAGCTGCTGAATCTTTAGCGCTCTCGCTTGGGCGGGCGTGAGCTTGGATGGGAAGCGCTGGCGGTGAATGCCGGATTGCAAATTATACATATCGATGCTGCCCTCCACGGAACCGACCAGAGCGAAAGTACCACAGGGACTGATGGCGATCGTAGAGACAAAAGAGCCGTCGCCCGTGGGGAATGCCCATCGACCAGCTCTCTTGCGACCCCAGAACCATGTACGCGCCCAAACGTCATCCTTGTGTGCCGTGACGACGCTCTCCCACCCAGTCGAGCCACTGACTTCGGCATCGAGCTTCTTCTTGTTCTCCCTGTGCTTCTGCCAGATGGGCTGGTTGCCGGGCAAGGCGCCGATGCCACCGTCGCGGTTGAGAGAGCTGGCGATGCAGGTAATCTCGGGGGCCTTGAGATCCTCTAGAGTCGTTGTAGGGCCCCTGGCCATCGCCTTTGCAGAAAGGATACCAGTCTTCTTTGCCAGCTTGCGGATGTTTCCTTGGCTGAGCTCGGTGCTCTGACCATCGCGTCGCATACTCCATCCCCAAAGACTGCGATCTTGACCACCGCTGAGGAGCCACTTGTTGCCTGCATCGGCTCCATCAAAGTCGGAGGGAAGGAACTCCAGGCACTTGACGGGCGCGGCATGGCCGCTGCGCTGGTGCAAGATACGCGGGATGGCGGAGAAGGGAGTCTCGTCAAAGATCCACGTCTTGAGCGCGTTGTCCCGTCCACTGGTGACAATAACCGGCTGGCCTGACAGGAACTCCACCTTACTGATTCCTCCTCTTACCAAGGGACCGTCGCCTGACGGGGGGTTGTGCGCACTCCTCAGAACACCCATGACCCTACCTCCATTGTTGAGGTCCCAGAACGTGACGTCTCCTGTAGCAGCGGTAGCGGTTGCCATGACACCGTCCTTGCGGCCATCGTGGCCTGCTCCCATGCCGTCGGATCTGAAAGAGATTGAAGTAACGGGCTCATCGTCGTGGCCGGCCTTGAGTTGAATAATTGGCTTATCGGTCAGGATGTTCTGGATCACCAGGTTGCCGTTCGCGTAGGCAATGGCAAGAAGTGACAAGGCCGTGGTAGGCTGCATGCAGGTGACGGCGCCGCAGTCGGGGGTCGGAGGGAGGATGGTGTAGATGAGTTTGCCGGTGCTGACATTCCAGATTTCGACCCAGCCGTCCTTGCGACCGACAAAGATCTTGTTGAGGTAGGTGGGCATGTTGGTGACGCCGCCTGTGATCTCATTGGCGCCCGACTTGCCAGCCATGGTATAGAGCGTGGTGTAGTGCTCCAGAGTGGCCGACTTCCAAACCTCGAGTCTCGTCACAGCGCATCCAACGATCCAGGAGCCGAAGATGAGGATCTGCTGGATAGGCTCGTTGAGGTCTTCGGGAAGCTCGAGCTCCTCAACCTTCTTTCCACGCTTGAATGCCCAGAGACCTTGCTTCTCGCCCTTCCTGGCATCGCCCCATGCGGCGAACACCTTGTCCTTCCATGCAAGTGTCGTGGTGATGTCGGCTGGGGTCTGGGGACGAGTAACGAAGACCAGGTTGAGACCTCTCTTTAAATCGTAGGTCTGAAGGGCTCTTCCAACGGATGTCGTAATTTGGTAAGTCGTCTTTCCAAGGGGGATCGAAGTGAACGGGACGTTTGTGGGGGAGACGAGGCCGACAGTCTGGGAGAAGCATCGGCATTAGCATGGGAAGTCCTAGATCATCAGTATTCAAAAGACATACTCGAAAGGGCGCAAAGATGCGCGAGGATTGACGTGTGGCGGTGGCAGGCTTGGAGGCGACAGTGAGCTTCTGTCGCTTGACCAGGGGCCCTTCTTGCTCCGAGTGAGGCATTGTGGCGAGCATGTGGACTTGACGGACTCGATCACCTTTCCTGGAATGCGGTTCGTTCAAGGCCCTGAGGTACTGTCCTTCGAGTCGTCGCCCGAGATTTTTTTCCAATCTTTTCGAACAAACTTGTCTTATCTTATCGCGAACGGAGATTCGCCGGGCTTTAGCCGCATGTCTTTTTGGCCCCGCCATTGACGATTGAGGGGCGCGGGGCAAGTCCAATTGGGATCATCTGATTGGTTCAGAACCTCCGTCTGCGGGTTTCCAAAAACGGCTTACTTATTCCTTAAAAATCATGGAATGCCCTTCAGGAAGATGATCATTGATCACTTCATATAAGGGGCGGCACGCAAACGACTATCAGTTGACAAAATTCTTCTAGCGAACTGTGGCTAGTATGGACCATGATACTTCGTATCTACCTCTTCTTTGGGTCTCGATCGGCTCCATGGAATCCGGGCGTTGGACTGTATGGAAGATTATCGATCGGATGAAATCACGAAATGCCAAGTTGATGTTGCGTTCGCCAGCAGTAGAGCCTAGAACGTACCTTAGGTTTTCATCCAGTCTTTGGAGTTGGGACAACCTTATCGTGCATGCGCGGAAGAGGGGTGGGGGACTACCTACCTACCTTAAGGTAGGTAAGGTAGGAAGGCGTGATTGAGGCTCGAGGTGTCAGAAGCTGCATTCAGCTTCATGATTCGCCGGAAGCCTCCAGCTTGACGACGTTAGTGAGTAAGTCCAGCTGTCAAGCCCTGGCTGCATGAGAAACCTACCTGAGCATTTCAAGGTCTCGGTTCGAGTTTGGTGTTGCTAGCCCCCACCTCTTTTTCACCCGTCAGTCGTCTGTGTGCCCGCCTCCAACGTCATCCTTGCTTGTGCCACGCCTGCGTCTAGAACGTTTTTACGTCTCCCTCGTTGCATTCTCTTGAGTGCCATGTCTTGGCTTGTGGGATTTCTAGAAAGCCCTTCTGCTGTAGTATGAGCTGCTCTCGCTTGTGCCTCCCGCCCCCGCCCCGCCACTTTTGTCTCACGGCACGCAGCTGTATCATCACGCTCGCGACAATAACTACCTAGGCATTGGTGGTCTCGTAATCGTTCTTTCGGCATGAGGACACGAGAACAGCACAAGATAGTAAGCTACCCACTGATTCTTTCATGGAGTAGGAAGAAAAGAAGACAGGGACAGGGACAGGGCTCTGTCGTCTGTTCGTTTTACTTGCCATTCTCTAACCTCGGTCGTCCAATGGGAAGGCCACGCAGGAGGTGCTGCACGCCCACGTTCTGGCGTCGCTTCTTCATCCGGGCTGCCATCTAGAAGGTACCTCGCCCAATAACCTTTTTCATCTGGATGCAACAGCAAGCCCTCAACTCCAACTACTCCAAACTCCAAACTTCTTACCGTAGACTTCACGTCATTTAAAAACCCAAAAAAAAAAGTCTGCCACTTTCTCTCGCCCTGTGGAAACCCCTCATCTTCCATTTTGTCTTGCACTCCTTCACCTTGAGAGGTTCCAGCAACCTGATCGTCGGGTCGCTGTATTCTCTACCTGGCTCACCCTTCGATTCTTGCAACCAAGGTACGAATACGGTACGAACCAAATAGAGAACAAAGCAACAAAGCAAACAAGGGAGGGGAAAAAAGAGAGAAAGAGAGAGAGAGAGAGAGAGAGAGAGAGAGAGAGAGAGAGAGAGAGAGAGAGAAAACTACAAGGTTGTAGCGTCTACGACCCAGGCCCAGCAATCGTCGAGTCAGCAGCCGCCCCTCCAATACCTTCCATCTGATCAGTGCGCGTCTAAAAGTTCTTTCCATCGCCTCTGGGCGCATCTGGCAACATGGACCGACCGAATTTTAACACTCGACGATCCGTAGATAGTGCACGCACCGCTACCGCTACCACTCCTGCTTCCCCTGCCGCTGCCAATGCCGCCGCGCCTGCTTCTCCTCTCAACCCGCACTTTTCCCAAACTTCGTCATCCTCTTCCCATTCGACAGTAAACACCTCTGCTCCTACCGACGTTCCTCTGCGATCGAGGCCCGGACGCTCCGTCTCGCATTCCCTCAATCTATCCTCTTCTGCCAGCAGGAAGAGCCGACATGCCGAGCCTGGAACGACCGACGCCCACTCTGCCTCTGCTAGTCTTTCCATGCCCCCGCCCTCTTCGATTCCTCTAAAGAGCCCGAGAACTTCTCTCTGCCGCACCCGCCGAGAATCCAATAACTCGCTCGAAGCCTGGAGCGATTCCGCCTTGCAGTTTGCCGACGTCGACGAGGTCGATAATACCCCACGCCTCATGTCTGGGTCTAGCCAGCAAGATTCCACCGCCCCATATCGCCCCCTCCCCGAACCCGCCCTCACCTCCCGATCATCTTTTTCTTCCGAGTCCGACCTCAAGGACAAGCGCACATCCGTCTCCAGCATCTTTTCCGTCTACTCCTTGGCCTCGGCTCGCGGTGCCGCCCCAACTTCCGTCCCCGCCACCCAATCCTCTGCTGCTTCGACGAACGGCTCCGACGGTGGCCCTTCGCGCTCCGTTTCCGGCATCATGTCGTCAGGAAAACCCGTCACGAATGCCTCGCAACCCGGCGCCGAGCTCTCCAACGTCACTGTGACCACCTCCTCGAACGGTCAAAATGCCAACGCCGCCCCAGGTGGCCATCACCTGGCGCCGCGCGAGACCAATACCCATACACACCACGAAGTAATCAAACGGCCTCCTCGTCCCGCCCAGCCAACGCGATCCCGCAGCCGCAACAAGCGCAGGTTCAGCGGAAGCACTGGTGCAAGCAGCCACAGCCCCAGTAGCGATCGAGGACCCTACCACAACAAGGAGAAAGAAGAGGGTCAGTCAAGAGATACAAGCGCGCCTCGACAACGTGTACCGACAAGCTCTAATGCACCTGCAGTCAAGCCAGCGCCTTGGGGTGTTATTGGAGTTTGCGCGTTGGATGTCAAGGCCCGCAGCAAGCCTAGCAGAAACATTCTGAACCGACTCATTGCTAACCGCGAGTTCGATGTCGTTGTGTTTGGTGACAAGGTCATTTTGGACGAAGGTAAGCCGCCGTTTAGCCCAATGGAGAGGAGGAACCCGAGCTCGGAGCGGATTCGAAATCCAGAAGGTGCATGACGTCGAAAAACTTTTGCTAACCGTTGCATTCACTATGTAGAGGTCGAGAATTGGCCCATGTGGTGAGTAATTAAGATTTCTTATGTTTCGCTGACGGCTCGGTGAGCCAAAACAGCATAGCACCTTTCTGCATCACCAATCCTCCAACCCAGTCATGGCACCTCTCCTCTCTCTCACCGAACTCCCGCCATCTATAGGCATCCTTTCAAATTTACCCTCTACTCATCTGTAGTCGCCGAGGCCATCATAGAAGTAGTTTTCTTGCGTATATTTACTAATAATGACCTTAGCGATTACCTCATCTCTTTCTATTCGGATGGCTTCCCCCTGGATAAGGCAATCGCCTACGTCAAGGCGAGAAAACCCTTCTGCGTCAACGATGTGCCGATGCAGAAGATTCTCTGGGATCGTCGTCTATGCCTCAACATTTTAGACGGTATTGGCGTGGCTACGCCGAAACGTATCGAAGTGAACCGTGATGGTGGACCCAAGCTTTTGACCGCGGACACTGCGAAGCATATCAAGGAGATTACTGGTATAACCTTGGATGCCGAAGACCTGGGCTACAACAGGCTTCCCCGCAAGGTCGAGCTTCTTGACGACGGCGACATTCTTAGCGTCGACGGTGCTCTGCTCAAGAAACCCTTTGTCGAAAAGCCTGTCAGCGGTGAAGATCACAACATCATCATCTACTTCCCTAAGTCCACCGGCGGTGGTGCTCGCCGGCTTTTCCGCAAAATTGGTAACAAGAGCTCCGAGTATGATCCAGACTTGAACATTCCTCGCGCTATTCTGGAGCCAGAGAACAGTTACATCTACGAAAAGTTTATGAGAGTCGACAACGCCGAGGATGTCAAAGCCTACACTGTGGGACCCAATTACTGTCACGCAGAGACTCGGAAATCTCCAGTTGTCGACGGTGTCGTCAGACGAAACACGCATGGCAAGGAGCTGCGCTATGTTACGGCATTGGAGCCTGAAGAAAAGGAGATCGCAAGCAAGATCTCAACCTCTTTCGGCCAAAGAGTTTGCGGCTTCGACTTCCTACGGGCCGGCGGCAAGAGTTATGTTATCGACGTCAATGGTTGGAGCTTCGTCAAGGATAATGACGATTATTACGACCACTGCGCCAACATTCTCAAGGACGTCTTCGTCAAGGAGAGGCTTCGCAGAGGCGGCGTCACCTCTCCCGTGCCATCACCTTCTCCCTCGGATATGACTGATCCATTAGCATCACGTGGAAAGGAGAAGGAGGCTTCGCAACCAATTCCTGTGCCACCAGCGCAGAACAAGTCCGTGACCAACGTACCGGCCATTTCTGAGAAGCTGCCCCAGGAACCGAAGCCCGTACCAGCGAGTGCACCACCTCAAAAGTCCGAGAGTGCACTCCCGTCTGCTGTCACCAGTTCGTGTACCAGCCCAACACTTCCTCCTCCACCTCCTCTAGTAGATCCTGCTGTGGCAAGCGTCCCTTCTACCGCGGGAACGGGGTCAGCGACTCCGTCCGCCGCGCCTTCGCTGCAAGGGGAGGGCACTGCGCCTCCGGCAGAGGAGACTCCAGTGCCGCCGCCACCACCGAAGCACTCTTGGAAACTCAAGGGCATTGTGTCCGTCATTCGACATGCTGATCGAACTCCGAAACAAAAGTACAAGTTCACCTTCCATACCTCGCCCTTTATTGAATTACTCAAGGGTCATCAGGAAGAGGTGCTTCTCATAGGAGAGGCAGCTCTGGCCAGCGTACTGCAGGCCGTAGATGTTGCATTGAGAGCTGGCGTAGAAGACCGCGCCAAACTGAAGTCGCTGCGCAACGTCCTTGTGAAGAAGGGTGGATGGGCTGGCACCAAGGTCCAAATTAAGCCAATGTTCAGAAAGAAGAAGACTGAAGAAGTCGCAGTCTCGTCAGGCGATGAGCTTTCACAAGTTTTGAAAGAAGGCGTCGAAACGGACTTCGCGGAGAAGACTGACGATGGTGCTGCAAAGACGGAAAACTCTTCACCATCCAGAATGCCACCCAAGAGGCACGACTCTCTGTCCGGCATGACCATGTCCCGCATCACAGCAGCAGAGGAGAGCTTGGTCCTGGAGAAGCTTCAGCTCATTGTGAAATGGGGCGGTGAGCCAACACATTCGGCACGCTATCAGGCCCAGGAACTGGGTGAGAATATGAGAAACGATTTCAACCTGCTTAACCGAGATGTCCTCGACGAGGTTCACGTCTTCAGCAGTTCTGAACGTCGCGTTACTACCAGTGCGCAGATTTGGGCTTCTGCTTTCCTGGATCGCAAAGACCTCCCTGAGGACTTCATCACCATCCGCAAGGATTTGCTCGACGACTCCAACGCTGCCAAGGACGAGATGGACAAGGTGAAGAAGAAGTTGAAGGGTCTTCTTCGCAAGGGTAACGAGCGACCTTCCCAATTCGCTTGGCCGGAGAAGATGCCAGAGCCTTCTGAGGTTCAGACGCGCGTTGTCCAACTCATGAACTTCCATCGTCGCGTGATGCACTACAACTACAGCAAGCTGCACAACGGTAGTGCCGTTGCTTCTTTGAATAACGCCATTGCCAATCCGGGCTCCGAGAAACCTGCAAATGCCGAGGCATCAGGCTCGACAAGCTCGATGTCCTCCTCCCTGTCTCAGGCGAATGCGGTGAGCAACATTCAACCCAGATGGTGTTGTGGCGAGGATGCCGAGCTTTTCAGGGAGCGCTGGGAAAAGCTTTTTGCGGAATTTTGTGACGGAGAAAAGGTCGATCCTAGCAAGATCTCCGAGCTTTACGACACGATGAAGTTCGATGCCCTGCATAACCGGCAGTTCTTGGAATGGGTATTTACACCGCCCAAAGCCATGCTGGAGGAGGAGTACGGTATCAAGGACAAGGAAAAGGACAAGGACGGCAAGGACGGTAGTAAAGAGGCTAAGACTGCCGAGAAAACATCCGATGAGGGGAAGTCGTCGCAGGACTCCCGCGAGGAAAGACGGGATTTCTCGGGATCCAGCGATAAGGCAGACAAGAGTGAAGCCAGCAAGAGCTCGACATCTGTAAGGCGCATCTTCCGACGGCGGTCGTTCCTCAACGGCCTCCGACACGTCGAGGCAGCCCCGCCTGAACAGTACTTCCACCTCTACAAGAGCAACACTCAGACCAAGGCAAAGACCGACGCCAGGTTTGAGCCGTTGCGGGAATTGTACCAGCTTGCCAAGGTTCTCTTCGACTTCATCTGCCCTCAAGAGTACGGTATCTCTGATGGGGAGAAGTTGGAGATTGGTCTCCTGACGTCGTTGCCGCTGCTCAAGGAGATTGTTCAGGATCTTGAAGAGATGCAAGCATCGAACGATGCCAAATCCTTCTTTTACTTTACCAAAGAGTCTCACATCTACACCCTGCTCAACTGCATCCTTGAAGGAGGGATCGAGACGAAGATCAAGAGAAGCACTATTCCCGAGCTTGACTATCTTTCGCAGATCTGCTTCGAGCTGTATGAATCGGAGACTAAGGCCCCTGCCGCCACACCCGACGGGGGCGAGGAGCAGACATTCGCCTACAGCATCAGAATCACCATTAGCCCCGGATGCCACGTCTTCGACCCGCTAGATGTCCAATTGGACAGCAAGCATTGCATCAGCTGCGCTCCGCGACGTAGTCTGACCCCTCACGGCGATTGGATGCAAGTGATCCGCACTCTGAGGGCCAAGTTTAACCAGTAAGTTTCCCTCCACCGAATGGCTTTGCTGGCTTTTAGGGTGTGATGCTAACGCGAGCGGTATGGCAGAGTTAAACTTCCCAAGACGTTCCTCGCCGTGAACTTGTCAGATCTCTTTTCTGTCGAGGACCATGAACGGCGGGATAGTGACAGCGAGGGGCTCGAAATGAAGGGATTGCATCCTAAGCCCAAGGTATCAGAGCAGCAAGCCACTGCCCAGTCAGAAGCCGAGAGCGGAACAGGAAAGGAGGAGCTTGTCTCAGCGGGCCAGGCTCTTGCCTCAGCCTCGTCGGTTGTCATGGATGATGAGGAGCCCGTTAGCCCGAGAAGCAAACCTGACGCTTCAACCGAGACAATCTCCCAGGTGGCAACAGATTCTGCCGAGTGATCGAGTCGGTATACTTAGCTTAAGTCTTGTAGTTATCGAGACGGGATTACAAAGATACGCTCGGAGGTACAAGATGTGAGAGAACAAGCGATAGACAGGAGGCAAGAAACATAGCATGGATAGACTCAAGCGCATTATTAGCAACGATAGCGGAAAATCAAACAGTATCATCCAAGACCTTGGCAAGTCGCTGGCAATGAAGGCAAGACGATGTTGAGGGGCAACGTCATTGGAGTTGTCGTCAGAAGTTGAATGTGACGCGGGCCGAGCTCGCCCCAGCATTGGTCTTGCGGGCTAGCCAGACCAGAGTCTCATCCATGGTACCGTACCACTGCTCGGCAAAAGGGAACAACATGGCATCTCGCAAGGTCGGCAACAAAATGGACGATGCACACCGCAATTCCGCATCACCCCTGTGGTAAATCCCATTAGGTGCAGCTCCGGCTGCAGGGATTCGGGGGTCTTCAATTGCCTTGGAGCGCATGGCAAAGTACGGATATCCGTTGCAAGTACCGCGGAAGCGAGACGGCCAGAGGAACTGAGGTGGTATCCAGAGAAAGTACCTCGTTGTACCTCGAGACAGGCTGACAGCTAGCTAGTCTGAGAGGAATGGATCATGGTTACGACCATTTTCCGAGCAGGGTTATCTGTCTGGCTCGCTTATAAGTTCGATATGGACGCTCAATATCGACGAGGGTCGGTAAGAAGGTTTCAGAATCGACAGATATGAGAAGGTTAGTTTTTTTGGCGACTCGGAATTGCAAGTCCGGTGCTTGTGATTGCCTGGTTCGTCCCGCCCGGTTCGTCCAAGGCATGATGAAATCTGGTCCTACCTTACCTTGACTGGGGAGGGGGGAGGGTCCCAGATTGACGGCGATGGACAAGGTCCGAACTTCAGACGCTCCCGCGTGCCGCGTGTGGATCATTCTTCACCACGCCCCAGAGTTTTATTCTGGATCGGATCAGGCAAATGGTCAGACATGGACAAGGGGCTTGGAAGTCCCGCAACGTTGAAATTCAATAGAAGCGTTGTCTATGGAGGGGGAGGGGAAACCCCTCTTGTAGTTCGTGCTGTAAAGACAAATGCGGTTTCGCGCCCCCGAGTGGGTTTGGAACTTGGTTCATTTTAGGCCCACGAGAGTCGCGCGCACTGTGTCTTCATTCCTCCATCTTCTTCATTTACTCAATGGAGAGGAAAAGAGTCCTAGAACGACCGGGCTGCCATTGTGTGCGAAACGTGTAGCCATCCAGTAGCGACAAAGTGGTCTCGCAGGGGCAGGCGTCCGATCAGCAAGGATGGGCAGGGAAGTGCTTCAGAGGGCCTGTTCCTCGCCTAAGTAGTGTCTTTCTTCGACTTCTCGAATCTATCGGGTCTGGGGTACTTGACGCCTGGCAGAAGGGATGGTTGACGGGGAACACTTCGTGCTGCTTCGGCTAGAGTTTTTTTGTCGCCAGAAAGGATCATCGACACGGATACTGGATAATTTCAAGGCCAGCTGAGCAACGTCTCTAGGCTCATCCAGGTCAGCCGATCGTCCGCTCGTACGTGTGGCTAGAATGGGTAACTGGAGTTTGTCTGGGAGGAAGAGCATGGTTGTTGCTTTTATTGTCGCTATTACACCGATTCCGACGGGCGAATCCTGATTTTTTAGTTATCAGTCGTCAGCAATGGTGATTTGAGCACAATATCACTCAGTCTCCAAGGTATCGGAAAGCACGACGATGACCGCGGTTTTCGCGGGGGGGTACGCGGCCAGTGAATAATTCAGGCTACGGATAGAGACATGCCCGATATGTCGCACATGAGATTGAATGTGAGAAGCAAAAGAGCACCATTAGTCGATATCCTTAGGCAGTCCACGTGGATCTATCATATAAGAGCTTCACCGGCGCATCGGTAGTGAATGAAGTTACAGACTTAACGAGGTGATTCGGGAATCCGATGCCATTTGAAAGAAGGCCGTTATAAAAATCTCCTCGGAGCAGATTCTCCTACGTTCGATTAGAGACAGTCCAGAAGCGAGCAATCTGCCTCGGCAAACTTTCGTTCTTGTTGTGCCTTGATTTGAAAAGATCTGTCTGCGAGATGGTGGCGTGGTCTGGAGAATGCCTGTCGTTGAGTAGGATGGCGAATGGTGGAGTTCATCGGTTAGCATGCTGTTATGCGGATACCCTGAGTGACCACCCAGGTCGTTAGCGAGGGAGCGCTGTGAATACGGGCACGGAGTAAGACCCGGATCCAATCAAGCTGTGTCGCGGCAGGGCAGGATTTGTGGAAGGACTCGCCAAGAACTTTGCGACTGACCAAAATCATCATTTATCGGTTGATTCGGCATGATCTCGAGGCTCGTGGGGTTGAAAATTGTGATAGTGTTCCCCCGAAGGATAGGCGGGTCGGTGCCAACATTTCCGAATTTCCATGTTATTCAGGTTTTGAGTCCAATTCTAGAATAACAAAAGTGAGCGGGGCGAGAGAAAAGATGTCTCTCTGGCAATATGATTTGGCGTTGTTTTCTAGTTGAGCCGGTGGTCGCCCCCTTGTAGCGAGGTGCAGATCTTGGCCGGCATCAAACGGTCAGGGTGCATGTACATCCTTGCCAGCCAGTCACATCATCTCGAGGGATCGAATTTGCTGGTTGGTCGGTCGTGTCGGTCTACTGCAATGCTCATAGTCTTCTGGCATTTGACCGGCACTGCTTTCGCTTCGTCGAAGGGGTGTGAAGGTAATCGTCCCAACTTCACCGAGTGTGGTCCTTACCGGGGCGCTATCGAACCACAGTCCAAACCCCCATGCTTGAATGGGCCGGGAGGGAGGGAGCCAGCGCGACGTACCGCGCTGCAGCGAGTAACATCATAACATGAGACCATCCATGATCATGTCAACCACCCACAATTCGGCGATGCGTCGTCGTAAGCGGGTATTGAGAGCATCGGAGGTGGGCGAAAGACGTGCTTGTCGTTGGAAAGCCAAAAGACGTGGCCATGATGGGTGAGATTCTGTGGACAAGACTGGAATTAGTCCTGTGGGTGGAGAACTGAGGGCGGCCGCGGAACGAGATCGGAGACTCGTGAAGCGGAATCTTGACGTCTGCAAGTCAGTGAGCCCGGACTGGAGACAAGGCGGAGCGGAGAGCCTCGACCGTGTCGCTGAAAAGAAACGGGAAAGATAGAGAAAGGGCGGAGAGCACCGAACACGACCAGTTCAAGTTGAGCTCGGCCTTTTAGCAGGGCCTAGAAAAGTGGCTCTGAACAGGGTCAGACTGAGAAGCGACAAGCGGCCGAGGTTTCAAGATAGCTCGATGTATGTATTATTCGTGTCTGTGTTCCGTACCTGTGCTATTTCGTAGTGTACCAGTAGTCAACTTCGTCTTGTATGTAGGTTTTGCTGGCGGCCGAGGCTCTTGGGGATTTTCAGTGCTGACACCAAATATTGGGTGCTTGTCGATCATATTGACAGGCGTAGAATGCAGTGTGACGCTCTGTGACGATGGTTGAGAATGCATCGGTCCCCTCGACAACAATCAAAAGGGTCAAGTGAAGCAGCGGTGGCCGGGTATTGACGCAATAGACATTACGTGAATGGAGGGAGGGGTTGAAGAAAGCAAGGCTTACGTAGTCCCATGCATGGCATCATGTGGAAATTAGAGGAAGAAGATGCCCGCAGCCAGCAGACAGCTCCATTAGCAATGGGCAATGTTGAAAGGGAAGGACGAGGAGAAGCGGCCGACGGTAGAAGATTGAAGTCAAAATGGAAGGCGGTTCCAACGTCGCGGATGAGCCGCTAGGACCCAGCGGGCCAAATGTGACTCTTTCCGTCATTGTCATTGGCAATGCGGTGGGAGTGGATGAGAGGTGGATTTGGGAAGCGTGACATGGAAGTCATGTGATGCTAACCGTGACAAGCCACGATCCAGGGCAAGAGCAGTGGTGTTTGCAGAATGAGGTACTCCGTACCTCAAACCCCAATACCTTCTCTGGGCGCGGGATGGAAGGACGGGAGTGAGGGTGAGACATTTCGTTCTTTCTGGAAACTGAAGTTGGAGATGGGGCATTACGGCATGAGGCGGGCGAGTCGAGCTACCTCAGGTAAGAAGGCGCCGGGAGACATTCTAGAGCCTCTTCCTTCCAGATTAGTGACTTTTTAGACTAACCAGGAGAAGATGTCTTGGAGTAAATGAAAGTTGCTCCAAATATCCAGACTTACCCAATTGGTATTCGTACCTTAGCATAAGCTACGCCCTTGCTTGCCTCCATCCCGTTCTTCAGGCGCTTGCCCGTACTCCGCAAGGTACTTCGTACCGCATGAGCCAAAACGTGGGTGGCACCAAGGGGGGGGGGGTCTCGGTCGACGGTCAAAGCTGATGTGCGCTGCGTTCGCCTTGCCTTGTCATACCCAAGATTGTTGTATGTGGGAATGGGTGTGCAAGCCTCGAGCCTCGAACTTCCGGCTTCCTTCGGTTTTCAAGAATCCACGTATTTTGTAATTGGGATAGACATATCGAAGTCTGTGACCGGTCTGGAAAGTGTGGTGCTGCGTTGGCAATCGGTCTGGGAAGGCATCGATCAAACAAGACTCGCTACCGTACCTACCTCAAGGAAGGTTGCCGAAGAAAGGCAGTCATCTGGGCTCCCTTTGTTGTCTCCCTGCGCCTGCCATTTTCAATCCGGGCAGCATGCAGCTTTCAACTTTGGGATGCCCACCAGCATCACTGCACCAGACCAGCCTAAAGGTTGTGTGGGTTTTTACCTGCCAGGCCTGTCAGGGAAGGAAGCTTTGACGTTGAGTTTCCCGTCCTTGCCCAAGTAGGCGCTTTGCAGAAGGTGGAACTTGACCTCACCCTACCTAAGGTAAGCAAGCTAACGCCTAAGGCTATTTCCCAACTGCAGTCCGGGTTCTGCAACATCCACACCAATCACTCCAGCCCGGCATTCCTACACCAAAGCCTGAAGCCCGAAGCCTGAGTCCAACGTGACCGTTGGCAACGAACAAGGCAGCAGCGTCCACGGTCGACGTTCGCTTCGGCACCTTCAACTCCATACCAAACGCCGTCATCTTGGCGACCCTAGCTTCGAGGCCGCTTACTACTACCTTCCATCCCACGCTTTACCCACATGTGTCGATGCCTTGTCGCTCTTTACATTTACAGGAAGAGAAAAGAAGACAACAACTCATGTTCGGGGTAACAGTGGCGTCTGCTCCGGCGGCTCGTTTTCTCTTGTCTCTATCCGCCTCTGGCGCGCTTTTCTTCACTCTGCTCCATTACGGCGTTTCCGTACCGCACGCTACTCCGTACTCCATACTCTATACTCAAGCGGCCTTCATCCACACCTTCTCCGTTTTCCAGAAGCTCCGCGTTACATGGTGGACTGACTTTGACATGGTCCATAGTCTGCTGTATATGGTTCACGGTAGGGTTAATCACCCTGGCTTCAAACGGCGGCCCAGACCCCGGCTCGCCAACTCGGAAAGACAACCTATTTGTTTACGCCAGGGCCTGGAAGCCGTTTCTGTAAGCCATGACAGCTGTTTCGCAATGTATTATTGCCCCGTTTCTCGCAGCACTATCTCGGGATTCCTCCCTCGTCGGTCCGTCCAGGCTACTGGCCCGAAGAGCCTTGTCAGGGACAAGCAGAGAACGCCCAACGCAATAAAGCCTACTCCTTGTCGTCGTCAACGGCTATCATCCCTTGGTCGAGTTCGGCCAAATTTGGATCATGCGGCTCACAATCACATACGTACCTTGTCGCATTGTACCTACGAACGTACGGTCCGTCATCCGTCTGTCTCCGTCCAGTCTTCAACCCACTTCATGGCTCGGACAGCGTTGACGTCTGCGTTGTACGGAAAGGACCCTCGGAACAACACCTAGCTTTTCGCTGATGCTCCTCTCTCAATGCAACACGATATGACGTTTTTTCCGATATTCTGCTCCTGAGTGCCCGGCGTTTGAATATCGCCACTCATTCCACATCATATCGTCACGGATGCCTGCGTAAAATGCGGCTAATGCAGAACTTGCTGGCGTTCGGCATCATCCTAGTTTCCTTCTTGTGGGTTTGCTACACTGGCAACGCCCCAACGGCCCAATCCAACCCATCGTTCAAGCTAAAGCCTCGTCCGCCTTGCGCTTTCAAAGAACATTCGATAAAAGATTTGGATGCCCCCAGGCCGGCTTCCCATTGGGGGCACATAAGGATTTTCCCCGCCATGGGTGCTTCTGGGCAGTGGATGCAGGTAGTCTGGTCTCAGTGGGTACAAGCGAAGGTGGGAGAAGAAGAGAAGGAGAGCAAAAGAGATCTGCCACGCAATGCATGGTCGACCCAGTCAATGGCCACGAGCTGATCCCCTGCAAAGGTCCTGCAGGTTTGCCTCGATGTGGACAAGACTCAACTGCCATATTTGCAACCTCTTTCCTTGCCCTTAACTTGAGGATATTAAGTACCACCTTATGATACGCGCGCAGCATCTCGGGAAACAAGAATTGTTCGCTTGGCCACGACAATGTCTGCTCGAGAAGATAGGCATTGCAAAGGCACATGCAGCATCGATGCGCTTGTCGGTCGCTTAATCGGTGTGGTTAAGTCCTCTCTTTTTGCCCGACTATCCGTACGAAGGATGCTGCTTTCGTTGCATCAGAACGCTCTTTTTTTTTTTTCTCCCGGCAGGACACCAGAAACTGCAATGATTTTCTGGGGCGTTCCCCCACACATAGCCAAACCCAACCCACCCACCCTGTCTGAGAGAATCCCGAGCCGCACGGAGAGATTCGTGGCGCAAAGACACAACGAGCAACCGGATCGAAAAGGATCTTCGCCTCTGGCCGCTTGGCTGCAAATGTACCGCTCTAGGCTGGAGATAATCTGCCCATGCAACAAACAGTCTATCTTCACCAAGGAAGATTTCGACCTAGGCCGCACCATAACCATAACAGCCCATGCAGCCTAGACTCAAGTCCGGAAACCTACGCCGTTGCATTGGCACTCGTGCAGGCAAGCCTCTTTCGCTCTCCAAAGAGACCTGGACCTTGAAAGTGTTCGTGATGAAGTCATGGGTTCTCCTGAGCTCGGCCCTGTCGACGATTCTGCCACCATGCATGCCCGCAAAAGACTTTTAGTCTTGGTGCTCCAGACAGGACGGTGCATCCGGAGGCCCGGTCGTACTGTATCCGATCCACTGCCGACCCCAGAGTGGTCTTTACGGATACCTAGTACATAGCTTCGTGCATGGTATCGTCAACAGAACGAGCCAATCGGACGACCAACTCGGGGGCCGGAGCTGGACGCCCTGCCGTCTCCCTACCTGAGAGAGCATTTGCTGTTATTCTTGGTTCATGTCATACCCTGCGCAGGTTGATTGCTCTCCTTTTCCGCCAGCAGATGTCAACGGCATGGGACGCATTGGCTTTGAGTCGTGGTTGTTACATGTCAGAACTCTGGGCCCTGCGCCACGGAACCTTGTGGCCGGATCAGGTTCCCTCTGAAGTCAAACAGAAACATTTCCTCAGGCCCCACCCTCCCAAGGATGACCAAATTTAGCCTGCCGGAGGAGATCCCGGGACCACAGAGGCTCAACCTGTCAGGCGCAGGGGCCTTGACTTTACATGGCAAGGGATGCCACGCACAGGGACAGTCCCAAGCTCCCAGAGCACGGTAGCCGAGCCACATGGAGGTGGAAGATTTGTCGGCTTGCAGCTTGAGATGTAGATCGATATCGAATTTGTCCATACAAGGCAGCTGGGAATGGGGGAACCAGATCAATTACTTTGAACGGAACAGTCCGACAACCTGGCTGCCGGACGTGTTCGGAGAAGTACGCGGCAGTTTTGCTCGGATCAGATTTGAATGCAACCAAGACGAAAGGAGCACAGCCAGGCAATATAACGACCTCAAGCTCGGATTCCCATGAGACGACTCAGGATCAGCCAGCGTGGTCTACAGCAATACAACTATCCTTGTCGCGAATGGGGAAAAGGGCGGAAGAGACAAAATACTCCCGTGGAAGCGGTAATGATGTGCCACGAGGCATTGTGCAACACGAAGAAAAGGCCCATACATCATGATCAAGTCACAACCAAAAGGTATCATTTTAACGGGTCCTGTCTGTCAAATCCCTTGCTGCTGCTCCGCACGACGGCCGTTGGCCATTAACGGTGGCGAGGCACGGCAAGGTATGCAAGAAGGGGCGATGGTATTCGGCCGTCTGTTGCACTAGCAAGCATCATTATGGTTTGTCGTCATTGCGGACAAGACCTCACTGCGTACCCAAGGGGCATGGTACGCATGGCAGATGGACAACTAGGAATGCGGAAGCCCTTGTTCTACCTTAGCTTTAGGCGATACAAGACATGACATGCGACCATGGGTGGGTAGCGCCCGTTCTGTCTTTCTCGGACAAAGTACTGAAGGAGTACCTTGGTCTATCACCGGGCCCCAAGTGCAGACGAAAAGAAACGGGCCGGGCCATGATGACAGGAGACGTCTTTACATGACATCCATGTAAAGACGTCGTGCTCCCGGCTTGAACAAACGAGATGGGAAAAGTGGTAGGGCCGAGAAAGCGGCATCGTTGGGTCGGTTAACCGTCAGCAGGTAGGTACCTGTCAAGGACAGACAGGGCACCATAGATGTGATGAGTCTGTCTCGGTGCTGTAACGATACCACGTCCGGCCACATAGCTCAGCTAACTCTGAAGGTTCAACCTATTCCAGATCCATGCCATGGTAAGGTACAATTGGGGAGGAATGACAGCGGTACCTTGTGGTACCACGCAGGGCACCACAAGTCGAGCTTCTCCAACCTAGCGCAGGCGCCTCTAAAGTCTGAACTGCAAGGCATATCCCGTCAGCGGCTGCGTGAGCATCGGAAATCGGGACTCATGGAGGATGTTTCCAGAGCTGCATCCGTACCTTATTCGTCTCATACTGCTGTCATACTGGATTATGATCGGGCTCTAATGTCGAAAAAGAAAGAGTATGCTACCTTACGACTGGTACGGATTAGCTTCCCGCCGGGATGCCTTACGTCCTTGTCCCGTCACAGAATCACGGCAATGTCAACTAGAGGTTCCAGAGGCACCGGCCACAGTCAGCCAAAGTCTGGTAGCCCTACCAGTACCGCGTTGTGCATCCTTCCATACCGGTACGGACAGACGACAACACGGACCAGGAGTGGAAACGGGGGACAGGGCAATCCAATGTCCAGTCCGACGCTCCCGCTGTGAACCTTGGGACGGGCTGGGTCCGGGCGAACAGGGACGGCCAGCAACAAACAGCACCTCAGAATTCTGCCGAAGAACGGGATATGCGGTAATACCAATGCTTAGAGTTTATACAAGCTGCGATTGTCGAGAAATACCTGGCTCTCTGTTGCATTGCAATCAGACGATTTTCCGTCCGTGAGACCATGGTCCATCCATATAAGGGTTGCTTGAGGACCACCGGCCGGAGGTTGTCGAGAGCAGAAAAAAAACCAAAGGGCTCTATTACTCCGTGCCTACCCCAAGCTCAAGCTCAAGCTCAAGCTAAGCTACCTACTGGATTGGCTCTCTGCCACTTTTATCTTTACTTTTATTTTTTATCGTCATTACACCTCACACCCGCTTGGTAGTCACCTCACTCCACCTTCATCTCAGTCGACTTTTTTTTTCCCTCATCTCGCTGCTCGACCAGTCACACAGCATTAGCCAACAGCACTTGCCTTGGGCTTCCATTGCCATTGCCGACTTTGCCTGGCTTGCATTGGCTGTTTGGGAGAAGAAGAAACCACCAAGCTTTGCTGTCAAAGCACACCTACATCATCACACCCGGCACTGGCCTTTCTCTGCCGTACCATAGCAGCACCTACCTACCACGAGGTAGGTACCTGACCATACGACACTAAGCTACCTTATCTCACCTTTGTACTCAACCCCAAGGTACCTACCAACCTACCAACCTCACCCTGACCAAAGGTAGCTTGTTTGCCTCGGTTTTTGCGAGCTCCTAAAGTTTGTGAGTTTTTTCCTATCCTCTATTTCCCACTCTTCTCATGCAAGCGCAAATCGCACCAATTCCCTTGCTCCTTCCATATGCTTCATTCCTTCCTCCTTTTTCCTGACCATGTCGGCGCGACTTCCTTACTCGACATTCCTTGACATTATATGGCCCCTTCCCTGCTGCCGTTCTTTCCTGCCCAAAACCCTCGGACCATCCCGTACCTTCCTTGACACTTCGGCGTGGGGCACATCATTCTGACCCTCACCCTCGCGCTCACCCTCACCCGGCCTCACCTTCCCTGGAAGTTCTTTCTACCTTGGGCGGCCTACCTTAATACCTGACCTTACGGATACGGATACCTCGCTCACCTTGAGATTCACTTTGCAACTGCACTTGCCTCGCGGTAGTTGCACTTGCACTTGCACCCGCACTTTCTTCATTCGCGCCCTTATCCTTACCCATCACATCCATGCCATCAATAGCACCCACTACCGACCGGCAAACCTTCTTTCACCTTTTTCTTAAACAAGAACCACATCCTCCTGTGTTCTTGAATTCCTCTTGAATTCTTAATGTTTCCGACCTCTTTCTTTCTCCCTTCCCACGCTCCACCCGCTTCGTTGAGCATCCTCTCCAAACACTCCAAGTTGACTCAGTTCTTCAACTCAGACACCTTGATTTAACATCCACCCCCTTGCTCGTCAACATCACATCAACGTTTGGCCTCTCTCTCATGTGAGTTCCGACTACCCGCCTGCAAGTCTTCACATCATGTTTAAGACTGCAGCATCACCTACTGGAATAATCACAAATATGTCTATTCCAATGCTAATTCAATTCCACAGATATAAGAGAGAAAAGAAGAAGGAAAGACGTTTTCTTTATACCAGGAAAAGCTTGACCATCGTTCTGCCACCGAACCGTTAGGCTCCTCCCAAAGGACCAAAATCAAAAGCTTTTAGCGAACATCACTTTCGATCTTCAGGGCCAACCAACTACTGCGACAGCAGCACCAGCACCGAAAACCACACGGCTCAGGACCATCGCGCGCACAACGCACAGGGCTTCCAGCACGTCCGGATCCTTCCAGACACAACCTTAAGACGCCGAGCTTCCCAGGCCTTCCAGCTGCTTTCGATTCAAGATGGCCGTCGCGGGCCCCTGCGCCCACTCGTTCAAAATGATCAAGTCGGACAGCACTTTGATCCAATGGACCTGCAACCTCTGCCATTCTGGACCCCACTGGAGTATCTTCGAGTGCCGGTATTGCAAGCTACACACCTGCCGGCCCTGCACTCAAAGCGCCTGAGATGCAGCGTTTGTCGGCACCGTTACTGAGCACCCCAGACGACACCGACTGCGGAAAAGATGGTGCTCAAGGTGAGGGGACGCAAGATGGAGGCATGCCGGCAACGTGGGTGTTTGGCATTGGATGCACTCGAGGTATGTTCACAAAGACACACTGCTGCTCACCTCGAGCAAGTCACCTCGTTCGAAATCGGGCTACATGTTGGTTGCTTCTGATGACGCAAACTCCCTTCCGTCACCACCCAGACACAAATGTCTCGCCCTATCCAATCCCCGATCTCATTGCCCTCTCTTGTTTCATTACCTACGAGGTTTCCAGATGGAAATACCCGTCGGTGGACAATGCGGCACGGCAGTTGCAAACTGTGTCATCTTGCAATTGATGGATGTCACCTACTAACACAAGCCTAGGGCCCCTTTTGAGACCTTCAAACGCTGCAGGACTATATTGGTTCATTCCCACAGCGATGCACCACCAAACACGCAATACCAGGCGCATGAGCTTGAGAAATGCCCTGGCGATCGATGGCAGTCAGGATTTTTTCGGATCGGACAACATCGGATACCTCTTCGCGGGGTTCTCCCCCTTTGATCCCTTCACTTTTGGCGGCGGCGGCCGTCGACACGAAAAAAGCCATGCAACTCTTTCCGTTTTCGATTTTTGAGTTTTTTCAATCATTCTGTTTGCAACCCTCCCCGGACGTTTTGAAGGCACGCCGATTACACCACCCAGACAGGACCAGCTCCGCCCCCCTGCCGTCGCGGCAGGGTCCTCGGTCTTTACTCTGGTTTAGCTCAGTGGTGCCGAATTTCGGTGCTGCATGGCGCACGTGGGACCCTCTGGCTCAGGCACCTCTGCAGCTGGCTGCAGCTTAACGGCCCCGGCGGGGAGCGCATCCCGTCCACAGGGGGGTCACGCCCTAGCGCCTGTGTCAACAGCTGAGCCCCTGTACGATGATGCCCTCGAGTTTCCGTACCTGGCTGAAGACGGGAATGATGCGACGGCACCTTTCCCGGTCACAATCTGGAACCATCAGGCACTGAGCCTAAACCGGCAGGGAGAAATCATCTATCCACAGCTCGTTCGCTCGCCGATGCTCCGGCCGGTTAGCTTCTTGATTCGACCGCAAGAAGACGCACCCATCGCCCGTTCTCCATTTCATTTCACTTTTGATCAATACGTAACGGAGTTTTTCGGCCGCGCAATGCCCAATACCCCTATTCTACGACAAACAACGACCTGGTTATTTCCTTTCTTTATTCCTTTGGGCAAAACCGCCAAAGTTGGCAGGGCAGGAGCAAGTGAGGCGAGGGGGCGAGCGAGGGAGCGCGACAAATGTTGGGAGTGGTACTAGCGAGAGGGAACGGTTTCTTTCTCTAACAATAGATTTCGGGTCTTTTGGGAATGGTTCACGGAGCATGGCAAACAGAAGAAAAAATATGGGCTTAGATCACGTCACAACAGCACGCAAGGCTGATGGACTGGAACGGCGGTTATTTGTCAATTTCGAGTTTTCTTTCTTTTTACCTCCTGACGCAGAATACTTCTATTTCCTCACGCTACGCTCTTGCCTTTTGGTCAGTTCTCATGCTGAGTATTGTTCAAGGAGTCTTTGCATCACATCGAACCCCTTGCGCTTCGGTTTCGCATATGACTTTGATGCTGCCAGGCCAGAACGGTATCGCGTCCGGTTGGTCAAGCAAATCTATAGGTTGCGCTTGTCCGGGTTTGAAGAACCATGGGGCTTCTTCTACTCCTGCCATGACGCAGGAAAGACCAAGAAGGTGCCAAGCACTAATACAATAGAACCAAAACCCGAATGTATTTCTAGCCATCATATCATGGCTGCTGCGTCCGCCCTTGTGTCATTCAGAATCTGGCATGTCATGTCACCTGTGACTCTGTGAGTCTGGGGGACGTTGGACACCCTTCGGTATGTGCGCGGGATACCTTTTGGGTTTGAAAGCGACGTACGTCGTTCGGATGCCGATGGAGCGCTCACTCGGTGTCACCTATGGTCCGAGGATGCCGGTCGCCGGTGAAGAACCGTATGGTGCGATACGTGTGTAACCATCCCGTCTCGCCTCGTCTCGCCTCGTCTCGCCTCGAATCTTTTGGCTTTTCTCCAACGGGAAGAAGTCGGTGAAGAAAAGTTTGGCGGCAACGGGGAAGAGGATGGATTGGCAGATGTGATATGATCCAGGTCTTGGATTCAAGGCTTGTTAGTTTTTTTATACTCATGTTGCACAAAATGTAGATCCGGGGTTTTTGTGGTTGTACAAGATGATGTTGGTTGGGTTGAGCATGGCGCGACCTCGGCATGGCATACATACATGCGTATACATACACATGGCATGGCATAGTACTGACAACTTGTACGACTACATCTGACAGGAAGGACCGGCCGGTTGCCTGCATGACATATTTCTCCGAGTTGTTCCTCGGTCAAGTCTGTCAGTCATTTGGTTGGTTCCAACTTGTCTCTTGTTTTTCTCCATCTCTTTCGTTTTTTCAAAGTAAGATTCGTAGCTGGCCAAGGTTTGCGCGAAGCTTTGCGGTGAAATGAAGACTTACAAGATGAGCAGTTCTGCAGTTGCGTGATAAGGCAGAGTGAGAGTAAGAGTAAGGGTAAGAGTGGTTGGTGGACGTTTAGACTAAGGTGGACTAGACTAGACTACGGAGTAAGCGTTGGCTGATTTACACCGACGAATTCGACGACGGGTGTGTGATGGGATTGGGCGAGTATTGTGATGGGTGGCTCGTGATTATGATTGGTCAAGGAACATGTAAGTAGGCGCTTTCCGTGACGACGTATGATGGTGTAGTAAGAAAGGTAAATGAGGCTCTGGTGTGGAATGGATGGGTTCGTGGGCTAGACGTGTCGATCATTCTCGGTGAAGATTAGTATTGTTGCTATGCCCCTTTGTCTTTTCTAAGCCTGGTGTATATTCTCACCAACGCTGCCCCAGGCCTTTGGAGTACCGAGATGCAATAAGAACAAGGAATGACGAGATCGTGATGAATCTTGAGAGGAAATAAAAGGTAGATACCCAACCCAAGGTTTAGCTAGAACGAGCAGAAAGGGAACCATGAAATTGATCGACTCGAATTGGCTTCAACGGGCATGGGGATGGGGTACGGATAGATACCTTACCTGCAGTACATCACACAACAATCGCTGCGAAGATCGGGGGAATTATCTTACCTACCTATCCCCCTTCTCAGGCTTTGCCCTTCCCGCCCAGTCCCAGCGCCCCCCCCCCCCCTCCTCTTTTTCTTTCTGCCCTTTCAAAGATTATGTACTTTCCAATTCGTAAACGGTTGAGGATTTTCCCATCGCGCCGGCGCCCGCGGTACACATCATTTTCAAAACGGGGGAACCGGGGAACAAGGGGGCCAGGTTACGCGCGGGGCTGGCTGGACCGTTGTTGCCCGCCTTGCCGGCCGGCAGAGCGTGGGATAGATGGGACAGTACTCCCGTATTATTGGAAGAGTTTGCTCTGGTTCGCGGGAAGCCTCGCCGAATCTCTCGATGTTTCTCTGTTCAAGTACGCGCAGTATGGCATGGTATGTTATGTTTATCCGCTGTGTCAGTTCCAGCGAGATGCACCGCCCGCATTCCCACACCATCATTTTCCCCTTTTTAGTTTATTAATCAATCTGGGCATCTGGGGTATCGCGCACCCTGGTGGGTATAAATTTGTGTGTTCCCCGCTTTAGTTTTTCCAAGTCACCTAAGTACTTAACGCCGAAAGGCGAGTGGCGCTTTTTTCTCGGGTTACACAGAGGTTACGGGCATATGAAACTTGGAATTGGGATGGTGTCATTGGCGACTCCAGCCCATGAGAGAGGGAGAGAGTGTAGAGATACTCCGTAGATGACTTATCTCCCGGTAAGCTCAAGGAGGGGGGTTTGAGGTCCCATTGCATGTGTTAATGGCGGTGAGGCTCTTATCTCGATCCTCATCTCGATCCTCAAAAGGGCTCTCTAGGCAATGGGGGAGCCACAGTGTTTTCTAGTTGCGTTATCGTTTTCGTGAGATCAGGAGATGATGACACGGGTGTTTTCACGATGCAGAGGGGGGTTTCGGGATTCGAAAAGGTGGGTTTATGCGGGAAAAGGCGTGATGCGCGCGGCGCGAGGGGTTCAGATAGGGAACACGGCATTCTGCCCTTGTTTTCTTACATTCTGCTTCTACTTCCCAACTCTGCCCCCGCCCGTCCACCTGGTATGATGCGAGAACCTCACACGTGATAGTCCCCCACTCGTGTGCCCGGTATCCTTCTTCTAGTTCGTGGTGCAGCCAACGGTGCGGCCAACAACTTGACTCCATCTAGAATGCTACCTGTTTTCCGTGGTGTTTTTTCTTTTCCTTCTCTTCCCCCTTTTTGGACATGTGGAAATCGTGAGGAATGACATGTGTTATGGCCGTCTTATGAAGAAAGTTACCTATTCTAGTCTAGAGCAGGAAAAGTGGAAAACAAAAGAATGGCTGCCCAAGTGGGGAGGGGAGAATGATGTGGATGGGGAGTGGGCTGCAACCACCAACATCAGGAAATCTGATCTGCGGATATGGACCCTTTATGCAACAGCCACGGTCTTCTTTGCGGCGGGAGCCGGTATGTCCCAGTCAAAGACTGTCCTCTCGGCGTTGCGTCGGGTGACGACGACTTGGTCGCCCACGCGGACTTGAACAGTTTCATCCCCGGCCAAGGACCCGTCTCCCACGGGAGGGACCTCGAGAAAGGCGTACCGGCCAAAGACGGGTGCGTATTTGTGACCCGGGTCGACGCGGCGGTCCTTCATCAGTGTGTTGAGAAGCTTCCCCTCGGGTCCGGGAGCTGCACGGCCGAGGGCGTAATCGACGTTAAGAGAGGTGCAGCGACCGCAGTTGGCCGTCAGGAGGAGCTTGGCGTCGGAGGAGGCAGGGAGGGACAGCTCCGCCCAAAAGTCCTCGGCGAAGGGTGCCTCGGAGGAATCTTCTACGACAATGTTGGGGCGCATCTTGGGCATGATGGTGGATGAGGCATCCGGGTTCTGAAAGGAGGTCAGGGATGGGTAAGATAGGGAGGAATCTGACGTGATGAGGTAAGGGGCGCAGTCGGTGAAGGTGAGCCAGGCTTGTTCTTCGTCTTCAGACTTGGATAGAGACGAGAGGGAGGGGAGATACGATGTGATCGATGAGAATAGAGAGGACGATTGCTGTTGTTGCTGCTTGGAGGACGACCCTGGGGCGAGGGTGCCGAGGACACGGCGACGTCCGGAGCCGATGTGGACTAGGATTGTGGGGAAGCCGAAGCAAGCGGAGAAGAAGGCGTCGTATGGCTCCCCCATGCGGATTGCCTCGGCGGGACTTCCATGAAGGTCGACGGAGATGGGCTCCAGAGACGATGTATCCGGGACGAGAGGCACCGAAAGGGTCGTATCCTGGAGGATATGGTGATCGATGAGGGGCGGGGTCGGAATGTTGTACTTTACCAGGATCTCTTTGCCGCCGTCATTGTTGGGAGAGCCGACGATCTCCTGGGAGAAGAGAGCGCACTGCGGAAAGGTGGAGAGTTGCATCTTGCGGATGGTCGAGTCCGGGTTTTCTTTGAACAGCATATAGGTCCTGTCGTGGAGGATGCCTTGCGGTGTGAGGGTTGCCTCGGTGATTTGGATTGGGCGGAGAGCCTTAATGGGGTAAACGTTGAGTGCCTTGATCTCCATTTTAGGAATAGATGACCGTGTGACGCTACGATGTATGAATATGGCGGTGATGAATGGACTCAATTGCAGTTGGACGTGATGGTTTTCTCCCTCTCTTTCGATTTGCATGGGATTAAGTCGGTGTGACGTCGTGAAGGGGTGAAGTTGATTTGGAGTTGGTTGAGAGTTTGAGCAGATCGCACGTCAGTCGAAGCTTTTTTGGGGTAAGAGGAAGGGGAAAAGGTTAATCTGATTATTCAGGTCTAGCTACGCACAAACGGAGCAAGGATGATCCTTCCCAAGGGAGGAAACAACACGTGGAAGCGCAGGAAAGGGAGGGCTGATGGGAGAATGCACCCACGTCACGTATCCGTAGAGTAGGAAGCCGCAACGGCCGATATCGTAGCAGTCTGGCAAAAGGTTAACTTGCCTGGGGTCATGAATGGTAAGCAGAAAAAAGTAAAGAAAAAAGAAGGGGCATATTCTGCCCGGGGAGAAATTTCGGTAAAAAGAAAAATACGCGATATCTGATTTGGGCTGGGCATTCTTTCTCTTTTCGGTCACTTGTTTTTTGGGGAATTGGTTTGCGCAGTGTTTCGTTTCGAGGTGGTTGCTTACGGATATTGATGCCGCCGGGGATAACGTCGGACGTTCCGAAAACGGTTGGATGAGATAAGCGTGATAGGCAAGATAGCGGGGACAGGAGACTGTTGACGGAGCCAGCGCCGGAGCCTCCGGGCATCGGGACTGCACCCGAAGGTTCTTCATGCCGAAGAGGGTTCCCGACTGCGGAAGGGCTGAGGGCTGCGGTGAGAGTGCAATGCATTAACTCCCGTTTCTTCGGTCGCAGATAGTAGCCCTACTCAGATTCGTGAGGTCGCGTGATAAAGGGGCATCTTTGATAAGATAGGACAATTATTCTAATGGCGAGACGCGACAGGCTTGTTGACGATACAGGGGAGCTTGAGAAATGAGGAAAGGCAGCCCGAATAGGCGGGAGCAGAGTGTGATTAGGCATGGACACAGCGGGATTCTGCCCGCTCCATCTCAATTAGGGATGTGATGGCAGGTTCCATGAGTAAAGTGCAGGGTAGAACTTATTCCCAACAGGTGCGATGCTCCTGCAAGCTGCAAGGCCGATGATGCAGGTCAGGCGGGATTATGGCTCGGAAGGGGTAAAGACGACAAAATCAACCACTGAGCCCCGAGTGGGTCCCCCGCTTGTTCCGCACCAT